ACTGAACTGACAGACATTCAGAGACGAATGCGAATGCTAGTTTTAAGCACACATATTATGCATGCATTTTGCCTCAGCCGTAAGTCTTTTATGGTCGACATCATTCAACTGCAATTGTTTGCTCTAGAAAAATGCTCACCGCCTCTTCTGCGAGTGAACGAGTGACCCACTTTAAGCCGTAAATTAGCACAAACAACAACCAGCTTTTACGCCACTTGATGTGGCATGTTGTTCCCCCTCCTCGTCGTCCTCCTCTTTTCAGAATCTAGTTGGAGACTTCACTCTCCTCCTCTCACGCACCAACAATTCCCAATGCAGTCTTGCTTTTCTTTATAGATCATTGTCAAATGTGGCTTTAGCTTTCAGTTTCTCCATGAATTGGGTCAGAAGACAACCAACGATGGTTAGACGGCTGAGGCAGCAAAGTGGGCAAAAGTAGAGCCAAAAACGCACTCATTAAAAAATCATTAACTATTGTCCAATATTAAGTTATTTCGTAGCATTAAATGAGTCTCTCGATTGAAATGTCTTAGCCCCAAACAGACTTCGGACATGGGATCTAACAGTTGGACATGGACACTGTTGAATGTTGTTTAATTGATTGGAGAAAGTGAGGCTCTCGGCTCTCTGGGCTCTCTGTAGCAATATGAACCAAAAAAAAAAAAAACCTTGCTTCGAGGCTGGGAAAATGTCTTCATTGAAGGTGGCTTTTCGGCCCCAAAGTGCAATCGGGCAATCGAGCAATCGACAAAATTTAATATGCACAGCAGCTACCACAAACAACTCTTGTTTTTTTTTTTGGATATATTTTTGCTTTTTTGTTTTTTAAGGCAGAGATAATCTTCAGGCATTATGTATTGTGTAATTTTTGAGGCATAACTCTTATTAAGAGCTGCCAAACAACTTTTGATGCAATCAATTGTTGCATTGTTTTTTTTTTTGAGCCACTTAAACATTTGATTTTGTTTGTTAGTTTGTTATTTGATTATTTATTTCTACAGCAAAAATAACTGCAGCAGATCTACAGATTCGGAAAATTTGTGAGACAGCCCGTACCCTTAGACAGCTGTACCTTTAGGGTTCATTTGCAAATGGCGTTATTTCGATGCTAAACAATAGCGAGCATTCGCCAGTGAGCCATCTTTAACCACTGCTTACAGAAACTTATCTCGAGTTTTTTTTTGCATACCATAAACCGCTGATCATTTTCCAGTCTTTCGATCTGTAAAGCAAAAAAGTTATTTTTAATTTTCAGTCAAAATTCAAATTAAATTTTCACTTAAATAAACAACAATAAACCAGAAATTACCCAAAAATTATTCTGAATGTTTTCTTTGATATCAACACTTGAATTCAGGGAACCAAGAACAGAATAACTTTTAACTTTTCTTTTAATTTTTATTGAATTTATTTGAATAAATAAATTAAAATCATTAAAAAAAATAATAATAATAGTAATGACATATTAAAAAAATCCAAAAATCCATCCAAAAATTCTTAATGTTTTCTTCGGAAACGAAAGCTTGAGCTCTAGCCTTTTAGCTCTAGGAAACCGAAGTCGAATGCATTTTTCAAACACCAAATCAAACCATGGCTGGCTCTACAATTCGCTTAAGGTAATCCTCCAAATGGAATCTTATTATTCCTTCGAAGAATTCATTTTAATTCAACGTCTCAGCTGCCTTGTGGCTGTGGTCCTGCTTGTGTGCATTTCGTGTCCTGATTTGGCTGTCGGCGATCCAGCGGTGAATATTGTTGATTGGTTTCATCAACTAGATTGCGAGATTCTGCCTCAATTGTATGAACTAAATCGCATGATTGTACAAATAAATGATGATCAAGATGATCAAGGGCATTTCGAAGAGCTAGAGGAGATCGACAAGGAGTAATCGATAAGTAAGGGAGAACGAGGACACCAAATAGATATTCGCCGCATTAAAAAATCAGCCGCAGGCAGAATCGGGGAGATCAATATTCAGATGTCTATTTTTGCGCTACTTTTCATTGTCGTTAGCTATATGTACTGGTCGTAGATCGTTATTGAGTCCATTAGAAAGGACAAAAATCTATGATCTATCGGGTTCTAATGTGCTCTGAAAACTTAAAAGCTCTAGCTATTTTATTTTTTATTTAAATGCAAATTTGTGCAACATTTTTAATCGAAATAAATAACTCAATCTTTATAGTTTCTAAAGATGTTCTTACTTAGCCATGAAGCTATGGGCATAAAGCCCAGTAAAATTAACAAAGAAATAAAAACATAAACTTTATTTTTAGAGATTTCCCACCCGCCAAAGAATAATTGAAAATCTTGCAAATTCATTGGAAGCACATGGGAATGGGGGGAAAGTACAGCAAATCTGATATATTATCACACACTCATTCATCATTTGATATTCATTCATTTATTTGTTGGGTAACCTAACGGTTACCTTAACGGTTGTTGTAATAACAGACATTTCTATGGATAGATCTTTTGATTTCCTCCCCCCACCCCGCTCAGGTCGTTGACATTTCGTATTTGTAGGGCATGGGGAGGGTATGTTGGGTGTGTTTCAGGAGATGTACATAGCGGACAGGTATTTGTGGATCTATAAATTTACAATTTTACAATTATATGCAATTAATTCACAGTCTACGCCACCTAGACTTGGTTCAGCTATTCGTTTGGTTTAGTTTTTGGATCTTGGAGAATGTGTTAGGCTATAGTTGGATGGGTTTTGCTGTTTTGCAGACTCTGATGAATTATTAATTATAGTTTGCCTACTAACACTTATTTTTGCTGTCAAATTTCAAACTAGAAAATACAGATAAATAAATATAGGGCTCTTATTTGTACCAATATTATGCACATTGAATTATGATTACAGCGTAAACTATTTTTAAGAAGTTGATATTTTCTTAATAACTCGTCCCACAGCATTACTTTCCTCTCTTAATGGATCATGGAAACTAAATCATACTTGATTTATTTACCATGCAGGTAAACTCGCCTTTAATGGGTATCGCCCAGTCGTATCGGATCCATCTCTAGTTGTATTATTTTTGTTGTCTATTTATTTTTTTCCCTGGCAGGTCGTTGCCGTTTGTTTAAATCCAATTTTATATGCACACTTAATGATTATTTTGTTGTTGTTGTCATTTATTTTCTCTGCGCTTCTCCTATATTTTTTTTTTTGTTGGTTTTTGTTTTGTGTCTGTCGTTTTGTTTATGTGGCTGCATTTTGAAACCGTTAGCGTTAACATTTTCTTTAATAGTTTTGTTGCGCTTTGGGGAGCTGCCTGCTGCCGGCTGCATTTGATGAACGGCCCCCAGAGCATGGTCTCTCTCCCTCTCCCTCTCTTTCTCTTTCTCTTTCTCTACCCATTTGCCAGAGGGGAGGCGGTGGTGGTACTGCAACTCTCCTCTCCTATGAGAGTTGAAAAACCCGTTTACCCGTCCCGCTCTATGATTTCGTTGCCTGGCACTAGTTGGTGTCTCGTCTGTCGCGTCTGCCACATCCCGTGGACCGGTAGACCGGTGGACCAGTGGGGCCTCCTCTGTCTCTGTCTCTGGCTCTCTGTTTCTGTTGCTGTTTCTGTTGCTCCAACTCCTCTGTTTATCCCACTCTCTATTGCAGCCCGTCTGTCTGTCTGTTTAATTTATGAAAGTTTAAATGCTCCAAAGCCTGGCGGCGATTGCATTTCGTGTCGCCTGTAAATCAGAACTACCGCTAGGCATCCCCCATCCCCCCCCACAAGCACCATGATCAGCCAAAACAAGAAAGGAAAAAGTAAAGAAATAGTTCTTTGAGTGCCAAACATGCTGATACCCTGGACAGGCAGCATCTCTAGCTCCCATAGATCAATATTATTTTATTTTATTTTATTTTTTTTTCTATACAAATAAATTACTGTCTTTATTTATTTATTTAGGAAATAGTGGAGTATAAGGCATTATTACAAATTTAAATATTATTTAATTTAATTTATTTTTTTAATACAAAGTAAATTTATGTCTTTATTTATTTATTTAGGAAATAGTGGAATATTAGGCATTATTAAAAATTTAAATTTTATTTAATTTAATTTATTTTTTTAATACAAAATAAAAATTATTTATTTATTTGGGAAATAGTGGAATATTAGGCAGAAATTATTTCTATATTCCCTAAAGCAGAAATAATATTACTTTCAAAGTTTCTTTTGATCACTTCGAAAGTTGAGTTTTAAATTTCCATAAAACAAAGTCTAAATGTGGCTATACTGCAATGTGGCACTCCAATCTGCAACAATTTATATTTAATATAATCGAAATACTCGTACTATTCTGCTTCTCTTTGGCCAGAGTACCGTCACAGAGTCCGCCCTGCCTGAATTCGCATTTCGCATTCGCATAACCGTTTCCCCAGTGCTCCCCCAACTGGTTTGAACTTAATAAATATATATTTATTGTATATACTTATGGCAACAGATACAAGAGATACAATGCGAAACATACGAGTGCTTAGTTGCATGTGCCACATCCATATATCCATGCCATGCCACAAAGGATGTCTGAGCCACTGACCTTATTCTTGTTGCATTTAGCACAGCAGCAACACACACACAGAGAGAGAGAGAGGAGGAGAGAGTGTGGAGTCTGGCTTACAGGAAGAGAGAGTGTGCCAGGCAGCCTCTCTCTCTCTCTCTGGCAACCAACGAAAAGTAGAACGTATAGAAGAGAGTCGGAGCACCTGGCTTTGGTTCCGTTCCATACGTTTGGGCTGGCTTTGGGGTTTTGGGTTAATTGATAAAAGAAACAGATCGTGCGTGCCATTAGAAAGTAAACGCAATTTTCGGTGGCTTAAACGAGCATTGAATGAATGCTCAAACGATGCCTCTGGGGGGAGGCTACATGTCTGTACTTTCCATTGCCTTCAATTTGGCGGGGGCTTTACTGTGTGGGCTTAATGCGAGAATCAGCTTTAAGTAACGCAAACTCTGTGCTGCTTTTTCCTAACATTTTCTGTGACTTTTAGCCGTTTCCGTGAGCGTTATGTGCCTTAGGTCCCCTGTCGTTACGTGGCAATGCCCCATACACATGTGCATATATTTTTAAGGCCCACTGTAAACTGCACACTGTACACTGCACACTGCAATATGCAAATGAAAACGAAAGGCAAAGCTGAGAAGCAGAATAATAATTGAAACGGGGCCTACCATTGTCTGAGACGTTGTTGAGACATTTGAAGGTCTGTGAAGAACTGTGAAAATTACTGGCGTATATCACTAATATCTCCTATTATTTCTGTGGGTTTGTCTTTTTACAGATGCTGCAACTGCTGCTGCCGGCGTAGAGACGTACCCAAAGTGACTGTAAAATGTCGGAGAAGGTGAGCACTTCGCTGGCCTCACAATTGCATTCGCATGCATTGGCCACAGCCGATGGCAGTGGCACTGTCGCTGGCTGTCATACGGCCAACACTGCAAAGGATGTCCACCATCCAGCGCTGCAGTTCGAAATGGATGCCCCAGCGGCGGCAATTAGCGCACAATTAAATTTCAAGATAATGCCAGCGGATAGTCTGCCCGGTTTGAGCTACCAGGAGATGTTTGCTTCCATTTCCATGAACACATCACAAATCTCCAATGCCTCAACAGAGGCATCCTCCAGCTGCAGTCCACCGCTGGGAATGGGACTGGGCTTGGGCTTGGGCTTGGGGTTGGGCGTGCCAATGGGGCCACCGCCACCAAAGCCCAGTCGTCAGCATATGGCAGTGCAGCCATTGACCACATCGGTGAGTCGTAAGCCATGATTGAGTTTTTACGATTTGGAATTTGGAATTTGGAATTTTTATTTTAATTTTCTTTGTCTGTATCCTAGAAATCCTGTCGCTTTCCCAAGCTGGAGGAGTGCGCACATTTCCACTACGAGCGCGTGCAGCTGGGACCGCTGTCGGTGCAGCTGTTGGATGACAAATCGGAGCACATGGGCAGCAGCATAGCCTCCCAATCGATTGGCGGCGATCTGCCGCACAGCTCGCTGCGCAGCTTCTCGCCGGAGAGCTGTTGGTTCATCATACGCGTCTGTCCGCAGCGCTGTGAGCCCTTCCTGATCAAGCGATCCTTCGAGAATATGCAGCTGCTGGACGAGATGCTGCACCGCTGTGTCTACGATCGCAAGATCAGTGGCCTGCGCAACATGGCCGAGCTGGCCGAGGAGCTGCCCAGCGAAACGGACGTGGAGTATGCGGTGGGCAAGTACCTGGAGCGCTTCTCGAAGATTGCCTCCGATTCGCTGACCTGCGGCACCATACTCACCTGGCTGCAGCTGGACAACAAGGGGCGACGCCTGCCCCTGGCCGATGGCGAGACGCAGCGCACAATCAACACACCGGCGGTGGGTGCGGCGTATGGCGTGCGGCGCTATCAGGCCCAGGCACCCGACGAAATCAATATCGAGGTGGGCGATATGATATCGGTGATCGATATGCCCAGTCCCGCCGAATCCATTTGGTGGCGTGGCAAGAAGTCCCATCTGCAGAAGTCCCTCTACGAGGTGGGCTTCTTTCCGCAGTCGTGTGTGGCCACCATTGGCGACAAGGTGCCACGGAATTTCCCCATGCCAGCGCCACTGGTGGGCCATCTGGATGCCTCGCCCACAAAGCCCGTGCTGCGCAAGCACGGCAAACTGATAGCCTTCTTTCGATCCTTTATACTGTCGCGTCCATCGCGGCGTCGCCTCAAACAGAGCGGCATTTATCGCGAGCGCGTCTTCAATTGCGATCTGTCCGAACATTTGCTGAACAGCGGCCAGGACATACCCATGGTGCTGCGCTCGTGTGCCGAATTTATCGAGAATTATGGCGTCATCGATGGCATCTATCGACTGTCGGGCATCACCTCGAACATTCAGCGCTTGCGACGCGCCTTCGACGAGGAACGCGTGCCGGATCTGGGCAACCCAGAGATGAAGCAGGACATTCACGCTGTCAGCTCGCTGCTGAAAATGTACTTCCGTGAGCTGCCCAATCCGTTGTGCACCTACCAGCTGTACGATAACTTTGTGGAGGCCATTCAGGTGAAGGCCGACGAGGCGGATGAGCGGCTAAGGCTGATGAAGGAGACGGTACTGAAGCTGCCGCCGCCACACTACAGGTACGAGTCCCAGCAGCAGCAAATCTTTTATAAATAATAATTACACCTCTCCCTCTCCCTCTTCCTCTCGCCCGCGCGTAGAACCCTCAAATATTTGGCTGAGCATCTGTACAAGGTGTCGCAGCATCACGAACGCACTGGCATGACGGACAAGAATTTGGCCATTGTCTGGGCGCCCAATCTGTTGCGTTCGCCCGCCCTCGAGTCTGGCGGTGTGGCCGCGCTGCGTGGCGTTGGTGTGCAGGCGGTGGTCACCGAGTACCTGATACGGAACTGCCATAACATATTCGATGCCCTGGACGATGCACAGCGGCAGAGTGTGCTGCCCGTGGCAGCAGCCATGGCCGTCAATGCTGGCGGTGGTGAGCTGCGTCTGGAGTCGCTCACCGACTGCGAGAGTCTGCTGGTGGAGCAACGCGAGCAGGATCAATCGTTGGGCATGGTTGAGCGGCCCAAGAGCCTGAGCACGGGCGGAGCAAAGCTCATCAGCCTGGAGGAGGCCCAAGAGCGCCATTCGCGCATCGAGGGGGGTGACCTGAAGCATTCGCTGCCGATTAGCATGCTGGCAAGTGGCAGCGTCAGCAGCAGCAGCTGCACCAACAGCAACACAGCCGCCAACGCGGGAAATGCGGCCACCAACATTGGATCGTATATAGAGGTGGGCGGCGGGCCCTCCAGCCTGCCGGACAAATACCACACAGTGCTGTCGGCGCCACGCAGCTGGCAGAAGCGCAAACCGGACAAGACGCCCTCCTGGAAGTCGATATTCACGCGCAGTCAGCGTCAGGGCGGCAATGTCGATCCCAGCCACAAGATCATCCACGAAACGGGCGGCGGTAAATTGGATCCAGTGTCCGCACGCGTCAGCTTTGTGCAGGCCTCCCATGCGCATGCCAGCAAGGAGCTGTCGAAGCACGACAAACCCAAGTCCATAGAGCTGCTGGAGACGACACACGAGCGAGAGCCCAAGCCCATGGAGCTGTGCATACGCTCCAATTCCATTGACAGCCTGCGGACGGTGGGCCATTCGCGCAGCGTCTCCCATGACTCGTACTTTGATCTGCTGCAGTCGCCGCAGCGCGGCCACACGACCACCTGCCCATCGCGGGAGCTCTCCGAGCTGGGACTGAATTTCGATCGCGAGGAGCCCGAGATGCGCATCTTCTCGGAGAGCGAATCGCTGGTTAGTTCGCCGCGTGTCGGCAAGGAGAATGTGCCGCCCGCCTCGGGCTGTGCCACGCGCCGGATCATGCGTGCCCGCCCCGAGGAGTTCTCCAGTCAGACGAACAGCGTTAATCCCAGTCCCAAGAAGCAGCCGCGTCTCAATCTATTGTCACCCTCGTCGGCCAGGACTCTGCCGCTGCCGCTGCCATTGCCAGCCAGCGCTGTGGCAGCGGCACAGCCCGGACCGCAGCACCATTGTGGCCACGAGCCAGCGGGCGCGGAGAACTGCTGCAAGCGCTACAAGCTGGAGGATCAGCTGTGCGACATACAGTTCATTGACTGCGGCACGCCCGAGCATGCGCCGACGGTGCAGCAGCAGTTTGCCAGCGTGGAAGTGCACCCGCCACCAAAGCCAGCCAGAGCGCATGTGCCAGCAGCCACATCGCCTGCCTCGGCGCGGTATAGCTATCCGTCGGTGCAGTTGGGCGCCAAGCGCAAGGAGCAGCAGGCGGCCAAGGAGAGATTCAGCTACCAGGGCACGTTCATGCAACAAGGAGGGGCAAGCAAGCAACCAGAGCAGCAGCAGCAGCACCAGCAGCAGCCGCCACGTGTTGCAGTGCAGTGAGTAGAGCAAGGGGCAGGTCTCTTATACCAGCTACAGCAATCCCTGTGTAATCTCTTTCAGCAATAACACGGTGCCCATGCGCAGCAAGCCGCGTGTGGAACTGCCGCCGCCAGATGTCAGCGATTCGCAGGGCAAGCTGTCGGTGGCCACGCCCACAACGCCACAGCGGAGTCCGCGCTACAGCCTGCTGTTGTGCGACACAGAGGAGAGCTCCGAGAACAGTTCGGCTGTGACCACACCCCAATACGATATGGAGCCACTGATGCGGACCTCGGCCATGTCGTGCATCTCGGGGGTATCCTCCAATATGCAACAGCAGCTGCTGATGGGCGGCGGCAGCTCTCACGAGAGCCTGGGACAGCAGGTAAGTGAATGAAAGTGATGAGCTCTCTCTCTCTCTCTGTCTCTGCGATGCCTGACGAACTCTCATTTAGTTTAACCAACTCCAGGAGCTGGAACAGCGTGATATGAATGCCCTGAAGCGAGAGCTATCTTTGGATTTGCAGCCGCTGCAGCCACGTCTGTCGCAGCCCACAAATCGTGCGGCCACATTGCCCGTGAAGGAACAACTGCAGGCAGCAGCAGCCGCCGCCGCCGCCGCCGCTGCGTCGCCCAACAATTCAAATTTCACGGACAACACTAGTCAGTCGGTAACGCCCAGCGAATACGGCTATCAGCATTTGCAGCGGCATCTGAGCATGCACTCGCTGCTGGCCACCGAGGAGAGCTCCCCGGTGTACGAGGACTTTGAGCAGACGCCCAGCAATGGGCTGCACAAACTGTTGGCGGCAGCAGCCACCAGTCCCATTAAGTCAACCATAAGCATCACATACAAGTCGCCCGAGAAGGAGAAGGAGAAGCCACAGCCACAGCCCCAGCCCCAACAGAAGCTGCTGCTGGAAACGAACTTTGATGAGAATATTGTGTACGAACAGGTGAAGCTCTTTCGCAATTCGGTAACTGAAGTCAATCAGATGATGCTGCTGCGAGGAGACCAAGAGACGCGGCCAACACCACCAGCACCAGCACCAGCTCCCTGCCTGAAGCAGATCGAGGAGGAGGAGCCGGATGTGTGCGCCAGCAAGGCGGCAGAGATGACGGAGCAGCTGCTGCAATTGGAACAGGAACAGCAGCAGCAGCAGCAGCGGGAGCATGAGCAGCTCTTGGAGGATGAGCACGAATCCCAGTTGCTCTACGAAAACATTGAGCTACGAAAACCGAAAACAGTCTACGAGAATCTACGTGGCGAGGAGATGAAACTCAATCTGGAGCCAGAGCCAGAGCCAGAGCCAAAACATCCCAACATGAACAGTGATCGAATCGAATTGGATAGCCTGGACAGTTTGCCCGACACCGACACCGACACCATGGAGCAGGAGCAGGAGCACACGGCACTCCAGCTGGCACCAGCAGCCATGCCAGTCAGCAAATCGCCATCGTTCAGTGTCAAGGAGTTGGCCAATAAATTTGAGAGTTCGCCCGTCGAACAGCTGCCCAGCTTTGATTTTTCAGTGCGCGGTGGCTCCATGAAGAAGCCAAACGAATTGAGTGTGCCGCTGTCCATGCCCAAGGCAATGCCCGCGCCTGTGCCCCTGAAGAAACTGAACAATGCACAGAAGATAACACGTTCGCTGGACGAGAATGCGTTTGTGCGTGAGTTTGGGGGCAAACAGTTGCAGGATTTGTCGCTGAACAAGTTGCCCGAGCTGCCAGAGATGAACAATCGCCGCAAGAGCTTTGATTTTACGCGTCCCAAGACATTGAATCCACCCAAACGGCTGCCGGGTATGAGCATCACCGAGGAGATCTGTCAGAAGCGTGGCGGTGGAGGTGGAGGTGGAGGTGGCGGTGGCGTTGAACCTGAAGCAATTGCCATCACTCCCACCACAGAGAATCGCATTTCACTTATCCAAAATAATGTACCCAAAGAGCAGGCTACACCGTTTGTTCTGCCACCTGTCGGACGCAAGAGTGTGGTCACGGGCGTGATACTCGATCGCGAACGCATCGAGAAGATCAAGGAGGAGCGACGCCAGCAGCTGACACAGAAATACCATGGCGACACATTAAAGTCGCGCTCCAAAACGGAACTCAACTGCACGGATGACAGCAATTTCCACGCCACAGAATCGTTGCGCATCAAGTCCAAGTCTCGCGGCGATATGCACACACTGCAAAAGGATATGGACATGAATCTGAAGCAGCTGGCCCGTGTACCAGGCGGTGGCTCGGAGAGCACACTACACACAGTGCCCGGCGATTATGTGGGATCGCAGCCAAATGAACAGCAGCATGGACAGCAGCGTGTGCGTAGCATTTCCGATGAGAAGAATCAAAATTGTGATACCAATAATGGAGCTGGAGCTGGAGCTGGAGCTGGAGCGGCAACGCTGCTGAGCGTAAAGACAGCTGCCCAGAAATATGGCAACCAAAAGGCAACGCCATCATCAGCAGCATCGATATCATCATCAACGTCGTCGTCGTTGTCGTTGTCGTCTGGTGTGGTGCGTGGCCCACCGCCGCAGCCGCTGCCACGTGAGCGCATGCCACAAAGGAATTCGTTGGCCGCCGAGAGCAATGCAAGCGCCAAGTGAGTATTAACTGCGAATATGCCATATTTATTTTTATATATATTAATATTAATTTGTACAAATTTCTACCTCTTGCAGCAGCAGAGAAAAGATCTCACCACAATTCTCAATACGCGATGTGACAGCGATGTTCGAATCTCGTTCACAAAACCAATAGAACTTAAGGCAACAATAACAACAACAACAACAACAAAATTACCAACTAAATAACATCGAAATAAGGAGACAGCCAGACAGCTATAACCCCCTTCTACTATATCTATATATATATATATATATACGGTATAATCACATATAATAATGGATCCGGCAGCGATTTATATACATGCTATATATATTTTATTTAGTTTTTTAAAACTTTAACTTTTAAGCTTTTGGAAATTCTCTCTCTCTCTCTCTGTAATAACTGGCGCAAGCGGCAAACCCAAAGACACTTTCAGATACATACTATATATATAGATATAAATGCCGCCTGGGGATCGATCTGGAGATCTGTTTGAAAATAATAATATATATAAAGAATAATAATGACAACGCCTTGCGCCCTCAATACGTATGCAAAATTCAATTTTGTTTTGGATAAAAAAAGAGCACGAAGAACGGAAGAAAGAGAGAGAGAGAAATGTGAACTAAAAGACCATCCCATAGATCCCTCCCCCCAAAAAAAAAAAATGAATGCAAATTGTTAATGCATTTTATTCTCGGCCCCTGTCCCTGCCCCGGCCCGTCCCATCTTTTTCGTAGGTGTTACGTTTCATTAAAAAGTTAATTAAATTTCGGTTTTTTATTTGTATTTCTTTTGTTTGTTTTCCCTTTAATATATTTTCTTGTGACGCGTAAGAGTTTTTCTTTAAGCATTTTGCAAGCAACTTTGAGCGAGTTGTCTTTAAGTTAATTATTATACGATTAATCGATTAATTTATGCATACTATATATATTTTTAAAAGATAATAAACTCGATTGCATTGTCAGTTGATGACGTCTCCACTTCGATCCATATACATATACATACATATGTATGCCTACACTTTGTAAATACTCTTTCTTTGGCTTTGCTTTTAACTTGAACACAAATACAAAAACTATCTGACACAACTATAGATATATGTACGTATCTGCAGTACAAGTTGAAAAGTCTGTGTACGCGACTTGATTGAGGTCGGGGTTAGGTGTGTTTTTCCAAGATAATTAAACAGAAAGAATACTCTACTAATATAAGTCCTAACGATGTAGTAACACTAATTAACATACATACATACTTACTGGTTGTCTTCATGAAAGAAAAACATTTACTGGTAACAGTTCGCTATCTGAAAATAAAATAGAATTTTTCCCTTAGAAGTGCTGTACAAAAATATATGCTTTTAATTTTTTTAAATTATAATTTATTTGTACACTTGATTTTTTTCTGATTATCCTAAAAGTACTATAAAAACAGTGTTGAGAAGTGGCACTTATAGTTTTCTAGCGTTCATAAATTGCTGAATAGCTTTGGGGAATTATAAATGTGTGAAAAAAAAATATATAGTTTATGCTTTGTTTCAAGTTATAATTTATTTATAGACTTGAAATCGTTATCCGATATGTTCCGAGATTCCTAGCTGTACTACCAAAACAGTTTGGGAAAGTACACTTATACATATATGTATGTTTTCTAGTGTTCGAAACTTGCTGAATATATTTTAGAATGAATATAAGAATATTAAATATAATAAGAATCATTCATTTAAAGTCTTATTTTGCTGATTTTAAGTGTGAGCCCTAAATTGTGTGAGACCCACTGGGAATCTATTTTGTTGTTGAGCGCGTACACAGCACTGGATTAGGATCCTAAATCCCATCTTTGACCAATCAAAAATGTTTTCAAATCAAACATAAACTAATACGAGAGCTAACAGTTAATGAGAAATGAGAAAAACTAACTAAAGGAATTTTAACGTGCGGCTAGTGCTTAGATTTGACTACTAGATAAATTTCATATACACATACATACTCGTATATTTAAAGGCGGAAAAGCGGACAAAAATCAAATCAAATATATAAATGCATTTTCAATTGACTCCAGAAGCAGCTGCCAAATTTTTTTTTAAATATCGAAAGCATAATTCAAACGAGAAGACCAGACCACAAAATGGAAACATAATGGAAATTAACAGAATTGTAATACAATAATAACTAAATAGAAAGCTTTAAAACATAAGTTAGCATTTGATATATTTTGATAAAAAAAAAACTAAAAAATAATTGAGAACATAAACGAACGAATAAAAAATATTGACTGCGAAAAGAAAAGGAAAGCGGAAAACAGTAAAAGAACGCTTCAAGGCAACAAAAACTATATATGAATGGAGCAAAGATCAATCAATCAATAAATTGGAGTACATAGGAGATGAATTTTAACGATTAGAAATGACGGATGATGGCTTCGAATGAGTACACATTTTGCATTAACGTATTTTATAATGAAACATTACAAACAACACACTACTTTAACGCATATAAATAAAAGGAAAATATTAAAACTAATTGATAATTGTTATATGTTTAAATTACGTGAAGTATGGAAGGATCTCCTGATATCTAATGGGTGATTGCGGTTACATATAAAAAAAAAGGTCTTTCATCCAATAAACGAAGTTCTAGTAAATGTTTCCCAACTTGCGCTGTTGCAACTCTCAATAGATGACTGAGGATTGTCTGATAAGGCAACCCAATGTTGCTTACAGCTTATATAATTCGATTCTTTGCGAAGATTAGTTTAATATATCCCTTAATAATTTAGGTTCTGATATTTCACACGCCCAACCATTGCAGATACCTGTGACGGGTTTAAAAACACGTAAAAATCCCAACCCCTTGAAGCATGCAACAATAATTGAACCGAACCCAGTTTGTGTCGTAATAATTCCCAACTGGTTCTGGCCGTACAGTCATCAGCTGGTGGATGATTTCCACGTTCAGGTTATCGCTTCTCGGCCTTATGGCTAAGATCAAAGTGTAGTATCTGTTCTTATCAGCTTAACATCTGATAGTTTCTCCATTGGAGAACAACAAATGTTAAACTGATTTTTGGAATCAGACGGAGTGCTAGGGGCTTGCTCCACCTCTGTCGCGGGTTGGCCCGGTATTGCAGTACCGCCGGGATTTTCAGCCCAACTAAACAATCAATTTTCACCCACAGTTAAATATTCTATTCTTTTTATTGAGTTTTACGTTTCACACTACTTATAATCTGATTCAAATTGTCATGTGGTCCACCCAATATGCCTCACAAATAAAGTAATCTGAGACACCGCATAGATAGGTGCGCATCTCACCGCGGTATAAAAAGACGCAATCATAGTTTTTACCAATGATTTCCCCCCAATGAAAGAATGTTCCTTTGACACCAGTAGTGGCCGAAATAAACTCTCCTTTAGCTTCCAGTTTTTTCAGATCTATCCAATACCATTTGTTCTGATCCAGCATACTATCGAGTGCCTTCAACTCATCCTCGTTTTGCAGACTCACCAAATGGGCTCCCATCTCTTGGCAGATATCGAGGGCACCCTGCCAGCTCCAACCCTTTGTATTTTCTATATAATAGTATTTCGAACCAATTTTTTTGAAAAGTTCAAAATTTTTAGGTTTAAGCTTTAGCTCCAATTTCTTAACTTTTTCTTGTAAGCTCTTTTCCATCGCCTGCAAAGTGTCTAACTTTTCGTCCCTCTCTTTCCGCACGGCATCCAGTTGTAGCTCCAATTTATGAACATTTTCGCCTGATTTACTTTCCAACTCTTGTTGGATCGCCATCTGTTTTCCAAGAGTCTCTATCTTTTCGCCCATTTCTTTCCGCACGGCAGCCACTTGTTGCTCTAATATATGAATTTTAGCCTGGGAGCTGTTTCCCAAGTCCTGCAGTCCCGTAGATCTTTCGTCTCTTTCTTGCCGCAGTTTTTGCTCCAATTTCTTAACTTTTTCTTGTAAGCTCTTTTCCATCGCCTGCAAAGTGTCTAACTTTTCGTCCCTTTCTTTCCGCACGGCATCCAGTTGTAGCTCCAATTTATGAACATGTTCCCCTGATTTACTTTCCAACTCTTGTTGGATCGCCATCTGTTTTCCAAGAGTCTCTATCTTTTCGCCCATTTCTTGCCGCACGGCAGCCACTTTTTGCTCTAATATTTTTGAGCTGTTTCCCAATTCCTGCAGTCCCGTAGATTTTGTGTCCAGTTCTTGCCGCACGGCAGCCACTTGTTGCTCTAATTCATGAGTTTTTGCCGTTGATCTTTTTTCCAAATACTGCTGGGTTGCCATGTGTCCTGCCAAAGTGTCTAACTTTTCGTTCATTAGGGCGATTTTTGAGAGTGTGTCAGCCGGCTGCTTGGCCTCACAGGACTCCACTCGCTTTTGCAGGATGGCGAGGTAATCCAGGACCGGTTTCACAGCTCCGTAACAGTATCCTCCGCACTCGTGTTGGGATTCATCCACCTATTGGTGAGCACCGCAATGTTTTTGGGATTTTTGCAGTCAGTAAACGGAATATTTCACTCACCTCACAATGCTGGGACAGAGATCGCCCAAAGGTTATCGCCAATAAAATGAAAACAATTGAACACCGCATTGGTACAACTTCTCTGAATAGAATCTAAAAAAGAACTGGCATTCGCAGAGTTTCGTAGAGGTATTTATACTTCCGTTCCTTCCGTTGTGAACTGATAATAAAATGAAATGCGAAAATACGCAATTAAGAAATAAAATCAGACGAAATATATTAATGATTTATGGATTCCATAATCTCTAAGTAGATTAAAACGTATGTTTCAAACGAAAAGCATTTTATTCCAAGAAATGAGTTCTTAAAGAAATTCACCTATGATCTATTGGCCATCGGCGATTTCATCCTCACCGAGCCCAATATGCGTGTGCCCGATAAGGGAAAGATCTATTCGATCAACGAGGGCTATGCCAGCGACTAGGTAGCGGGAGTGTGGCAACTTTGTGGCGGCAAAGAAGGATCCCAGCAATGTTCAGCTTTCGCATAGTTATTGGGTTCGTTTTTCTGCCAGTGAAACAATGCTCCCTTGACACCAGTAGTGGCCGAAATATACCCACATTCCGTTTCCAGATCGTTCATATCTATCCAAAAGTTGTGGTACGACTTCAGCCCCCCGGAGAGTGCCTTCATCCCATCCTCGCTTTGCAGACTCGCCAAATGGGCTCCCATCTCACGACATTTCTTCAGGACACCGTGCCAGCTCATTTTATTTTCATATTCCATGCAATAGTATGCGGAACCTATTTATTTTGAAGAGTTCCAAATTTGTAGGCTTAGGTTTTGTTTCTGTTTCTTTTCGATCGGGTGAAAGGTGTTGCGGAAAGAAATAGACGGAAACTTCAGAGGCTCTGCATTTTTCGTCTATTTCTTTCCGCTCAAATGCTAATTTTAGCTTGAATTTCTAAAAATTGTTCATGTGATCTCCTTACCAACTCCGGCTGGATCGCTATATATCTTCCCAGAGTCTCCCACTTTTTATCTCCGGCGTCTGCCGGCTGCTTGGCCTCACAGTACTCCGCTCGCTTTTGCAGGATGGCGAGGTACTCCAGGACCGGTTTCATTCACCTATTGGTGGGCCACGCAATGTTCTAATGATATTTTTCAATCAAAACACACAACTCACAATGCCATCGACAGAGATCGGCCAAAGGCTATCGCAAATAATATGAAAACAATGGAACACCGCATCGAGACTCTTTCTTAGAATGCAATCTTAGAGGGAACTGAATTATATATTGTGTAGAATCTGTTGATTCCTTTATGCTCACAAGCTCTTCATCGATGAATTGTAAATGAGATCAACTGATTAAAATAAATCCTTTTACATACTATTCATATGTATGTATATAAAGGTATACTTACATATTTAATTCACCAATTCCAGTTGGCTAATAAAAATCACTTCAAAGAAGGCGGTCACAGTGCCGTGCCCCCCGAGGTTAGGCCATATGTACATCGTTTCTATTAGCCGTGGAGTTTTTTTTTTCCATATTTTTTTTATACAGGGATTTTGCAGTGTACCTGCTGTGAGAGTGTCAAAAGAGCAGAGAGAGGAACTGGTGACACGTGAGAAAATTAATTTGATTAAATTGCCACAGAAACGCACAGCGGGGCAGGACAGCAGGGCAGGGGGTGGGTGGCCCAAGGGGGTGGGAGGAGAGGCGTTATCGCCAAATCAGATGCTGTTCTGTTGTTGCTAGCCAGCTACTTAACGCGGACACTCAACAACCACCCGAGTAAACACACATACACTGCGAGAAAATAAAACAATTAGCGAGTCACAGAGATAATTTTTTGGGGTAAATATAAGAGGCAGACGTTGAATATTGAATAGAAAAATAAAATGCAAGAAACTCTTTGCATACATTTAGTTTTCAAGTTGCAAGTATTATATACATATATATATATTTTTTTGTATATAATTTTCAGTGTACTTGTGTGAATGTGTGTGTGGGGTGTGGGGTGTGGGGGTGTTTGTGTCCCTGTATGCGGGTTGTCGGTGAATGCACTAAATGATGTGCATAAGTGCGAAAACGTTTTCCCTCTGCCCAAAGACTCTTTCAGCAGCTCTTCCATACATCTCGCTCTCCTCCCATACACCCTCACATCCACTCCACTGATGCTTTATTCTCTATCCCTCTCTCTCTCTCTCTCTTAAGTTCTCTGTTTGGTTTTTGATTGACGCTGATAGGGCACGTGTTGGCAATTATTTTAGAATAAATATATAATAATAAAAAAATGCTTCACGATGGGGCAACAATCAGTAGATGACTTCTTTGCTGTGTCCTTTCTCTGCTCTTTTACTTCTTGGGCACGGTCGAGATATAATTTGTAAAGAGCAGGAGGTCGAAATATAATTTCTAAAGAGCAGCTAAGAACTGAAGGTAAAACAGATTGTAGGATAGAGAATATGCAAAGTGAGAATTTGTACGAGTTACTGATTAAATCACAATTGTACCCACAAAAGTCTTTAAATAACACTCGAACTCTCATTTATTAAAATTGTCTCCAAAATAATCTCCCAAGGAAAAACTAATATATCCCTATATACTATCCCTACTATACTCTACTAAACCACATTATTCTTTAGATGCCATTGAACCAAAGCTACTTTGTTCGATTTTAAATTTAAATTTAAACTTATACTTATGTAAGGTAGAAGGCAATACATTGATTTATTGAGAAATTTAAGCTATAGAGATTTCAAATTTGATCTATCGATGCAATGATCATCATCATTTAGTTTGATTTTTATATAATTCTATAACATACATTTGGGCGTTTCTCTGAAGGCGAACGGGGCAGGAAAGTCGTACTCATTGCAAGTGCTAGAAAGCATAAAATTATTATTAATTTTCAATAATGTTTTACCTTTGTGATACACCTTTTGACTAGCCCTATAGCTGGTGCTACGGTCGATTTTATGCAACTATTCGTTTTCGAGATTTTTGCAAAAAGAACCAAGCCATTCGCAGGGGACAAATATGGAAGTGGTTTTCGCGGCAATCAATTCAAACTGAGATTTCAGCGAAAGTTGGGGCAGTATATTGAGGCAAATATCTGTTCATTTTGTACATTAATTTCTCTTTCAAGTTGTTATAATATTACGCAAATATGATTCTTAGTTTTTTTCTGTTTTTTAATTTAATTATAACCATATTTGCACATGTCGCACGGGACAGAAATTCCTATGTTAATAACAGTTATAAATATACTGTTATCCGAGATGGATCCATTCTTCGCGTATTTTTTTTAGTCAGTTGAATATGTTAGAGATATTTCGTGGAATAACTTTTCTCAAGAATCATCTTTGTTAGTATAGATAATTATAATAGAACACAAGGCTAAAACAAAACCAAAAAAAAATCCAACAAAGACTGAAAAAGTGAACTTTTGCTTATTTGAATCGGTTTTCACATCAAAGTTAATGAAATTATATGTCAATTGGGGTAAATTAATTGTCGTTCATTAAACTTAGACCAAATTATCGCGATAGAATTAGATGGAGATGTGTTTTTATAGACATTTAATTTTTTGGTCTCGGTGGACCTTGCCAAAGATAATCCCAATTGTAGAACAAGAGTCTAAGGATTTTACAATTTCAGTGAATTTTATATATATCTTATTAGCTATGATTGAGTTCAGGCTATACCATCTTTGACATATTTAAGCATTAATATAACTCTCTAAAATGTATTTCATGCCATTTTATACTCTTTTATGTACGAAATAAATAGATAACTAAATCAATCATCAATCAGCAACAATCATGCCTTAAATGAAAGCGGCACAGGTCCTTAAATATTTGATAGTTTAGGTAATAATAGATTTAATATTTTTCTTACTAATTGTGGAGTCTTTTGTAGGCATTAGGGACCATTAAAAACACCCACTTTTGCACTCACACTCAGACTTAAACTCACACTCCCTCTCTGGGGTATTCGCATTCCTATTCAAAGCCACTTTTTCTGCTTTTATTATGGCATTGTGTGGGTGTCGGGTCGAAGGTCGGTGGTCGGGGGTCGCTGGTCGGGGGAGGGATTCCGCTGCTTATTAAAACTCTCTTGTTGTGATCCTAGGCACAGTAACCTTTGTGCACCCTGCCACTGCCACTCCCACTCCCAATCCCTCCGTTGGCCTCTCGCTCTCCCGCCCAAACAATTAGAGCACTAACAAATGCAATTATCCATGCACCTCCCTCCTACATACATAAATACATACATACAAGAGGCGACGGGCAGGACCATTCCTTCACCCCTTGCGGGCACACAATTGCTCTCATTGGCAACAATTGTAGCTGAACCCGAACCATGCCAGAGCGACAACATCCTTGTTGAACCGACAAACACAGAAAAAATACCCAGGATATTCGAGCGGAGTGTTACAACCAAGATGTATCCATTAGGAAAATTTGTACAGCAAAGAGAATTAATTGTTGTTTTCTTCTAGCCATAACTCTATTTTTTAGAGCAAAATAAAATAACTTTATTCTCATTGGTTCATCTTATGCTGCCTGTGATATATATTTAATTAAGAAGAGTCTTCAACGATCGCTAGATGGTGACAGTTTAAATAGGTTTAGCATGTGGTAAGCCTTGCTCCAGGGACTCGACAAGGTATGGAACTGAATATAAGGAACTGAATGCGGTTACCTACCGACAAATACGTCTCCTCGCATACCCTGGCACACCCTGTAAAACGAAAATTCAGCAGCACAGCAGCAGTGAGCGAGCAGTGCGGAGCATAGAGAAAAGTTTTCCAAAACGCGTGCCACATATTAAATTACATCGAAATATGTGCACACGCGATGATTTGTCGAAGGGGCAGTTTGTAATTTGCTGGCATTTTGTCGATTTTATCAGGCAGCAGCAGCACCAGCACCAGCACCAGCGGGATGGTGGCAGGAAGGGTCGTGCAGGAAAGGCATTGCTGATATTTTGATACATTTGTTTGATTCCACAGTCATATAGTGTAGTGTGTGCAGCTCTTTAATTGAATTTACCTCGCGTAATTGTCGCAAAAATCGGATAGAATGTCCATACGAAATGGGGGACAACTTCAAAACGTGGACTTGCCCGGAAATGGCACTTTCAGTGGGCGTTACAAGGCAATTTTCCACCCAACATATTTTTTATATTTAAATGCAGCCAAAAAGAGAATTTGATGGAGGGGGAAAAACAGTCATAGAAGAGGGAAAAGTATATAATTATTAAAAGATTAAAGGGAACTACGATTGGTGTTCTGATATAATAATCGGCAGCTTAAGGAAGAATTTGGATTTTCCAAGGGTTACAAAATCAAGGTATAGCTTCCTCTGATTGCCTTTTATACAAGCAACCAATAGGTGCCCCGGGAATAATCTATACCTCGATTACCTTCCGATTCTCCTTCCCAAAGCTAATTCCCATTATTGCCATCATTTCGAAAAATCGTTTAAGATATTCCCAGAAGGTTTCTTCATGTAAAACTAAATATATTATACTTTGTTTATGGTAGCCTTCCCTATTTTGTGTTAATACTCAAAAAGGAAATGCCACTTGCTGCTGGTGATCCATGGAGCCAGGACCCCAACTAAGGATGTAGCCACTTGTGCACACAAAGCAGCCCTAAGGATGTGCGCTGTTGTCTTGTATCAGAAGTTAATTTACCGAGAATCAAAACTTAAATGCGGAAAACGGATCTAAAAAGAGACGCCGCCGCCGCATTCACCCCAAAGGAAGAGCACGACCCCGACCCATGGCCTTTACGTGTAACCTGATCATTGACACACTTCAGCTTTGATTTCAGGGAATTATGCTAACAAAAAAAAACACATAAGAGAAGCAAAAGCAAAAGACATCATCCTTGTCGACAAGACAAAAGGATTTGCCAGGGCAAACTGACACAAAATGTTGTAATTGCCCCCGAGAAATGAGGCCTGTGCCCCTGAGCTCCTGTTTTTCTGTGCGCTGTGCCCTGTGCCCTGTGCGCTGTGCCCAGTGCTCTGATGGTAACCACTAAGTGGCAGTGGTGCAATTTGATGCCACGGCAATGCAGCTACATTTTTATTATTATTATAAAAATTAGGCTTAGCTGGTTTGACGGTGGCGGTGGCACGTGCAACATGGAATGGAATCAGAGACAGGGCCAGACACAAATTAAGCAGACTAAACGATTCCCAACACACACACACACACACACACGCACAGGGAAAATTCCATGGGAATCTTTGAAACAACACAAAATAAAACAAAAATCTAAAAATCAATAAAGAACTCAAAGAAAGGCACTGCACTGCCCGGCACTCTTTTATTTTAAGTAAATTTTCAGCACAAACTTCGCTCTTCCGCACGTTCGTGTGTCAACGGGCTAACACAATGGGGCTGACAACAAAGCGGTGGGTGTGTGGATGTGGAGTCCTTTGCCTGGCTGAAGAGTAGCATCCACCTGTGTGTGGGGCGTGGGTTTTGCCCCTTTTAGGATGAGCAAGTTAAGTGCTTTCGGGCAGGTGGTGGGGTGGAGTGGCGGTTCTTATGGGTTGCAGAGAGCATCAGTTGACAGGCATTCTTTTGAATGCTTTCGGGAAAGTCTAAGGGACATTTAAATAATATTTCTGTAGATTTCTGTAGGTAGCTAAGGGTTATCTAAGGCTTATACATATATCTGAGCATTAGCAGCGATCTGCTGCGCTGTGTTTTCCCATCTGAAATATTATTTTTTTAAAATCTTTCAAGCAAAAGTGCAAGGCTTCGAGCTACCTCCCAATGCGTAATATATAGGGCCCAGAATGCTCTATCTGCACCCACCCACACCCACACCCACACCCCCAGCCTACTGCCATATTGTCGCACCCCACTGGCAATGCCATGCCCACCCGTAATACGCCCGCTTTAGGGCTTTAACCTAATAATGATGTTCGACTTACTTTGCGTGACTTATTTTATTAATAAAACGAGCAAATTTGTCTTGCTTTTTGGTCGCATCCATCCACGGCATTCACTCGCCCGTTGCCGTGTCGTTATTGTCTTTCCCTTTGCCCACAGAAAGGGGATGGGCACCACCCCCCACTCACACACCTTTTTTGGTTGGGCTGGCTGTATCTGTATCTGCGTCTGTGGGCTAAACAAGGACGAGTAGCTGTCGCCTGCAACCCTGACAAGTGCTGCACGCCGATTGGTTGAACATTTAGGACGAGCGAAAGAACACGCCCACTGCCCCAAGCACCACAGAGCTGCCACCCCACCCCAGCCCATGCCAAAGCCCATGCCAAAGCCCATGCCAAAGCCCAAAGTGGGTGTACTATGGCTATGTTGATTGAATTACAGCCAAGTACATATTTTGGTACAACAACGAGGCAAAAAATTCACCAATTTGAAGGCGAAGCCAAAGCGAAGCGAAGCGAAGCGAACATCTTGGGGCGCTCTTCTCTGTTAAGTTGCTTCCACGGGGCCCCTTCATTAGGGACCAGAAGCAGCTCATTAGTAGTACAGTTGTGCAGGCAGGCGCCATGGCAGCGCCATGGCAGAGACAGAGACAGTCAGTGGCAGGGAGCAGGGAGCAGGGTAGGCGAAGGCAGCCAGGAGCCACAGGAGGCATGGCATCGCCTCCTGCTGCCGTGAATCTTTAATTCAATTATAATAATTGTGGCATTTAATGAATTTAATGCATGCACATCATTCAGACAACAATGGCGGCCATGACACGTTAATTATGCGTAAACCGGAAACCGGAAACAGGAAGCAGCGCGCAGCGAGCCGCGAGCAGCGCAGAGGTGAGCGCCACAAAATGGCGCCATCAGGCAGCAGCCGGCCAGCACAGATTGTTTGTCGTGGCACATAGTTGTGCAAATTATTTGCGGTTAACATGGGTCAATTAAACAAAAGCATCACGTAAATTACACACCCATCTCCATATCCATGTCCATGTCCATGTCCATGTCCATGTCCGTGTCCATGCCCATTCTGATGCCGATGCCCATTCCCCTGGGTCTCGTAACCTAGTTAAGGTCCTCTGTTAATCGAGGCTCCACCGACGCGGATCGGATGCCAGCAGAGGGCATGCAGAAATCTCATTGAAAAATGTACAGAGCGACAGAGACGACCATAGAGCATGCCATGTCCTCTCCCACCCAAGGGAAGGCGCACAGCACATGCAAATTGGGGGTGTGACAGAGGCAGAGTGTCCATGGATTACGGGGCGGTGGTGCTCGTATTTTGGATCTAAGCGGACCGGAACGTAGCGTAGCGTAGCGGCTGGAACTGCATTGGCCCCCGGCCAGGAGGTTGGCGGCGGTGAGGGTGGATTGCAACCTCAGCACAGCACCCCCCCTGCCAGGATCTGCAAGCGCATCTCTCTCTCTCTCTCTCTCTCACTCAGTCTCTGATTTGTGGAAGCAGCATCATCGCGCTCTCTCTCCTTCGCACTCGTGGAGACTCGTTTAGAGCAATTTGCTGGTTGATGTGCGGTGATTGCCACAAACTCAACGCGACCGTCAACGAGTAAACAACATAAGCGCGTCTCTCCGTCACAAGGACATACCCCTACACACACACGCACACACGCACACACACACACACACACAGAGAGAGAGAGTAGAGTCCGCTCCGCTCCATTCGGGATCCGTATCCGTATTCGCAGTCCACACACCATATCCAAATCGATTTGATGTCCACACACATGTCAATGCTTAATGAGAACGGTTTGAGGAGCAGTCCCGTGGATGCACATGGCAACAATAAGGGCAGTGCAACAACCACAATGTTGACCACAAAAACGCCATTCTCCATTGAGCATATATTGTTTCAAAATTTAAATAGTGCCAGTGCCAATGCCAATGCCAGTGCCAATAGCAATAGCAACACCAATTCCAATAATAATGTGAATAATAATACTAGTAACAATAATAATAATAATAGCAGTCACAAGTGCGGCAAGAATGCGGTGAAAGGTGCCAGCAGGAGCGGCTTTGCCCCATCATACGACAATAATACACAGAAGCAGCATCCGCAGCAGCATCATCATCCGACGGCATCCACGGCAGCTTCAGCCGCGTCGGCATTGACACGCGGCGGCAGCCAGGGAGCAGCAGCGTCGGGATATGGCAACGAGGACTATGCCAAGTCCCTGCACAATAGTCAACGGTCAGTGAACACATATAACCCAGATAATTGATAGCTTTTTAATGGAGCATTCAAGAGTTTTGAAGCATCAAAAAGAAATTCAAATTAGTTCATAAATCAAAGCACAAAATTTAACAAGCGAAAAGCAAAACTTAGGGAATGAAGGAATCTTTTTTTTGTAAAAATTTGAAAGCCAGAAATTCTCTTTTTTAATTTAATTTGAAAGTAAAGTAAAAACAAAAACAAAACTTTATTGAGCATAAACAGTTTGATAATTTAATTTAGCTCCTGAAATATATCTAAACCATAAATTTGCAGATACAAAATGTGTGTGTACGGCGCAAACTCCGCAACGCGTGTACCAAATTAAATGATAGCCAGATTATGTGGCATTGTTTATATAGACAAAAATTTCTTTGTACTTTTCTATAAACAGGTTCCTCAACAAATTAAAAATTAGTCGAAAAATTCTCAAATTTGGGCAAAAATGTGTGTTTGAATGCCCATTCTGTTTCATTTTGTGTCATTCTGTAGAACGGAACATTTTATGATAGATTTTGTTTTAATACCTTTAGATTCGAGATTTTTTGACTAGATTTTAATTTTTGAGGAACCTATTTATAGAAAAGCACAATTGCAATTTGTGTAAGTATATTTGTTGCTTTTGATTATTAGCGCTTAATTTCGATGAATTCCCAAACATTAAATTCAGTTAGTAAGCTGCGAAGCGCGCGGGTCTGTTAGTTTACAATATAATTAATGATTAACCAGCAATTAGTAGAAGTTTTTGGAAGGCACAGAATGCTACTCATAGACCGTTTAAGATCTATATAAGTTGATTGCAACATATGAATCTTATTCATTGAATTCGTAATGTGGAAATTTGTCAAATATATTCTATTCTATTCGAAAATAGTGTAGGGATCCTCCTTAATTTTAAGCCACGAATATATTCCAATTTATTGCAAGTTTATTTTATAATAATTTTATAATTTTATAATAGTAAAGAGTCGGGAATGTTAGTTCAATTAATTTTTAAAGTTATTTAAAGATTTGTTTCTTAAGTTTTCGAAGTGAAACAAAATTTAAGCTGAGTTCTAACCAAAAAAGAAACCTCAGGAAATATCTCATAATAAATACATATACTCAACTCTGATGTTGTGTGTTCCCCAAGTACTACCACATTTGTTCTGCCTTAATCGATGAAACTCTATGCAACTTCCAGTGGCAGCCATCATCCACGTGCTGGAGCCTCTCATTATGGCAGCTCTTCCGCGGAAACAACAGCCCAGCAGTTGGGATCACAGCTACCGCCAGCACCACAGCCGCCACCTCCACCGCCCCCGAATGGTGGTGGGGGCCCCAATGGCGGAGGAGTGCTCTATCCCAGTGCGGCGTACACGGACCATGGCTTCCTGCAAATGACCCTCGGCTATCTGTCGCCATCGTCGGGCACATACAAGTCCGTGGATCCCTATTTTCTCTCACAAGGTGAGTGCCAAACGAAAACTTTCAACTATCTGGCCGGCCGCACAGCCGTGTCGATAGCCATTAACACCCCCCGAAAAGTTTTCTAATTTCTACTATCAACTTTAATGCAATTAATGAAATATTTTGCAGCCAGCCTGTTTGGGGGAGCGCCCTTCTTTGGGCCGCCCGGCTGTGTGCCCGAGCTGGCCCTGGGCCTCGGGATGGGCGTGAACGCGCTGCGGCATTGCCGGCGGCGCAAGGCACGCACCGTGTTCAGCGATCCCCAGTTGTCCGGCCTGGAGAAGCGCTTCGAGGCGCAGCGGTATCTGTCCACACCAGAGCGAGTGGAGCTGGCCACAGCGCTGGGGCTGAGTGAGACGCAGGTGAAGACCTGGTTCCAGAACCGACGAATGAAGCACAAGAAGCAGCTGCGACGACGCGACAATGCCACTGGTAAGGGAAGCTGGAAAACCCGACCCCCCCACGACTAATAGAACTTGCAACTTTCTTTGGAGGAACTTTTTGGACCTTCAATTAGCCTTTGGTCTTTGGCTTTTAGCTGTTGGCTGGCTTTTTGGAGTTGCCAAAAGTTTTGCTCAAGTTTTGCTACGCAAATCAAATTAGTTCTAAAATTTGTGCAAATTTCTTCGACTTTCTTCACTCTCAGAACCCGTTGACTTCTCACGCACCGAACTGGGCGGCTGCAGCACTGGCAAACAGCAGCCAGGCGAAGCCTCCTCTGCCTCCACGGACGGCCCCAAGCATGGCTCCAAGATGGCCTCTAGTGGCAGCAGTGGTGGTGCAGGCGCTGGCGCTGGCGCTGGCACGCCAGCTGGCAGTCAAACCCCCAATCCCCAGCAACAGCTGCAGATGTGCTTCCTGCAGCAGGGCTACTCAACGGACGATTACTCCGACCTGGAGGCGGACAGCGAGGATGAGGATAACTCCAGCGATGTGGACATTGTGGGGGACACTAAGTTATATCAACTCACATAGATCTGATTGCCAGGATCTCATCAAGTCTGTTCTATCGATGAGCGCCTTGTCGTGGTTTTAAATGGGGAAAAAGGAAGCCCTTTCTAAAGGTATTTGTTGTTGAAGATTTGTATATTTTATGTTATTTTTTATTGTTTATTTTTTTAAGCGAAATTTTACTATTATATTTTTTTTTGTTTGTTTTATATTTACGGTTAATTTTGTTTGATTATTTTTTAAAAAGAAATTTTATATTTAGAGTTAAAATCTTGTTTGCTGTAAAAAATATGGTTTTAAATAGTTAACAAGCTATAATAATTCTCTAATGCTTTAAACAGAAAAATCAAAAGAGTATTTCTGTGTCAGAAGATAAATATTCTGAAATATTTAAAGCACAAATGAAATTTAAAGAGCTGAAAGAATTTCTTATTCGAAACATTAATTTTTAAAATATTTCTTTCCTATTAAATAGAGCCTCAATTATGTTATAATTTTAACAATGATTTTCCCCAGTAAAGTTAATCCTTTCTTGTGTTCTTTTCGTTGTTACAAGAAATACCGTAAACTAAGGATTATTATTAATTTATTATTTATCAGTATTATTTGCCAATATTTTACCCATTTAAAGCCGCTGATCAAAGCCTATTGGACACCCTGTAAATAGCGATAAATATTCTTGAACGAGTTGCTGTCTAGTCACGAGCTATGTCTAAGAGATATATTTATGTATTAACCATAAACCTAATCAAATTTAGTGATTGTATTCGAGTACTTCCATTTTAAGAACTTCTTCTCTAATCCCAAACAACAAAAAAAAAACACCAACCTATGTGGCAGCTCCTTGTCGATGTGCTAGTGCTTAAAATAAAGAAGGAAACAAAATATAACAGAATCATGAGAATATTGGATGGGTATTACTCGGAGTCGGGAGCTCTATGCCCCCCTTTCTATGCCCAATCTATGGGCAATGGGCAATCAAATCCAATTGAGTGGCAACAAAAAGTAGCAACTAATAAGGTTAAACATCGCGCATTTGTGTATAGGGTTGAGTGACAGCCACGCCCCCTTCTGCGCATGGCCAAGTGCCTTGTGGGTGGGCGTTGTTCTGCAGGAAAAACTCCTACGACATTGGGGGTGGATAGATGGATAGACGGGTGGATGGATGGATGGGAAGAGTGCTCTTAACAATGGCAAAATAATTGCGGGTTTTCCAGCCAGCCATTTTAGTGGAGAGACACTTATTGTTCCCCGTTTGAGTTCCGTGTGTGCGGGAAGTGAATGTTAAATGTTTCCAAATTGATTACTAATTATGGGTTAACAGGAATGCCAGCAATAACTGGGTTCAAAAGGGAAATTATAATACATCTTCTTTACAGATAAACATATGGATTTAATCATGTTGATTGAATGGTAAGTACAACTTTCCGATAAATGTGAACCAATTACAAACTATTATTATCACAACTTGTTTGATCTTTACAACCATCAGGAATCTGTCCCAAATTTCTAGAGTTTAATCGTACATTTAATAATGATTCCCAACAGAAGAGAAATATATAAATAATTTCTTTACGTCATGGAATCAAAGTGCAAATCGGTTAAAGCTGTCTTAACAAATCCACTAGTATATTTCTATATATTCCCACATAATTTATTTATATTTATTTTTAAATTTGTTTTTTGTTTTTTTTGTTGTGGCTCATTTTCTAATTAGTAGACACGCTCTAATCGTAGACAAATTAAACATAACGTGAAATATAATCTAAGGTCGAAGCAATGACACCACAGTCCCACGACATAGAGAACAGATCGCACCTTTAATACTTTGTAGAATGGAATACTCGTAGTATTCTCAATATTCTTATCAGTTTAGGATTGATAGGGGGCTTGTGTGACAAAAAAACTGGGGCAGGGGACAAGCCTCCCCTATGTCCGTGCAATCAGTCGCATTAGTAATAAAAAACCACTCACATATGCACATACATACAAACATATGTATGTAAGACTAACCGCCAAGTTTTTGATAGTTAAATCAGATTATATAGGGTGCTACATTAGAAGAAGTAAAGGGAATGTCGATGTTCATAAGAATGTACATACATACATATGTGTACATTATATGCATGTATGTATGTTTAATGTTGCTACCGTATGAAAAAGCTATAGCATACTTTAAGGTCTTGTTTTTCTAATTTTTCAGAATGAAAAATGACATTTAAGTGGTTTTTTGTTGCCAAACCTTTAAGGTTTTGTTGATAATATTACACATTTTTTATTAGTCCATAAAAATTCGCATCATATTTCGTTATAAAAGATCACTGAACACGAACACCCTTTATTATTTGCTTTGAAAAAACAAAAATTAACAAAAATGTTTTGGTCTAAGAGAGAAAAAAACCCAAAAAAAAAACAGGTTTGTTTGTAGTAGGGCGCTTCCTACTACTACTACTCTCAACAAGGTTTTTACCACGAGCAACGATAACGCGAAATGGCATTACGATAAGAGTTTCTACGGCTTTGGATCTTCTATATCATAGCATATGATATATGTGTATGTGTATGTGTATGTGTGTAAGTATGAGCCGCTCTCATATTCAATGCTTCCCAGGAACTGAACTCTCTCTTGCTCTGTTGCTCTTGCTTTGCTGTCTGTTGCTTCAGCTTTCAATCCACACTCTCTCCGCGCTGTCTGTCTGCCGCTGTTATGCTCTCCATCTGCACTAACTATCTCTCGCGCTCACTAGCAAAGCAAGCATGCACATTTTTCTTATCTTCACTTCCATACCACCACTCATTTCTCTCTCTCTCTCTCTCTCTCTCTTTACCTAACTCCCTCTCTTTTGTGTATTACATGCTATCTGTCAGTGGAAAAAAGCAAAACAAGAGAGTAATGTTAGCTGTGGCCCGACGAACCATTTAATACTCTTTCAGGTCTATCAAATGAATAAATATGCGCTGACAATGTCGATTAAATGTTGTTAACCTTATTTAATTCAGCTTGACAAACATCTCTTCAAAACAGTTATACCTTGCAGGGGAAGCGTGCAAGCTGTGACGTTGTGGCCGCTGCTGTCGGTGGGGACGTGGACTAAAATCGAGCAAACGCACAGTTCGGTTCCGGCAGTCTCTTTAGCACAGCCGTCGACTGCGGTGTTTGTTTCGTTGTCGTTTTTCCCCCCATCTATAGATCTGTTTTGTGTTGTAAGTGAAAGTGCATTTCGGTTCTAAAGAAGCTCCCACACAACAAGGCCTTGTGTCCAACCGGTCAAAGCAATGTAAAGGACAAGCCCCAGCAGTCAAATCATTCGTATCACTTGAATATATGAGAGATATACATAGCTATATGTATACGTAAATACGATAAAAATACAGCTTTTACTTATAGACGATATGCTGGCTAATCATGTGTTCTTCGGCAACGTTCTAAAAATATATGGGAGGCACGTGTCGGTTTATTCAAAAATTGGCTTTGCTAAAAAATATTGCATACATATGTACATATGTATATATTTTGTGGTTCCGGTTTTATAAAACTTTCCTTGATACGAATTTGACCCCCCCATATGCGATGGGACAAACAGGTTATCAGCAAAGTCAAAAATAAATAAACAAGAAGAAAAGCCTGCAGTCGAAAACCGAATCTTTTGATACACTGACTCAGAGTGATTATTAATTTATTGGTATAGTCTCGAATGAAATAAAATTTAATTTAAGTGGCATAATTCTTCTTAAAATAATTAAGAAACCCAAGAAAAGTATCTAATTTCCAAAGAAACTTTCATTCTGTGTACAATTCTCTGCTACAAATTCCGAATACTCTCTCTACGGGTACTTCAAATTAACACGTAAGAAGCATGTACATAAAAAGTGACAATTTTTCTGATAGTGATTCGATTTTATGCAACAAGACACCCGACAAAAAAAAAAAGCAATCTTGAAGATAGTGGCCCGTACAGAGAGGGTGGACCCAAGAGGGGTACACGCTGTGACCTTCACAGCTATGGGAAAGGGCACACTTTGTGGCAAATTATAATTTGTTTGTATTTTGATGGATCCCCACAGGAACCACACAGCATACTCGTATCGTATCCGTAATTTAGAGTGTGTCCAACCAACCGATAATGGCGGCCAGTAACGGTGATTGTAAGTGAAGGCGCTTCCTGCTTCCATTTCCCTGCCGCAGCCCTGCTGTTGCCGTTCCTTACCCAACCTGCAGCATCCTCCAATCCGCAGTCCCGCACCATCCTCCAATCCTCACCAATATGTTGTACCAGCCAGTTCTTACTCAGCCTGTTGCACCACTAAATACTTAACCGCGTTGCTTAGCCAGCCGAACCCTAAACCTGCTCTTTCCTGCCTGTACCAAAACCCTAAATAATCTTGCAGTTATTCTCCAAATAAATAACCCAAATATAACCAAATATAACCAAATATAACGAAAATCTACCTTATTTAAAGTACAAACCAGAATTTATTTATGAAATATATGTGTTATATGTACTAGTTCCACTTATTTAATTATACAGCTGTATAGCCTGTTAATCGGCTACTTATTCTTAATCTCTAACTAAATTCATATGAAATAATCCGGACTAGATTTTGCTGAACTTTAACATTGATCTTTTCTGATGACTTTACTGATTAAATATTCAATAAAAAACACAGAAGAAATATAATTTAAATACGTTACTCGCAGAATTACAAGAAAATATTTATGCAATCAAATAAAAAATGAGAACACATTTGTTCTAAAATGAATTAAAAATTCAACCAAAAAATATTAAAATTGATTTTTATACGAGTTTTAATGAATTTCAATTAATAACTAATACAAAAAAAATATCTAAACATTATCTTAAAAACGAATAATAATAATAATATAATAATAATTAATACCACAATAATATCTAATAATGAACTTAAAAAATATCATAAAATTGCATATGAAAAATCGTAGCATCCTCTCCCAATCCCCTCCTCTTACCAATGAAACCAAGAATCCAAGAGTCCGAACTATAATCAAATTTTTCGTTTTATAAACAGCAAAAATGAGCCAACAGGGGCCCGTTTTCGATTCCAATGCCATGACGCTGACGCGTTTTGTGCTCCAGGAGCAGAGGAAGTTCAAAAACGCCACTGGGGATCTGTCCCAGCTGCTCAACTGCATCCAGACGGCGATCAAGGCGACGGCATCGGCGGTGCGGAAGGCTGGAATAGCCAAGCTTCATGGCATTGCCGGGGATGTGAATGTTCAGGGTGAGGAGGTCAAGAAGCTGGACGTGCTCTCCAATGAGCTGTTCATCAACATGCTCAAGTCATCCTACACCACCTGCCTGATGGTGTCCGAGGAGAACGAGCATGTGATCGAGGTGGAGACAGACAAACAGGTTAGCAAATCAGTAGGAGATATTATCGCAGTTGAGAGGCAGCCAGTATGAACTCTTTTCCCACTTTGGCAGGGCAAATACATTGTGTGCTTCGATCCGCTGGACGGATCCTCCAACATAGACTGCCTGGTGTCGATCGGCTCCATCTTTGCCATCTACCGAAAGAAGAGCGAGGGCGTGCCCACCGTCGAGGATGCCCTACAGCCCGGTAACCAATTGGTGGGCGCCGGCTACGCTCTATACGGCTCGGCCACGGCCATTGTGCTCGGACTGGGCTCGTCGGGAGTGAACTGCTTCACCTACGATCCGGCCATCGGCGAGTTCATCCTCACCGAGCCCAATATGCGTGTGCCCGAGAAGGGAAAGATCTACTCGATCAACGAGGGCTATGCCAGCGACTGGGAGGCGGGAGTGTTCAACTATGTGGCGGCCAAGAAGGATCCCAGCAAGGGCAAACCCTACGGTGCTCGGTACGTGGGCTCCATGGTGGCCGATGTCCATCGCACCATCAAATACGGCGGCATCTTCATCTACCCGGCCACAAAGTCCGCACCAAATGGAAAGCTGCGCCTGCTCTACGAATGCAATCCGATGGCCTATCTGATGATTCAGGCCGGCGGCTTGGCCAGCGACGGAAAGATTAGCATCCTAGACATTGTCCCCAAGAAGATACACGAACGCAGCCCCATCTTCCTCGGCTCCAAGGCGGACGTTGAGGAGGCGCTCAGCTACTTGAAGTGACTTTTAATTTTGTAATTTATAAATATACCCAAAACACGTTTGATATTTTTTACCTTAACTTCTTCGCTTTTATATCCTGCCCCTGGAGGTGGGCTACTCCAAATAGTGCACTAATAATTCCCAACTGGTTCTGGCCGTACAGTCATCAGGTGGTTGATGATTTCCACGTTCAGGTTATCGCTTCTCGGCCTTATGGCTAAGATCAAAGTGTAGTATCTGTTCTTATCAGCTTAACATCTGATAGTTTCTCCATTGGAGAACAACAAATGTTAAACTGATTTTTGGAATCAGACGGAGTGCTAGGGGCTTGCTCCACCTCTGTCGCGGGTTGGCCCGGTATTGCAGTACCGCCGGGATTTTCAGCCCAACTAAACAATCAATTTTGACCCACAGTTAAATATTCTATTCTTTTTATTGAGTTTTAGTTCACACTACTTATAATCTGATTCAAATTGTCATGTGGTTAATCCACCCAATATGCCTCACAAATAAAGTAAAGTAATGTGAGACCGCATAGATTGGTGCGCATCTCACCTCTGAGTAAATAGACGCAATCACAGTTTTCACCATAGGGTTCCTTTCCCGCCCAATGAAAGAATGTTCCTTTGACACCAGTAGTGGCCGAAATAAACTCTCCTTCAGCTTCCAGTTTTTTCAGATCTATCCAATAGAGACTGTAAACTATACTATCGATTGCCTTCAACTCATCCTCGTTTTGCAGACTCACCAAATGGGCTCCCATCTCTTGGCAGATATCGAGGGCACCCTGCCAGTTCGTTTTTTTTGTATTTTCTATATAATAGTATTTCGAACCAATTTTTTTGAAAAGTTCTAAATTTTTAGGTTTAAGCTTTAGCTCCAATTTCTTAACTTTTTCTTGTAAGCTCTTTTCCATCGCCTGCAAAGTGTCTAACTTTTCGTCCCTTTCTTTCCGTTCGGAAGCCAGTTGTAGCTCCAATTTGTGAACATGTTCCCCTGATTCACTTTCCAACTCTTGTTGGATCTGTTTACCAAGAGTCTCTATCTTTTCGCCCATTTCTTGCCGCACGGCAGCCACTTTTTGCTCTAATATATGAATTTTCTTTTCCCTTTCTTTCCGTTCGGAAGCCAGTTGTAGCTCCAATTTATGAACATGTTCCCCTGATTTACTTTCCAACTCTTGATGGATCGCATGTCCCAACCGCCAGCAAAGTGTTTTCCAAGAGTCTCTCCAATCTTTTCGCCATCTGTTTCCTTTTTTGCCCATTCCTTGCCGCACGGCCAGCCACTTTTTGCTCTAATATTTTTGAGCTGTTTCCCAATTCCTGCAGTCCCGTAGAATTTTGTGTCCATTATTTTCGCCACTGCACGGCAGCCACAGCTTGTTGCTCTAATTCATGAGTTTTTGCCGTTGATCTTTTTTCCAAATACTGCTGGGTTGCCATGTGTCCTGCCAAAGTGTCTAACTTTTCGTTCATTAGGGCGATTTTTGAGAGTGTGTCAGCCGGCTGCTTGGCCTCACAGGACTCCACTCGCTTTTGCAGGATGGCGAGGTAATCCAGGACCGGTTTCACAGCTCCGTAACAGTAGCCTCCGCACTCGTGTTGGGATTCATCCACCTATTGGTGAGCACCGCAATGTTTTTGGGATTTTTGCAGTCAGTAAACGGAATATTTCACTCACCTCACAATGCTGGGACAGAGATCGCCCAAAGGTTATCGCCAATAAAATGAAAACAATTGAACACCGCATTGGTACTACTTCTCTGAATAGAATCTAAAAAAGAACTGGCATTCGCAGAGTTTCGTAGAGGTATTTATACTTCCGTTCCTTCCGTTGTGAACTGATAATAAAATGAAATGCGAAAGTACACGCAATTAAGAAATAAAACCAGACGAATTATTTTAATGATTTATGGATTCAATAATCTAGAAGTAGATTAAAACGAAAGTTTCAAACGTCACGCAAATTTTTCAAAGAAACGGAAACTAAAAGGCATTCGCCTTGTGCTTGGGCACAAAGCTGAAACCTTCAGGCACCCGACCCAGCAGCATTTCACTGAGCTTCACCCAATCGGCGGCATTGCCGGAACTCATGAGGGTCTCCATTTCGTCGCGACCCCGATATTTCTGTGGCCTGGCATTGATCTTCTGTGGGGGGGCCTGCTGCAGCTCCTCCGGTATGTAGCGGTACAGGAATGATTGCCATTCGAGTAGGAATCGTCGGGTGCTCTCCACACCCTTGGTGTCCGATCCCCAGTGCTCGAGTCCATAGTTGCAGTAGCGACGCAGCATCTCAAAGCGCTGCGTTGATGTGGGAGACCAGGCCTTTTGCTCCTTGATCTCCTGAAATATCCATGGCTTGATGAGGGCTCCGCGTCCAATCATCACAGAGCTGACATGAGGGGCCAGCGCTCGCCTCTCCACATAGTCCTCGTAGCTGAGAATGTCCCCGTTGCCGATGATTGGCATTTGCTTGGCTGTGGCGGCGCACTGCTCGATGTAATCCCAGTTGGCGTGCTTGGTGTAGCGCTGCTCGCGCGAACGGCCATGCAGGGTGACAGCCGAGGCGCCCCATTCCTCGACAAGGGGCACCAGCTCGTGGGCCACGCTCTTGTCCGCATATATGCCCGTGCGCATCTTCACGGTAAATGGCAGCTGCTCGGACAATGAGGCACAGCTGCGCACGACCAACTCCAATATGTTGGTGCGCCTCATTAGGGCACTGCCGCCTCCTTGCTGGTAGATCAGATCAATGGGACAGCCGATATTGAGATCTATGTAATCGACCTTTGCCGTCTCCTGCAGGACTTGGGCTGCCTGGGTGATGACATTGGGATTGTTGCCGCACAGCTGAACTCCAAAGATATCCTCGCTCTCGTGCCGCTTCGTCAGGGCCCATTCCTGTCCCAGCCCCTTGAGCAGCGGCACAGCGCAGGCCATCTCACCGCAGGTTATATCCGCACCGAGCTCCTTGCATATGCGGCGGAACGGCAAGTTGCCCACGGTCGTTAGTGGCGAGAGGACCAGCTTCTCGCGAAAATCAACGGTTGGCTTGCGGTCAGCATCCGCATCCCTGCCTACAGTGGAGTCATCGACTGCACTTCCAATGGGCGTTTCACTCTCTTTGGCAGGTGCTTCAGCAGCTTTAGCCTCTGCCTCGTGGTCGATTGTGATGTCACCCTGCTGATTGATCTTCTTCTGCAATTCCAGATTCTTCTCCTGCACCTCCAGCTTCTTCTCTTGCAGCTCCCTTTGCTTACGGGCATCTCGAATCTTCTCGGCCACAGCAATCAGTAATTTGCTGCGATCCAAATTGTATTCATGCTTCCGAAGACGCACCTGCAGGTCTGTGCAAATGCACGGTATGTACATGTAAAATCCTTCTTTGTGTAAGCCTCAAATGGACACTCACCTGGTGTTATCCCATTGAATGTGGTCTGAGTGGCCTTTGCATCGTAGTCCTCCTTCTTTATATTCCTTCCCCGGTCGTCTGTGTGCGCCTTGGCATAGCGACATGTGACACCGCGGCCACAATACCCTTTGGTGGCATACACATAACATTCCGAGCCCAAATCCTCGCCCTTGGCTGCCAGAAAGGCGTCCAGATCGTGGACATAGCGACAATTGGCCAGAGAACACGCATCACCGCCTGGTCCATCAATCAGAGAGTGGCAAAGATGTGAATAACGATCCTCCTTGAACACAGGACGATTCTGTTTGGGAGCAAAAGACTTAGAATTGATACTCCATTAAGGATTAGAGCGCTGACTCGCCTTGTTCTGACCACGTTTTCGATCTTTTTTGCCATCTCTTTTCCCGCCAGAGTCCTCCGTTTCACCTTCTGCGCGCTTTCTTTTGTTGCTTTCGGAGCTTTTCGCCGGTGCTGCCTCACTGTTGCCATTGGCCTCGGTCAACAGATATCTAAAATTTTCTCAAAATCATAAGAATTCAGTGCATTTAAGATACTAAACCATATCTCACTCTGATTTTATATAGCAGATGCCCGGCTCCATTTTCACAACAAAACTATTTGTTTCTTTTTGTCTCACGTTTTGGCTGCTTCTTCTTCTTGTTTGCCATCCAGCCAACGCGCAGCCAAACAGCTGAACGTGCAATAGCTATCGATACTATCGCTCATCTCTCTTGTATAATGCCGCACGATGGTTCAGCTGTTTAAATTCCTATTAAAATCAACCAAATCGGTAATTATAAAGCCGCTGCTGTGATTTCCAAATAACTCACTGATTCCCTATGCGCAGCCCACTCGTGCCCATTTCCGTCCCAGCTTTCTGGACACACTGCGACTCGCAGTTCGCGGCGGACACGGCGGCAATGGTTTGCCGAAATACGGCGGCGTGGGCGGTCAGGGCGGCTGTGTTTACTTTGTGGCCAAGGAGGGATTGACATTACGCAAATTGGCACAGGGACTGAAAGAGAGGCGCGTGGCGGCCACCAGCGGCGAGGACAGCAGCAAAGTGAGCATTTTTGGGAAACGCGGCGTGGACACGCGCATCGAGGTGCCGGTTGGAGTGCAGGTGTACGATGAGCAGCAGAAGCTGCTGGCGGACTTGAACGAGAACGATGCCACCTGCATAGTGGCGGGCGGTGGAATCGGTGGCTGCACGGGAAACAATTTCCTGGGCCGTCCGGGAGAGAATCGTATTGTGAATCTGGATCTGAAGCTCATCGCAGACGTGGGTCTGGTTGGATTTCCCAATGCCGGCAAGAGTACCCTGCTCAAGGCAGTGTCCAATGCCAAGCCAAAGATTGCCGCCTATCCCTGTGAGTGTTGAATGGTTCTTTGTGCATTGAATCATTTTTGACAATGTCTTTTCAGTTACCACCATTCGGCCGCAGATTGGCACCATAGAGTACGGCGACCTGCGCTCCATCAGCTTGGCCGACCTGCCCGGTCTCATCGAGGGCGCTCATGCCAACTTTGGCATGGGCCACAAGTTCCTCAAGCACATCGAACGCACTCGCCTGCTCCTCTTCATGGTCGACATATTCGGCTTTCAGCTCAGCCCCCGGCATCCGCATCGTGACTGCCTGGCCAACATATATTCGCTCAACAAAGAGCTGGAGCTATACGATCCCTCCTTGCTGGAGAAGCCCTGTGTCCTGCTGCTCAACAAAATGGACAAGGAGGGCGCCCACGAGATTCTGACCAAAGTGAGACCCGTCATTGATGATTTGTCCAGCGGCTTGGCCGACTGTCCGGAGGAGGTGCGTCCCAAGCGGGTGCTGAAATTCGAGAGTATTGTCCCCATATCGGCCATTAATTCGACAAGGGTAACGCAGGTCAAGTCGCAGCTGCGCCGTACGCTGGTGCGTCTGGCGGAGAAACAGTTTGTGACCGATGGCGAGCAGATCAAAGAGCAGCTGCAGCAACGCGTGGGCCTGGTGGGGCCAAAGATCACTTAAAAATATATATAAATCAAATTCAAAATGCACCGCGATTCTTCTTATTAAAAGCTGGCCGATAGCCATATTCCAGCCAGTAAATCGATATACACATAAGCTCTACTGCTATCGATAACAGTTCGCGGACAACACTGACGGTGGGGGCGCACCACAAAGTTTGTTGTTGTGTCTCGGTGCCGTCTCGTTCGTCGCGCGTTAAAACGGAAAACGGAAAATATGCTTAAAATTCGATGCCCGCTTAAAATAAATGAAAATTGCAAGTGCCATAGCGCCACTAAGATGCAGATGTGCAATGTGCCACACAATTGAGTGCACATGAAGAACGGCAAGCGGCCAATAACAATAATGACATTTCGATACATACACACAGACGAAGATTGAGGAAGAAAAAGAAGAAAAAAAAGGAAAAAAAAACTGGTGTATAAAAAACGCCAATGAGAAAAGACAGAGCGTGCAATAAAGAGAGGATAAGCGCGCGCCCCTAAAGCACGGGGGGCCCGATTCCTATCCTGTCCCTCTGCTGGAGAACAGATTTGCATTGCCACAAAAAGAAGAATTTAATTACCCGTCCGTAATGTCACAGCATAATCCGCACGCCCATCCGCACTACCATCACCACCCACTGCACCAGTCGAACAACAACAACAACAACAACAACGACTATCAATCTGGGATTGGGATGTACTCGGCGCCGCCCAGTGCCCACTATGGATGCCTCGACCAGAAGCAGCACCAGCAGCAACAACAGCAACAACAGCAACAGCAGCAGCAGCAACAACAACAGGCACAAATGCCACACAGCAATTGGTACTCACATGTTGCTTCCTACCCGCCAGTGCCACCCCACCACCATGCGACGGCTACCTCCGCATTTGCCGCCACCTCTACACCTTGCAAGGGCAGTAACAGTGGCAGTGGCAGTGTCAGCAGCAACAACATGAATGCGTATGGGGTAGGCAGCACGCATGGATATTATGCTGCTGCTGCAGCCGCCGCCGCCGCCGCTGGCGGTGGGCTCAATGTCAACGCTGTGGGTGGGGGTGGGGTCGGGTCCGTGGCTGCCGCAGCAGCCTATAACCTTGAGGCAAACACAGTGGCATATGCACACAACCAGCTGCTGCAGTACCAACAGCACCATCAGCAGCAGCAGCAGCAGCAGCATCTCAGTCAGCGTTCCTATATGGGGCATGATATAATGTCCGGCACATATCCGTACATCAAAAGCGAACCCATGGAGGCCGCGTATCAGCAGCCACCCCCCAATCCGATGGCCCCACCCCCAGCGCCAGATATGATAATAAAATGTGAGTATGAAACTTAAGACATTTCCAAATGGTATTATAGGGGAGTGAAAATACAAGATATTCCCAAAGAATACTTGAGCGCAAAATCCATTTTAATGTGGATACACACACACACACACATACGGACAGGCAGATTATTCTGTACATTTAGGGGGCCATTTTTCCTATAAGTAGCCGTAATTTCAGCTCCATTTTGGCGTCTCCGAATCAATAAAACGTTTTTTGCGTTTGCTTGAGTTTCGCTGAGGTTTTTGCGTTCGGTTTGGTTTCGGTTCGGTTTCGGTTCAGTCGTTCGTCTACTTACGGACGGGGTCTACTCTGTACCGCTGTATCTCTGTTTTGCTTCGTTCTGTTCTACGTTGTCTCTCTGTCTCAGTGTCTGTCTGCCTGTCTGTATGTATCTCTATTTAGCAAATGTAGAGAGATGCTTTATATTACCGGCACTGCAGTATCCACCGTACAGAGAATACACGTAGCTATTATTTGCGCTCTCTGTAATGGAATTGGAATTGGGAATTGGGAATGCGTTGGGGTTGAGGTTGATGTTGTTTCGTCGCTTGGTGCAGCCAGCAGAAGCAGCAGCAGCAGCAGCAACATCAGCAGCTCTTTCAAGTCGGTTTCTTATGTAAGACTAACCTATAATATTGTTAACGCCTCTCCATCGCCTCTCTACCGAACCCAAACCGACATCCGATGCCTTCTATCTATCAATAACCATTTGGGCGGGGCCATCACCAGGCCATAATTGATGGACAAACAGAGAAAATGTTTGTCATTAGGGTTGCATCCAAAGTCGTATGTAAATTCAAATGCGAATAGCATGAAAGATAATTCGATATCATCTGCGATTTATTTAGCAGAAAAATTGCTCGAATTTTAGCATGGAAAATCATTGTAAGCGCAGAGAGATTTCCATTTAAACTAATGGATTCCATTCGTTAAATTTCTGCGAGTAGTTTCAGTTCTTTTTTTTTTTTTTTGTGTGGCTACCATAGAAACCGAAAACAAAAGGTACAGAAAAATTTATTTTTCTTGTGCGCAAAAATAAATAAAGATTATTTGTACTTCAAATTTCTAATCTAATTCAAATTTCTATGGATAATAAATAAATAAATATAATAATTAAATGCATATTTTATCTCTTGTTAGCGGAACCCATGGATGAACATGCCTACAAGTCCAACTACATTGATGACAATACGCCCTTTGCTGATTTTAATAAATTCAATGAATTCAGCGGCGATATGCTGAGCCCCAAAGTGGAGCTAACCATCAAGGATGAGACCTATGGAAAGGTAAGTTTATGTTCTAGATAAAATACGAATTTATACGAACAAACTTCCACATTTTTCAGACATCCAGCGGCAGCAGCTTTGCACGCCGCAAAGTCCAACAGCAGCCGCAGCAACAGCCACAGCTGCCAACGACAGATCGTTCAGCGGAGAGTCTGCCCATTTGTCAGCGCTGCAAGGAGGTGTTCTTCAAGAAGCAATCCTACCTAAGGCATGTGGCCGAGAGCAGTTGTGGCATACAGGAGTACGATTTCAAGTGCAACATTTGCCCCATGTCCTTCATGACCAGCGAGGAGCTGCAGCGGCACAAGCATCTGCATCGTGCGGACAAGTACTTTTGCCACAAATACTGCGGCAAGCATTTCGATACGATAGCCGAGTGCGAAACGCATGAGTACATGCAGCACGAGTATGACAGTTTCGTTTGTAATGTGAGTAGACAAAGCCCCCCCCCCGCCCCTCTAGAGGTGTGATATTTAATGGCCATTGCCCTGCAGATGTGCTCGGGTACCTTTGCCACACGTGAGCAGCTGTACGTCCACTTGCCGCAGCACAAGTTCCAGCAGCGTTACGACTGTCCCATCTGTCGCTTGTGGTATCAAACGGCCGTCGAATTGCATGAACATCGACTGGCGGCTCCATACTTTTGCGGCAAATACTACACCAATCAACAGCAGCAGCAACAGCAGCAGCAGCAGCTGCAGGGGAACTACAAGCTGCAGGACTGCCATATGGCCACCATGGAGAGCAAGTTCAACAGCATGATTAAAGCCTTAATTTAATAATAATATCTGTTACTCCCCCACAGTGCCCACATTGCCCACAGCACCTATTCTTAAGGCACCAACGAACTGCAATGCTTCGGTGCTGCCAGCCACCGCGGCTTTGAGCTCTCTGCTGCAGCAGCGGCAGGCGAATGCCGATGGAGCAGCTGCCATGTTTGCTGCGGCCTCCTCCTCCTCCTCCTCCGCCGCCGCGGCCGCCACCTCTGTCTCGCTAAAGAGCGAGGTGAGCGTGAAGCTCGAGCGCAGCTACAGCAACTCCACCAGCGAGTCCTCGTACAGCCATCAGGACAACAGCAGCTACAACAATGCCTATGGCAGCGACAGCTCCATTCATGGCGGTGCACTGGCCGGACCACAGGCGCACTCCTCAACGCTAGACGACTCGGAGGATGCTTTGTGCTGTGTGCCGCTGTGCGGCGTGCGTAAGAGCACCAGTCCCACGCTGCAGTTCTTTACATTCCCCAAGGACGACAAGTATCTGAATCAGTGGCTGCACAACCTCAAGATGTTCCACATACCGGCGGCCAGCTATGCGACATTTCGCATCTGCAGCATGCACTTCCCGAAGCGTTGCATCAATCGGTATTCGCTGTGCTATTGGGCGGTGCCCACCTTCAATTTGGGCCACGACGATGTCGCCAATCTGTACCAGAATCGCGAGCTAACCAACACCTTCACCACCGGCGAGGTGGCCCGTTGCAGCATGCCGCACTGCACCAGCCAGCGGGGCGAGAGCAATCTGAAGTTCTACAATTTCCCCAAGGACATCAAGAGCCTGATCAAGTGGTGCCAGAATGCGCGCCTGCCAGTGCAGGCCAAGGAGCCGCGTCACTTTTGCAGCCGCCACTTTGAGGATCGCTGCATTGGCAAGTTCCGTCTGAAGCCCTGGGCCGTGCCCACGCTCCATCTGGGTGCGCAGTACGGCAAGATCCATGACAATCCCAAGAATCTGTATGTGGAGGAGAAGCGCTGCTGCCTGAACTTTTGCCGTCGCAGCCGCTCCTCGGACTTTAACATGTCGCTGTATCGCTTTCCACGCGATGAGGTGCTCCTGCGACGCTGGTGCTATAATTTAAGGCTCGATCCGGGCGTCTATCGTGGCAAGAATCATAAAATATGCAGTGCACATTTCATCAAGGAAGCGCTGGGCCTGAGGAAGCTATCGCCAGGTGAGTGGGGGGGAACCATACACCCACAGATACTTGTGATATATGTATGTGTTTTTATTGTTAGTCGGAGCTGCCCAGGCAACTGCCAAATTTTCTTTATTACGTTTAGGTTTATTTAGCTTAGTACCTAATGCTGAGCCTAAGTCTAGGGCTAAGAGCCGATCTGATAGCAGCGTCGTTGCTCTGATGAAGCGACGACGCTAACTTTGGCACGATCGGTCTATGCTTGCCGTTCATGTATATACAGTTGCGGTCAAAATAATAGTAGTGCTACTACTAATGGATTTACATATTTCTACATTTTTTCCGCTATTCCTTCAACAATCGAATTCGCTTATTTACTCGTACAACTATCAAGCATTGCTGTCCTTCATTAAAAAGTTATACTAGCGTGTACCTTTTCATTTCGTTATATTTCTAAATATTTCGCTAAATATCACCACATTAATGCGGTCAAAATAATAGTAGATCTGACGAAAATTATGAAGTCCACTGCATTTTTTTCAAGACTTTTGTTGCTAAACAATACTACTAGAATGGTTTATTTAACAGTTTCAAGCTTTTTATACCCGTACTCAAAAAAGAGTTAAGGGGTATATTAGATTTGTGGTAAAAGTGGATGTGTGCAACGCAGAGAAGGAAACGTTTCCGACCCCATAAAGTATATATATTCTTGATCAGCATCAATAGCCGAGCCTATATAGCCATGTCCGTCTGTCCGTCCGTCTGTCCGTCCGTCCGTCTTGATGAGCGCCTGGATCTCAGAGACTATAAGAGCTAGAGAAACCAAATTTGGTTTCCAGACTCATGTGATATCACACTGCTACAAGTGTATTTCAAAATTTCGCCCCGCCCCCTTCCGCCCCCACAAAAGACGAAAATCTGTAGCAGGCATATTTTTAAAGATACGATAAAACTAAAAACGCAGTATCGTAGAGAATGCCCATGTCTACCAGATTGCCGAATCTGAATCAGATCGGATCATAATTATAGCCAGAATGAAGAAATTAATTTTCAGTTGCTTCCCCTCCCCCTCCCGCCGACGACAACGCAACTCATTTTCCTTCTCGCTCGCACACTCTGCCGCGTTCAGTGCGCGAGCAACCCCTAGCGGAGGAGATGTAGAATCTAAATGGTACTTGTACAAACTACATGTTAGATGTAGAATAGACATTGTAGATGAGATGTACATAACAAATGTAGCAAAAAAATGTAAAATGTAAAATTTTTTTTTAAATTCTAAAATTCTAAAAAATCATGCTCAAAAATGTATATACTGACTGAGTACGGGTATAAGTAGAGTCGTGTCCCCAGAAACGACTCACACGTTCCTTCTCGTTAAGTTTCGTTTTTATTGATTTGAGGCCGGAAAAGCGGTCGTGCTTAAAGGGCTTGTTTCAGAAGGAAAGTAATATGTCGAGGTGCAAAATATAATTGGTTGTTTAGCTATTGTTATAAAAAAATGATATTAAATAAGAACCATAAAGCAAAACCCGCGGTCAACGAAGTAATTTGGCAAAAATATCAGTACATCAATTACTACGACAGGCGAGGTGCCACCATTTTGCTCCTGCTGCAGCCTTTGATGTTTAATTCTGAAACCATTAGAAGAAGCCCTTAATATTGTAATTTAATGACACGAAGCCTAAGGAAACAATTTTTACTGGCAATAAAACATTCAGTCCCAAACTGGAAGTTTGCTAGGGAATACCCAAATTGACCGTTGTAAAAGTGGAGGAATATTTTATTTTCGAACGAGTCCAAAACTGTTTTTTTTTTTTGTAGCCTCGTTAGTATCTAAGACGATCACGGTTATCTGAATTTTCCAGAAAATATACTTCAAAAACCGTTTAAACTGCGGCACCGGAAACAATTGTTTGGGCGAGATATTCCAGCTACGGTATTTGACCATTGTATGTGTTAAAATATCGACCGAAATGATTCTACCTTAAGCATCTGAGGATATGTCCCAGGAGGACAACGATTCGAAGGACAGCCGCAAAGTGGCCAAAAAATGTTTCACTGCCAAATGAGTAAATTCATTGAAATGGTCAGATCGATCACCTGATATCAATGTAATAGAAAAAATATGATGTTGTGTGTGAGAGGAGTAGTCTCAATCGAGACTAACGCAATCGACTTTGGGACGTTTTACAAAGGTCCTGGAGGACGATTTCTGTAGATAGGTACCAAAATTTAACTAGCTTCATGCCAAAGCGTTGTGCAGACGGTACAGCTAACAAAGGCTACCCAAATAAATCTTAAAACTAGCTTCGAATATACAGTTGTTGTATTGGATATAAAGAACACTTTTAGAGCGTTTTGTTAGACCGTAGTCTCCTATGAAAAGTTGCACTACTATTATGTTGACCGACCCGTTTTCGAGGTACTTCAGTCTTTTAATTTTTTGTTTTGAAAATGTTGATGGTTTATTCTGAGTTGTTTTCTATTATTACAATATGCAATTAAGGTAGTCTCCAAAAAAAAATAAAATTATTATGGGGAAGATCTCATAAGTCCTTTTTCTGAGGATATATGAAAAGTCGTATTGGCACCACTATTATTTTGGCCGCCGCTGTACAAATGTTATGCTGATCTATTGGGTAGTTCTTATGACTATGTAGCTATTCTATTTAATGACTGCTTTTGCTACAGGCCGTACTGAGACTCTTCTTTTTGCAGGAGCCGTGCCCACATTGCATTTGGGACACAATGACACGTTTAATATCTATGAGAACGAGCTGTGGCCACCGCCATCACCCACTGGACAGCATGGCCAGCTTCTACCGCAGCAGCAGCAGCAGCAGCCGTCGCAGCATCAACACTCTCCAGCAGCAGCAGCAGCAGCAGCAGCAGCAGCAGCATCATCAGTCAATGCACAGCAAATCCTCGTATCAGCGACATTCGGCAGCCTCCACTTCATCCTCTGCCAGTTCGGCGTCGCATTATGTGGATGCCGAGATGAGTGCCTCGTATTTGAGCCTCTCTGCGGCTGGCTCCTCGGGCGGCATGAATGCCAGCGACTGCATGGACGTGTGCTGTGTGCCCAGCTGTGAGAGCAAGCGGCACAACAGCGAGAACATCACATTCCACACGATACCGCGCCGGCCGGAGCAGATGCGCAAGTGGTGCCACAATCTGAAGATACCCGAGGACAAGATGCACAAAGGGATGCGGATATGCAGCCTGCACTTTGAGCCCTACTGCATTGGCGGCTGCATGCGTCCGTTTGCCGTGCCCACGCTGCAGTTGGGGCACGAGGATCTGGAGGACATACACCGCAATCCGGATGTGATCAAGAAGCTGAACATACGCGAGACCTGCTGCGTGGCGGTGTGCAAGCGGAATCGCGACCGAGACCATGCCAATCTGCATCGTTTCCCCAGCAATGTGGCGCTGCTGACCAAGTGGTGTGCGAATCTGCAGCGGACAGTGCCCGATGGCAGCAAACTGTTCAACGATGCCATCTGCGAGGTGCACTTCGAGGACCGTTGTCTGCGCAACAAGCGGCTGGAGAAGTGGGCGGTGCCCACGCTGATGCTCGGCCACGAGGACATGGCCTATCAGCTGCCCACTCCGGAGCAGGTGGCCGAGTTCTATGCCAGGCCGACCGCCCCGAACAATGGCGAGGAGCAGGGCGAGTGCTGTGTGGAGACGTGCAAACGAAATCCCAGTGTGGATGACATCAAACTGTATCGGCCGCCGGAGGACAGCTCGGTGCTGGCCAAATGGGCGCACAATCTGCAAACGGAGGCCGCAGCTCTCACCAACGGACTGCGGATATGCAATCTGCACTTTGAGGCCCACTGCATAGGCAAGCGGATGCGTCCGTGGGCCATACCCACCCTCAATCTGGCCGGCAACATTGAGAACCTCTACGAGAACCCGGAGCACTCGATGCTGTACAAGCGACGGACGCACCTCAAACAGAAGGTGCCCGTGGCGAAGCCCACGTGGGTGCCACGTTGCTGCCTGCCGCACTGCCGCAAGGTGCGTGCCCAGCACAATGTCCAGCTGTATCGCTTCCCCAAACTCAACCGCTCCACGCTGGCCAAGTGGGCGCACAATCTGCAAGTGCCGCAGGTGGGCAGTGCCCAGCGGCGAGTCTGTTCCGCACACTTTGAGCCGCATGTCCTCAGCAAGAAGTGCCCGGTGCCGCTGGCGGTGCCCACACTGGACCTCAACTCGCCCGCTGGCCACAAGATCTACCAGAATCCGGCCAAGCTGAAGGCCAACAAGCTGTGCCTGCAGCGGGTATGCATTGTGGAGAGCTGCCGGAAGACCAGGGCCCAGGGCGTTCAGCTCTTCCGTCTGCCGCACAGCCCCACGCAGCTGAGGAAGTGGATGCACAACATCAGGACACGCCCAAGGGCGGCCATGAGGAGCCAGTATCGTGTGTGTTCGCGTCACTTTGAGACGCACTCCTTCAATGGGCGCCGACTGAGCGCGGGGGCCATTCCCACGCTGGAGTTGGGCCACGACGACGATGACATCTTCCCGAACGAAGCGCAGGCCTTTGCGGATGAGCACTGCGCCGTGGAGGGCTGTGAATCGTCCAAGGAGCAGGCCGAGGTGCGTCTCTTCCGCTTCCCCACGGACGACGACGACATGCTGTGGAAGTGGTGCAACAATCTGAAGATGAATCCCGTCGACTGCATCGGTGTGCGGATATGCAACAAGCACTTCGATGCGGATTGCATCGGGCCGAAGCATCTGTACAAGTGGGCCATACCCACGATGCTGCTGGGCCACGATGACTCCCAGATCGAGCTGATACTCAATCCGAAGCCGGAGGAGCGCTATGTGGATCCCGTGTTCAAGTGCATTGTGCCCACGTGCGGCAAGACGCGTCGCTTCGATGAGGTGCAAATGAACAGCTTCCCCAAGGATGCGGATCTCTTTCAGCGCTGGCGTCACAATCTGAGGTTGGAGCATTTGTGCTTTAAGGAGCGCGAGAAGTACAAGATATGCAATGCCCACTTCGAGGACATGTGCATTGGCAAGACGCGTCTGAACATTGGCTCGATACCCACCCTGGAGCTGGGCCACGCGGAAACTGAGGATCTGTTCAAGGTGAATCCGGCTGAGCTGCAGAGCAACCTATTTGGACGTCCGCGTCGACTGCTGCGAGGATACAACAATGTGAGCATCAAACAGGAGCCGCCAGAGTCGCAGGAGGAGCAGCAGCAGGACGTGAAGCCCGATATGGGCACGGATTTTACACAGGTAATATAAGGCAATATAATAATAAGATGCGTAACGCCATAGGATCTTTTTGCACTCGAATTTTTCGGGTTGGCTCTAGAGCTGCCCTCTGGTACCAGGAAACTAGTTCCGCTTCCCCGACAATGTGTTTCAGTGGAGAATTTAACACATGCAGGTCCTAGGGCGTAACCATCCCCGGTTCCCGATCGATTACCCTTTGATTACCACTAGTGATATAAAATTTATACTAATTATTTATACAAAGCTAATTAATAGTGCGCAAACTATGAACTAACTAGGTGTGTGCCATGGAGCAATACTACTTAGGCCTTCAGCTCGGTAGTTTTACATATGAGCATTAACATACACTTCCAATCATCAATTTTAAAAGTTCAAACAATTAATCAGGTACACAAACAGGTGGGGCGCTAACCCGTGTCGGACGTGGAGGCCAAATAAATCTTTCAACTAATCAACACGATTAAAAGTAACTTAATAAAAAACAAAAAACAAAAAAATAGGTTGAGGTTTTTGTAAGGAGAGGCACTGGGTTAGAATTGTGGAAGATGGAAGCTCTGTTGTGGGAGAAAAGAGGACAGTATTTTAAAATGTGTTCAATATTATTTGTTGTATTATTGCAGTTTGATTGCTTGCAGGGACTGCTGAATACATTTTTGTCTAGGTCTTTGTCTAAGTTGTCGTTTGCTTTACACAAGTACGCGCACATATGGACAGTTCCGCCGAAAGGTCCACCAGGCCAAAAATCATGAAAAGTCATTAAAAACCGATTTCCATATACTTTTGTCCCGATATGTCCCAAAAGTTAATGTTTTTGGCATTTGTATAGTCGTGTTTTCTTTAATATTATGATGATTCCGGATATAAGTTTCAACTCAAAGTCTCTCTTACATATTGAAATACCTAAAAAAATTACCAGAACATTTGTCCAATCTCGGCTAACGGTATATTTTCAAGCTGTTATTATCGCGGAATTTGGTAACGTCACGCCAGTAACGTTCATCAGATGCCTCCGCGGACTTATAGCAAAAAAACAGGAAAGGTTTTTACATTAAATAACTTTGAAAATGAACACTACATATTTTCAATAAACGCACACAATATTTGTACACAGATAGACCTATCCAATTCGCAGAGTTTTGCAATTTCGTACTCCAACCTCGAAAATCGCTTCTGCTTTACATATATTTATATTTTATATATTTTAGCTATATCTTCAAAACCGTACGCTCGATTACATAAATTATTAGCTCAGAAATTTATATACTGACTGAGTACGGGTATAAAAGTAGAGTCGCGTCCCCAGAAGCGACGCACACGTTCCTTCTCGTTTTTTTGTGAATTTAGGGCTATTAAATTACTATTTAACAAGGACAATCTTTTCACTTTTTTTTACCTTTTTTTTATTAATTTTTTCCAACATTTTGTGGGAGAAATGTAACGTAACGCTAGAATGGAACTGCCCAAATGCACTTTAAGGTGCTGTGTGTACTCGCACTCACACATGCAAGCACATATTACTTTAAGATTTGTACGACAAGTATGGCAATGGCACTGGCACTGGCACTGGCAATGCAAATGTATGGGCGTTACGCATCTTACTATTAAATAACTATTATATTGTCTTTGGAGACACCAAAGATACCAGTAGTCCTGTAAGTAAATTCTGCCTTCTTTTTGCAGGTTAAAATCAAGAAATCTCTTGGAGACATCAAGTGTTGTGTGCGCACCTGCGGCCGCAGTCGCCTGGAGCATGGGGCGCGTCTCTTTCCCTTTCCCAACGGCAAGCAGCAGCACCTCAAGTGGCGCCACAATCTGCGCCTCGAGCCGGACGAAGTGGACAAATTGACGCGCGTGTGCAGCGCCCACTTCAACCGGCGCTGCATCGATGGCAAGCAGCTGCGTGGCTGGGCCATGCCCACACAGCAGCTGGGCCACCAGGAGCAGCCCATCTACGAGAATCCCAAGAATATTCCGGGCTTCTTTACGCCCACCTGTGCGCTGGGACACTGCCGCAAGCGGCGTAGCATTGACAACGATTTGCGCACGTATCGGTATCCGCGCAGCGAGGATCTGCTCGAGAAGTGGCGGGCGAATCTCGGCCTGTCGCTGGATCAGTGCCGTGGCAGGATCTGTGCGGATCACTTTGAGCCGCAGGTGCGTGGCAAACTGAAGCTAAAGACGGGCGCTGTGCCCACACTAAAGCTGGGCCATGAGGAGGCTCTGATCTACGACAATGAGGCTATAAAGGCGGGCGTGGCCGAAGAGGAGGCGGCGGCGGCGGCAGCGGGCAGTGCCTCGCCTCTGGTGATACCCAAAACGGAAGTGCTGGACGAGGAGGAGCGCGAGGAAGATGAGGAGGAGGAGGATGACACGCCCGAAGGAGCAGAGCAGCTGAGGGATGAGGATGACGATGAAGACGACGATGAGGATCCTGGCAACTATTTTGATCCTTTGGAGCTGGTGGAGACGTATGCAGAGCATCCCAGCGACGACGACGACGACGAGGCAGGAGAGAAGGATGCCAGAGAGGATGAGGATGAGGAGGAGGAGGAGGCAGAAACTCTACTGCCTGATACACCACCCAAATCGTCAGCAGTCCTTCGCATGCCCAAACCATGGGACAGACCTGCTGCCGCTGCCGCTGTCGCCTCCGCTGTAGTTGTGCCGCGCCGCGAGAAGCGTCCGAATAACGTGGATCCCATCTGCTGCCTCAAGCACTGCCGCAAGGAACGCTCCGCCATGTATTTGCTGAGCACCTTTGGCTTCCCCAAGGACCAGCAGCTGCTGCTCAAGTGGTGCGCCAATCTCCAAATGGACCCCTCCGGCTGCATTGGTCGCGTCTGCATCGAGCACTTTCAGTCGGAGGTGCTGGGCACGCGCAAACTCAAACAGAATGCGGTGCCCACGCTCAATGTGGGCCACGATGCGCCACTGCGTTACAGCTGCAACGGCCAGGAGATCTCCGCCAACAGCAACAGTTTTCCGGATGAAATGCCACAGCATTCGGTTTTTCGGCTTTGGAGCCTGAAACACTGCCGCAAGAGGAAGCTGTCGGAGAGTTCAGCTCCAGCTCCAGCAGCGATCAAGAAGGAGCAGCATCAGCAGCAGCATCAGCAGCAGCAGCATCAGCAGCAGACACCGATGGAGATGGAGATGCAGATGGAGCTGGAGCTGGAGACTAAACCAAAGATTTGCTGCCTGCCCAGCTGTGGCAATGTGGAGGGTTATGGCCTCGGCGGGCACTTCCAGCCGCTGCCCGTGGACCAAAGACTGCTCAAAAAGTGGCAGCACAACCTAAGGCTACCCACCATCAATTCCGACACGGAACTTCGTCTGTGCCTGGAGCACTTTGAGCCGCAACAAATCGAGAATGGCTGCCCCGTGCGGATGGCAGTGCCGACTGTCAAGCTGGGCCACACCAGTCCGAATATCTTCAGGAACAGCGAGGGCTCCCGGCTGCCCGGCTGCCTGTGGCCCTCGTGTCCGCCCAATCGCAAGCTGTGCTACGACCTGCCGGAGCATGAGGCTGTCCGCGTGGCCTGGCTGTCGTATGTGCGGCTGCCAGTGGACAGCCAGGGACGCCTCTGTGGCCTGCACTTCTTGCAGCTGTACGAGGAGGTGGATCTGCCGGGAGACGTGCCCGAAAAGGTGCTCGAACGACTGCAGGATACCTACGATCAGGCCTCCATCTCGCTGAAGTTTCAGTGCTCCGTGCTGGGCTGTGGCTCCAAATACAAGCAGGACACGCATCTGGCGAAGCTGCCACGCGACGCCCAGCTGCTGGCCAAGTGGCTGCACAACACCAGAATCTCATACGATCGCTCCCTGCACTTTAGCTATCGCATTTGCCTGCTGCACTTTGAGGCGCTCTGCTTGAATGGCCACAGGCCACAGACGTGGGCCATACCCACACTGCAGCTGAATCACGACGGGGAGATCTACCAGAATAGCGTCAAGCAGGAGCTGCTTGAGAATCCTCCGAAGCAGGAGTTGCTGGAGAACCCTCCGAAGCAGGAGTCCGAGAATCACGAGACTCCCGTGAAGCAGGAGAAGCAGGAGAAGCCTCACTGCAGCCTCAGTCTCTCGATTCCGCTGCACATCAAGACGGAGCAGGTCACTCCTGTGCTGCGGGGCACATCCTCGCTGAGCAGTCCCTGCCTCAGTGCCAGCTCCAGTCCCCGCGCGAAGAACCGAGTCTGCTGCATACCCAACTGCGGGGAGATGCCACCCAGATCCCAGCGGCTGCATCGCTTTCCCACCGCCGAACCGACGCTGCTCAAGTGGCTGGTGAACACACAGCAAAAACCGGGACTGGTGGACATTCAGAGTCTGTTTGTGTGCCAGCTGCACTTTGAGGCGGATGCCATTAACCAGACGCAGCTGAGAAGCTGGGCCGTGCCCACACTGCGGCTGGGCCACGATGGCCATGTCATACCGAATGCCCGGCACAATGGGAACATTGCCAACAGCCAGGAGACGGAGCAGGCCATGGAGTTCATTCGGGCCAACTACTGTTCGGTGCTGAGCTGCTTCCAGCCGAAGGGCGAGGGTGTGCGCTTCCACAAGTATCCCAGCGACATTGCCATGGTGCGCAAGTGGGCCACAAATCTCAAGCATCGCTCCATGCAGGCCAGCAGCCATGGCTTTCTCGTCTGCCAGTCGCACTTTCCAGCCGAATGCTTCGATCCGGGCACGGGAGAGCTACGCGCGGATGCCGTACCCGTCGCTAGTAGTGTGAAAACGGAGAGCCTGCCGCTGCATTGCCTGGTGAGAGGTTGCTCCGCCGATAACCTCGGCAAGGAGGGGCGGCTGCTGTTCAAGGTGCCAAAGAAGAATCGCGTGCGGGATGCATGGGCCCACAATCTGTGGATGCATCCGATCGAGCTGATGGGCGAGCAACACATCTGCGAGCGGCACTTCGAGGCGCACTGCGTCAATGAACAGAAAATGCTGCACGCGGGCTCAGTGCCAACGCTCCACCTCGGACACACTGAACCGCTGGAACTGCTGCCCAACCCACAGACCTTTAACGAGTGCCAGGAGGAGTGCGTGTGCTGTGTGCCCGGCTGTGGGCGCAGCAATCGAAAGAATAGCCAGGAGGAGCTGCAGTTCAGCAAATTCCCCAAGTGGCGGGTGCTCTACGACAAGTGGCTGCACAACTTCCGCCTGGAAGTGCCCAAGGAGCAGCGCATTGGTACGCTGCGCGTCTGCCACACGCACTTTGAGGAGAGCTGCTTTGAGCCGGAGCAGGGTGGCGTGCGACGGGGAGCCATGCCCACACTGCAGCTGGGACACTCGCATCCGGACATTTATCGCACGGACAAGGGATCGCTGTGGAAGAAGGTGCACAAGAGATTCAGCGACTGCTGCTATCCGGATTGCTACGAGGACTGCCACAAGGCCAACACCAATCGCATGGTCTACGAACTGCCAGGCGCGGGGCCGCTACGTGAGGCCTGGCAGCAGCATTTGGGCATCCCCGACAGCGGCTCCTCGGTGCTCCTCAGGCTCTGTGCCCTCCACTACATCATGCTGTACGAGCACAGCGAGCAGAACTTGCCCGAGCACGCAGCAGATCTCCTGCTGCTGGCCAAGAACTACGCGCACGCCCGCCAGTTGGCCTATCTGCGACGCTTCATGTGTGCCGTACAGGGCTGTCGCCATTTGCAGCCGCGGGACGGGGGATCGATGCATGGCATACCCAGGCGGCGGCAGATACTTCGCATGTGGGTGGAGAATGCGCAGCTTCGGCTGAACGAGCACGAGATTTACATGACGAAGCTATGCAGCAAACACTTTGAGCCGCACTGCCTGTTCGAGGGCAAGAAGTGCTATCCGTGGAGTGTGCCCACGCTCCATCTGCCCGCGCTGCTGCCGGGTCAGGTGCTGCACCAGAATCCCACCACGGAGGAGTGGCAGCAAATGAAGCAGCGCATGAAAATGGAGGAGCAGACGCTGAGGGCGGAACCGCAGCCCGATGGAGGACTACAAATGGAGCCCTACGTTAAGATGGAACCGCACGACGATGACGATAGATCGCAAACGGAGTCGGAATTGCTGGTAAATGAGAGCACCATGGACGACTCGCAGGAGACGGACTTTCAAGCGAATGAGCCACTGGAGGTGCTGCTGGAGGTGGGCCATGTGGAGCGGCTGGAGAGCTACGAGAAGAAGGATTACCCCGCCGTCAGCTATGCGGTGCCGCCGGCGCCGCCGCCGAAACGTTTCCGCCATCCGTACAGTGCCCACAAGTGCAGTGTCGCGGGCTGTGGCGTCTCGCTCGAGGATGTGGGCGGCAATCTGAAGCTGCACAAGCTACCCAGCGCCACGGAGGCGACCCGCAAGTGGCTGTACAACATACAGGTGGACATAGAGGACAAATGGCGGATACGCGTCTGCAGTCATCACTTTGACAGGCAGTGCCTGAATGGCTCGCGGCTCAGGCGGGGATCGATGCCCACGCTGCTGCTGGGGCCACGAGTCCCGGCGACTATCCACCAGAATGAGTTTGCGCCGCTGCCGTTGGACGATGCGGCGCCAGCAGCAGCGAATGGAGCAGCACCGATCCACGTGGAGCCATCCATTGGCAAGGTGTTGCACCCGTGCGTGCCGCGGCCCTCGCCGCCGCGAAAGTCCAGCAAATTCTGCCAGATCGAGGGATGTGCGAACCACTTGACCAGCGAGCATATGACACTGCACAAGTTCCCGCACTCCGCGTGGATCTGCACCAAGTGGCAGCACAACACCCAGGTGCCATTCGATCCGGAGTACCGCTGGCGCTATCGCATCTGCAGCGCCCACTTCCACCCCGTGTGCATGGTCAATATGCGGCTGCTGCATGGCAGTGTGCCCACCCTCAAGCTGGGCCCGCGGGCACCCGCCGAGCTCTTCGACAGCGACTTTGAGGCCATAAACATCAAGATTGAGAAGCTGGAGAAGATGGAGCGGAGGGCGGAGGCTCAGAGAGTCACCACCAGTCGCAGTCACAGTCACCATTCCACCATGCCGGACATGGGGGAGGTCAGACTGAAGGTCAAGACTGAGCAGCTGGACGATGGCAGTGGACCAATGCAGGAGCAGGAGCAGGAGGAGGAGGAGGGGGAGGAGGATGCCATGCTCTACCTGGAGCCAGAGATGCAGCTGTACGAGGATCAGGAGGAGCAGCAACAGAGGCCACAGGTAAATGGTGGCTGGAAAACGGAACTCCGTTTGCCATCAAAGGGCAGGGTGGCCTTCAATCCGGTGCGTTCGGGCTACGACAAGTGCTCGCTGATGCACTGCCAGCGCCAGAGATCGAAGCACGGCGTCCACATCTACAAGTTCCCCCGCTCGCAGGAGCACCAGCAGCGATGGATGCACAATCTGCGCATCCGCTACGACGAGAAGCGTCCCTGGAAGTTCATGGTGTGCAGCGTGCACTTTGAGCCGCATTGCATACGGCTGCGGAAGCTGCGACCCTGGGCAGTGCCCACACTGGAGCTGGGCGACAATGTGCCCGAGGATATCTACACGAACGAGCAGTGCCAGATGTTTGCCAGTGGCCAGGCAGGAGGCGAGGTCCATGGCATTGACAGCGATGCGGAGGCAGAGGCAGAGGTGGAGGCGGAGGCAGAGAGCGATGGGAATGAGGAGGATGGCCTGCAAGAGGACGAGGATGAGGAGACAGATGACCAGGAGCCCAGCACCGCTAAGAAGCGTCGTCGTTCGCGACTGGATGCGGCTGGATGGCCGCCCGGCCAGGTGCCACCGTGGAAGGTGAAGCAGTGCTGTCTGCCCTACTGCCGCAGTCCGCGCGGCGATGGCATCAAGCTGTTCCGACTGCCCAACAAAGTCAACTCCATTCGCAACTGGGAGCTGGCCACGGGCATGAAGTTCAAGGAGTCGCAGCGCAACACGCGGCTCATCTGCAGCCGCCACTTTGAGCCGGAGCTGATTGGAGTGCGTCGTCTCATGCGCAATGCCATTCCCACCAGGCATTTGGGACCCACGGCCGTCACGGGCGATGTGAAGCCAGTGCTGGTGCCACCGAGCACAGCTGGTCCCAAATGCTGCATGGCCGATTGCGCCTACGATGTGGCCGATGTGAAGCTGCACAAGTTTCCCAGCAGTAAGTTGTGTAGCATCCGAGGATGGAATGCCTTGCCCCTTGCCGCACAGTTGATTGAATTCTGATTCTTGCAGATCCCAAGCTACTGAGGGAGTGGTGCCAGGCATTGAGAGTCACCGACATGCAGAGGTATCGCGGCAAGCACATTTGCTCCGCCCATCTGCCCGTACACAAGGCCGTGCACTGCATTGTGTGTGGCACGGACAGCGTCCCACTGCTGCCGATGCTTAACTTTCCCGCCAACCGGAATCAGCGGGCCAAATGGTGCTACAACCTGAAGATCGAAACGATACCCAAGTGGGACATATCCAAGCACATTTGCTGCAAACACTTTGAGCCATATTGCTTTGCGGCGGCGGGTCTACTCAAGCCAGAGGCTGCGCCCACACTGCATTTGAATCACAATGATACAAACATATTCCTTAACGATTGTGCCATAAATCCCGCCTACACAGGTGTAGGTGTAGGCGCAGGAGTGCTGCGGGTAAAGGATGAGCCCATGGACAATCAGGTCCTATCGTTGTTGTAGAAACAAAGCGAAACGAAGCAGTTTCAATTAGTGTTTAGATGTAACATTTTATGGGCATAATTAACTCGTACACATCACATCACATCACACATTTGTCTAGTTTTTAAAGCGTAAAGTGAATTATTTATCATTTAGTATTTTAAATGCGTTATCGGAAATGGCAGTATGGAAAGTGAAATGCCATAAAAACAAACAAAACACAAAACAAAAACTCAAACTAAAAACACAACACAAAACATGTTCCTTAAGTTTTTCGTTATTACTTTTAATACATATACATTATACATTTTATTCTGTGACAAAATTTAATTCGTTCTCATTTCCATATACACATAAACATATATACATAAATATAAACTATGTATGTACTATGTAACACCCTTGAGCGTATAGTATATGTAACGTATGTGTGTGTAAACCTGTAGGCGATCTTCCCCCCCACAAACACAATTATTTGGTGTTTTTCTAAATACATAAAGATATATATATAAATAAATATATATATCGTGGACACAAAGGGAGAAGTGACGTAAAACTTGACTCAGCACTCCTTGGGAGTGGGGGGTATTGGTTGCCCTGATTGCCATCAAAAAGCGTAATGGACGAGCGAATAATTGAATCAATCCCATATATATACATACATATATCAAACTACTTAGGCTACGGCTTGGCGCCGTCATTTGTGGTGGCACCGTCCTCGCTCTGGGCAAAGTTGCTGTCCATAAACAGATTTCGATCCGCTTTGTTCGACTGCAACAGAACAGAAGACAAGACATCAATAAATAAGTGCGGAAAAATATATAAGGGGTGGATGGGCAGATCGCTAACCTCGCGATACTTGTTCAAGTATATTTGCAGCGGTTCCACATAGTTGTCAAAGCCAAGACTGCCAAAGGCCGCTATTAAATCATCCCCATTGACCGTCTTGCGATTCTCGGCGACGCTCCGTTCGATGGCCTCGCTGCTGATGAAGGAAATAAATTCGGAAACGCACTCTTGAATGCATTCCCGTGCGTCTTTTGCGATTTTGCCGTTCTGCGGCACGGGCACCTTCATGATTTTGATGATATTGCAGATGGGCAGGAAGCGGTCCTGTTCCCGCAGCATAATTCCATCCATTTTGTCCGATTCGTCTGCGGTAAGAAACACAATACCCAAATTTGTGTAAAGATACAAGACAAAAGCCCGCAAAAATAGACTTCCGCTTACCACCGGACGCATCGTCCTCTTCCTTGACCATTATATCCGTAATATATTGCTGGGAGTCCTCGCTATTGCTCATTTTCGTTGTTTTGTTGTTGTATTAAGAATTAAATTGTTTTTCGTCTATACGCGCTAGCGATGTGCAAGAACTATCGATTGGTTCATCGCGTGTGTACGATATCTGTGTGAATGGCAACATTCCGATAGACGCGTGCTCGATAGTACGGAATGATCGCAGCGGTATATTTTCTTGCGGTTGCTGCAGACGATTCGATCCTGAAAAAAAACGGAAAATGCACGTGGATTTGAGCATAATTAAGGAGGAAATCGACATTGATGACACCACGATCAAGCTGGAGGTGGAAGAGAATGCGCCGGAGGAGGCAATGGACGTTTCCTGTGGTAAGCAGAAGGTTTGCATTTAATTGCTTTGTGAGGGCGCGTGCGCTGGTATTTGTGCCTGTTGATCAGAGATCTGCGCGTATGTGTGTGAGCTCTGTGCGAGTGTGGGTTTGTTATTACGCATCGTACCGTTAACTTTGGAGGAATAAGTATATATATATATATGTAATAATGTGACGTTTCAGCGAGTGGAGCCGTGAAAATACTTGAGGAGCATGCCAATATGATAACGGTACCACTCAGTGATCACAGATCGGAGGACGAGCGCCAGTTTATAGCCAGCCTAGGTACGATGGATGCCCAACAGGTAAGCAGCAGCGGCATACCCACTGCATATACACATATATGTATGTACATAAATATGTAACAAATAACGTGTCTCGAATTACAGTTATTCGCAGAATCTTCGAAGAACCAAAATGGCTGTGCATGCGAGTGTCACATTTGCAATATACAGTTACCCACGCAACTGGAGATTAAGGCGCACTTGGTTAACCATCAGATGAACCGTCACTTCTGTCGCCATGGATGCGGTGCCTGGTGCGCCACTCTGGAATTGGTGCTTGAACACGAATATCGACACCATTCCCACGGCATAATGACGTTCTGCTGCAGGGTAAGAGTCAACTACAGCCGTATTGCGCAGTAAACAAAAACAAAATTCGCGTTCTTTCAGATCTGTGATTTAAGGGTTGATGGCGCCGACCGCCTGGCCGGCCATATGAAAAGCCACTCTTATGTGAGTCGCTACGTGTGTGCCATATGCCGTCGTCATTTCTACTCTCAGAAGGGCCTGCTACTACACCGAAAGAACACCACCTATGTCTGTGGACAGGTGGACTATATTCCGGTAATCTCTGCGACTCCAGAGCACGTGGCAGCCAAGTCGGCTGAATGTGCTGCACCATCACCAGTTGATCCGCTGCGCATTGTGAAGATCAAGAATGAACCACTTGATCCGCTGAGCATTGTGAAGATCAAAGACGAACCACTGGACGTAGATGGGATGGATGCACAGCCACAGAAAGAGGTTGGGCTTGATGTGTACATCAAAGCCGAGCCCTTGGACGAGCCCTTGGAGACGGCCGACCCGAGCGAGGTTGCTCCCCCAAAGGAGCTGCCGGAATCTTCGAGAGTATCGATCTGGGCAAGTCTACCCGTTGAGCTAAGGAGCAAGCTGCGATTGCCTGCCTTGAAGCCCAAGCAAAAGATACAAAATAACCCTCGGCCACCCCTCAAATGTAAGAACTCCCCTTATTCATATTCATTTGGATGTACATTAAGAACTCTGTTTGCTTGCAGTTGTAAAATTGAATGGCCCGCCAGCATCGAATGCCACTCCTGTTGGTGCGCAGCAGATTTTATTCAAAGTTTTGCCTGACGGCCAAAAAGTAAACATTACGGATTTGGTGAGCTTAAAGAAAATCGCAAATTTGAAGACGAATGTGCATGGAAAGCCCCCAATGTCTTCGAATGTACTGAAAGTGTTGCCCAGCAACTGCATGGTCATCAAGTTGCCGCCAAATACAAAAATTGTAAAGCTATCGAATCAGCCGAGTGCACTTGTCCCTGCAAAGGCAAATGGTGTGCCGCTCTCGTCCCCGCAGAACGTAGCTGCTCAGTTGCCAAATTCGCTTACAATTAGAAAGATAACGCGAGAAGAAACCACCTCCCCCGTTACGGCTAGTCCAGTGGATTATAAACCGCTTATTCCCTGTCGGGATCGCAGCTACAGTCTCAAGAATCGGCCAGAATGTTATGAATTGATTACGGAAATTCAAAATCAAATACGCTCCATAGAAAAGACGCTGCCAATGCCGGGGACCGTCTTATTTACAAGAGATGATTTAACAACGACAGTAGTCGCCGAACCAGTAGTGACTACCCCAGTGACTACACCATTACCGGGGGAGCCCTTGGAGGTGGAAGTACAACTAGATCCTGTGGCGCATAGGGTGATGCAGGAACTGCGAAAGAAACACCCGGACTATCATTTCTTCTGGGCTTGTCCCATCTGTGCACGCAACTATGAGCAGGGCTACGCATTCCGCACGCATCTGATTCAGGAGCATAAGCAGAAGAGCGCCAACTTGCCAAAGCTGAAAGTGAAATTGAAGCCCCAAATAAGTGAGTAAACCCCTGCCCCTGCTGCGCATCCTACCAAACTACATGTGTGTACTATATATAATTTATTTACGTAGAAACGTTATGGACAGAAACGCAGGCGCCACCGAAAGATAATCTAGAATCGGGCTCAAGCGTGCCAGAGCCTGCTCCAGCTTCAGAAGTGGGTGATTCAGTCGCGGAAAAAATAGCAGAGCCTGCAACTCCAACAAAGGAGATACCGGTGTTTACATCTGCCCAGTTGTCGGCCACAGCCCAGTTAGCCGCAAGACCGCCAGCCGTTTTGGCGACTTCACTAATCGAAGCAGGATCATCAGAGTCCGAAACAAAGATATCATATACATGCAGGTCCCCAGATGTTGCCGAGACAGCGAAAATAGATGAAACAAAGCCATCGCAGTTCCAGTGCCCCACGTGCCTCAAAATATTCACCACCCAGGGAGGCATGCGAATTCATATGTCAATCCACACGGGTGAAATGCCGTACAAGTGCCATTATTGCGACAAGCTCTTCCGCACTCCTGGTCAAGTGCGTGTCCACGAGCGCCGTCACACTGGGGAGAAACCCTTCCAATGCAAGGTAAGATATTATACACATTCTATTAATTTCTCCTTGAAACGTATTTCGACTGTGGCCAAACCAATAACAGATCTGCAGCCTGGATTTTACTCATCGAGAGACTCTCATCTCGCACCTATCGCGCCATATTGGAATGAAGCGCTACAAGTGCTACGGCTGTGACAAGTACTTTGTTGTGGTCAGCGGCCTTCGGGCCCATCGTCGCCTGCGGCCGGATACGTGTGGCAAGGTTAAGTTCACGGCCCGAGCCCATGGGCCGCGCGTGCGTGTCATAAAAGGGGAAGTCGTCTTCGAGCCCCAGCCAAGCTACAATGGCTACTTGCGCAGTGAAGATCCGCTCGAGATATTGAAAGAGCGGGGCCAAATCGACTCAATCCCTGCGACCCAAGTCAAGAAGCCGCAAGCTGAGGTCGAGGCTGCGGCTGCGGCCGCGGTCGAAGCCGTAGCCGAAGCCTTGGGTGTAGAATAGTTTTGTTTTGTTAATATTTCGTTTGTAAATTTATTTTTGCAGTTTGCCTTTGGATTAAAAACACATCGTTATTATTAAACACTCATAAATTGTATACACTCAAACAAGACCAATAAAGAAGCAATTCGTACTGATGAAGTAGATCATTAACTGAGGTTTGTTCCACTGTTGTACCCACAGGTACACAAATTGCTTGTAATTACGCTGGAACGTCTTCATGCTTGATAGTTCCATTGATCGTCCCTCCTACTTCGATCTTAGAACTTATCGTATTGTATATTTTTATCGAAGCCCACTGCACATTGCCACAAAAGTTTGTTTGGTTTTAAATGCATTTTATCAAATACTATTTTAATTTTTTATTAAAATATTATGAACATGTTTTTTATACCCGTACTCAAAAAGAGTTAGATTTGTGGTAAAAGTGGATACGCACATACGCATATAAGGAAACGATTCCGACTGCATAAAGTATATAGATATATTCTTGATCAGCATCAATAGCCGAGTCAATATAGCCATGTCCGTCTGTGCGTCTTGTTTGAGGCCGAGTTCTCAGAGACAGGACAGACTTATGTGATATCACACTGAATCCTACAAAGGACAAAAACCTATGGCATCCACAATTTTAAAGATACAAGAAAACTAAAAACGCAGCATCATAAAGAATGACCATATCTACCAGAATGGCGAATGCCAAATGCCGATCAGGTCGGATCATTATTATAGCCAGAATGTAGATATTCATTTTCAGTTGTTTCCCCCACCTTCTGACGCTACTCATTCTCTTTCTCGCTCGCACTGTGCGACCTTTGCGGAGAAGATATAGAATCTACATTGTGTAGAGTCTACACTTTAGATGTGTAATCGACATTGTAGGTGTAGATACAGATGTAGCAAAAAAATGTAAAATATTTTAAAATTCAACATAAATCATAAGCTCACAAATTTAGATACTGACTGAGTACGGGTATAGAGTATAGAGGTATAGAGTCGCGTGATATCTAATGGTTGATTGCGGTATCAAAAAAGGGCTTTCATTCAATAAAGGAAGTTCTAGTCAATTTTCCCCAACTTGCGCTGTTGCAGTTCTCAATAGACGACTGAGGATTGTCTGATAAGGGAACCCAATGATGCTTACGGCTTATATAAATCGATGCTTTGCGAAGATTAGTTTCATGCTTAATATATCCCTCAATAATTTAGTTTCTGATATTTCACACTCCCATCCATTGCAGATACCTGTAAAATCCCAACCCCTTGAATCATGCAACAATAATTGAACCGAACCCAGTTTGTGTCGTGAGAATTTCCAACTGGTGAATGATTTCCACATTCAGGTTATTGCTTCTCGGCCTTATGGCTAAGATCAAAGTGTAGTATCTGTTCTTATCAGCTTAACATCTGATAGTTTCTCCATTGGAGAACAACAAATGTTAAACTGATTTTTGGAATCAGACGGAGTGCTAGGGGCTTGCTCCACCTCTGTCGCGGGTTGGCCCTGTATTGCAGTACCGCCGGGATTTTCAGCCCAACTAAACAATCAATTTTCACCCACAGTTAAATATTCTATTCTTTTTATTGAGTTTTAAGTTTCACACTACTTATAATCTGATTCAAATTGTCATGTGGTTAATCCACCCAATATGCCTCACAAATAAAGTAAAGTAATGTGAGACCGCATGGATCGGTGCCCATCTCACCTTGGTATAAATAGACGCAATCACAGTTTTCACCATAGGGTTCGCGTTTCCTCCAATGAAAGAATGTTCCCTTGACACCAGTAGTGGCCGAAATAAACTCTCCTTCAGCTTCCAGTTTTTTCAGATCTATCCAGTAGCTATTGTACGGATCCAGCATACTATCGAGTGCCTTCAACTCATCCTCGTTTTGCGGACTCAGCAAATGGGCTCCCATCTCTTGGCATTTATTCCAGGCCCCCTCCCAGCTCCTATCCTTTGTATTTTCTTTATAATAGTATTTCGAACCAATTTTTTTGAAAAGTTCTACATTTTTAGGTTTAGGTTTCAGTATTTCATTCCGCACGGCTGTCAGTTTTTGCTCCAATGTCTTAACTTTTTCTTTTAAACTCGTTTCCATCGCCTGCAAAGTCTCGTCCCTTTCTTTCCGCTCGGAAGCCAGTTGTTGCTCCAATTTGAGAATTTTTTCCCCTGATTTCTTTTCCAACTCTTGATGGATCGCTATCTGTTTACCAAGAGTCTCTATCTTTCGTCCATTCTGCCGCGGCAGCCACTTTTGCTCTAATATCTGTGGCTGTCCAACTCCTGCGCTCCCGTAATTTTGTGTCCAGTTCTTGCCGCACGGCAGCCACTTGTTGCTCTAGTTCATGAGTTTTTGCCGTTGATCTTTTTTCCAAATACTGCTGGGTTGCCATGTGTCCTGCCAAAGTCTCCAACTTTTCGTTCATTAGGGCGATTTTGGAGAGTGTGTCAGCCGGCTGCTTGGCCTCACAGGACTCCACTCGCTTTTGCAGGATGGCGAGGTACTCCAGGACCGGTTTCACAGCTCCGTAACAGTATCCTCCGCACTCGTGTTGGGATTCATCCACCTATTGGTGAGCACCGAAATGTTGTTGGGATTTTTGCAGTCAGTAAACGGAATATTTCACTCACCTCACAATGCTGGGACAGAGATCGCCCAAAGGTTATCGCCAATAAAATGAAAACAATTGAACACCGCATTGGTACTACTTCTCTGAATAGAATCTAAAAAAGAACTGGCATTCGCAGAGTTTCGTAGAGGTATTTATACTTCCGTTCCTTCCGTTGGGAACTGATAATAAAATGAAATGCGAAAATACTCAATTAAGAAATAAAATCAGACGAAATATGTTAATGATTCATTGATTCCATAATCTATAAGTAGATTAAAACAAATGTTTCAAACGAAAAGCATTTTATTCCAAGAAATGAGTTCTAAAAGAAATTCACCTATGATCTATTGGCCATCGGCGAGTTCATCCTCACCGAGCCCAATATGCGTGTGCCCGATAAGATCTACTCGATCAACGAGGGCTATGCCAGCGACTGGGAGGCGGGAGTGTTCAACTATGTGGCGGCCAAAAAGGATCCGAGCCAGGGCAAACCCTACGGTGCTCCGTGCGTGGGCTCCATGGTGGCCGATGACCATCGCACCATCAAATACGGCGGCATCTTCATCTACCCGGCCCCAAAGTCCGCAGGCCGGCGGCTTGGCCAGCGACGGAAAGATTAGCATCCTAGACATTGTCCCCAAGAAGATATACGAACGCAGCCCCATCTTCCTCGGCTCCAAGGCGGACGTTGAGGAGGCGCTCAGCTACTTGAAGTGACTTTTAATTTTGTAATTTATAAATACACCCAAAACACGTTTGATATTCTTTACCTTAACTTATTCGCTTTTATATCCTGCCCCTGGAGGTGGGCTACTCCAAATAGTGCACTAATAATTCCCAACTGGTTCTGGCCGTACAGTCATCAGGTGGTTGATGATTTCCACGTTCAGGTTATCGCTTCTCGGCCTTATGGCTAAGATCAAAGTGTAGTATCTGTTCTTATCAGCTTAACATCTGATAGTTTCTCCATTGGAGAACAACAAATGTTAAACTGATTTTTGGAATCAGACGGAGTGCTAGGGGCTTGCTCCACCTCTGTCGCGGGTTGGCCCGGTATTGCAGTACCGCCGGGATTTTCAGCCCAACTAAATAATCAATTTTCTCACCCACGGTATTATATTCTACTTTTTGTACCCGTACTCGAAAAGTTAAGAGGTATATTAGATTCGATATAGCCATGTCTGTCTGTCCGTCTTGATGAGCGCCTGGATCTCAGAGGCTATAAGAGCTTGGGCAACCAAATTTAGTTTCCAGACTCATGTGATATCACACGATTGTATTTCAAAATTTCGCCCCGCGGCATCCACAAAGGACGAAAAGCAAAAAAAAATATTTATATACTGACTGAGTACGGGTATAAAAGTAGAGTCGCGTCTACAGAAGCGACTCACACGTTCCTTCTCGTTTTTTATTAAAATATTATTAACATGTTTTTTATTTATCGTGGAGGTTCCAATTCCTCAAAGTCTAGTACCTTTTCTTAAGTTCTGGGATGCTTTTAATCGAAGCGAGCCGATCAATGCTGTCGGCGGCATCTGTGTACTCTGCGATGGCACTAAACAGATCCTGTTCACGGGCCACAGTGGATGGGCTAAGCTTGGCCTTCATTACGGTGGCAGCTTCGACAAATTTATTGTAGAAATTTCTTTCCCCAATGTCAAAATTTTTGGGAACAGCCAGGCCCGAAATGTTACTGTAAATTACTTGGGACTCGGGCGACTGTGGAATAAAATCCGGGTTATTTTCGATGATTTCACTAAGGTGATAGACGTGGTCCATTTTCGACCCTGGAAAGCTCTTTTGACGGATGACCCGGCCATTCTGCAGATACCTCTGGAGATTTGCAGTTTCAGAACCACGAATGTTGGCCGGAATTTTATTTATAAGTTCAGCCACAAACCGTAGATAACAATCCAGGTTGTTGTCACCTTGAACATTGTAAATGGCCTTCGCATATTTGAAGAATTCGGCGATGATCCCTCCTCTGATTGAGGAGGAGCAGCACTACCAAGACTCTGTGAATTCAAATGTTCTAATGTTTCCTTTTTTATTTATTTCTATAGAAAAACTCACCACCACAGCCAGAGCCACAGTCACAATGAGAGGGTAACGCATCTTCGCCAAAAGTTTCGAATCGACTGAAAATATTTTGGGCATGCTCAGCGATTATCTCTAGCAAGTCTTGTGGAATTTGTGGTTTAATCTCATTATTTAAAGTCTTTAATTCCCATACATCTACAACAAAAGTGTGTATAGACAAAAGAGTAGGTTTAGGTTAAATATGTCTTTATATTTGAAGCGTCATCCAATGAAAAATCCCTCATGGTTTATGTAAAAACCCGACGATTAGAAGAAAGCTCTAATTCAATAATTCAACAGCGTCCCTCATCGTAAAGCCAGCTCTGGGCGTATTTTTGGCTCGACCAAATGATGCACAATCAACGTAGCAATTAATGGAATTCAATTTCGACTGACACAAATGGACTCCTGACATCCAAATATTATTTTAAGCCATTTTAAGGAAAAAAAAACTTATATGAAATGTATTAGTTTTTTGTTGTTTAGAAATATCCTTAAGTTTTCGTAGCTATGAATGATACTGGAATACTGGTTTTCGCGAAACAAATGAAAAAACTGAACCACAAGTCCCCAAGCATATGAGAAACACCACACAAAGTACTATCCATACAATACATCAATTCATGTGTCTCTGTCTAATTTAAATGTGTGTATTTATGAGATAATGACACCAAATAAAAATAAAAATCTATAATGAACATATATATTATTAAGTTGTTCATATTTGCCAGGAGAATGTATTTACGAAAGAAAATTTTGGGAAATTCCACCTGCGATCGCGAAAAAGTGATTTTGTATTTGTTTCTTTTATGGAATCTCAGCCGTACCATAGTAGGCGAAGAGGCTATTGTCGTAGTCGAATATTAGTTATAAACTCGAGATATTACTCATCAATTAAGTTATTTTATGCCTGCCATTAGAAAATGGTAATCGGAATGTCCCTAATAATTATTATAATCGACCGCAAGAGGAACGTAAATGAATGGAGACGTGTCCACAATGCAAAGGTTCGCGCTGCACAATTTCCCCTTCAAAGTCGATCAAATTGTTGATCAGCCCGGCTACAATCCGAGTCACTTCTCATCCGTGCGACCACAATATGCCGCAGTGAAGCGTGGCGGGGTACAGCTAGTATAATACAAAAAACTTGATTTGGCATTCATGTATTTAATTTATAAAAGCCTAAAAAGGCTAGGCCAAAATAAGGACTCTGTTAAGGATATTTTTCCAATCCAAGGAAGCCATGGTCCGCCCTGATCGGCCGACAAATAACGGATAAAATAAAATATATATGACTGGTGAAAATGTCTTTGATCCTTGGTCCTTTATGAGGACTCCATAATATCGAGTATTTTCTTCCAATCACGAGGACACGTTAAACGTCCTGATCGGACCAGAAATGACGGAGTTATAGTGATTTAAATAGCCCTACCACAAATTTTATATAAACGGCACATTTGAATTTCGCGCCAACTGCTGCCGCTCAGTTTCGTATCGACCAGCTTTGACCTGATGTAAAAAAGGAAAACCAGCTACCTGCTGGTGATTTCTGTTCGCCTGGTATCGGTCTGAAAATTGTGTAGTTTTCGGTCATTTGGGCCTAACAATTGCAAAAGTTGTTGTTGTACAACAATTTAGTTGTTGTAAAACAATTTAGTTGTTGTTGTAAATTGTTGTGCAAAATGGTTAGTTCCAAATTTAGCCGTCAGTGATCATGGCGCGCTACTGAGGAACCAAAAAAATCTCATTTGCACAGTGGCGCACCCAATCTCGTTTAGTTCCAGCAGTGGCCGTCGGCGATATATCTTGATTTCTTCGTTATTCGTGGGCCGATCAGAGCGAACCAAGTCTTCCTTGGATCGGAAAATATCCTTGATCCTTGGATAGGGACTCCAAAGCCAATAGTCATTCATATTTTAATATCTACGCTTTTTGTGGGTCGATCCGGACGTGCGACGGCTTCCTGTGATGGAAACAATGTCCTTGATTTAATTGAGTCCGATCTGACCGTGCTATACCATTTTGGGATGGGAAGAATGTCCCCGACCGTATTAAGGACATTGCACTTAAATACACATAGCTCTGCTATTCGTCATCCGATCTGGACGTGCCATACCTTATCGTAATCGGGAGAACATCTTTGGCTTAATGGAGTCCTTGGTCAAAAGATCAAGGATATCCATAATCAAAATATTTAATATTCCCCATTGTTCGCCATGGCAACATGTCCCGATCAAGGATATTTTTCCCCATTTCCCAAGAAAAGAAAGTCAGAGCGGTGTTCTTTTTTCATTTTTTATTTCATCTTGTATTATTCCTTGCCATTGGGCTTAGCAATTTTTCATTTGAAAATTATATATCTTTTATATGGTAGTTTTAAACGTAATATGGTTTCCTTACTCTTCCCTCGATTAGTACAATATAATCATTATGACGTATGCATGTCTATGTATTATGTTACCTTTAAAATTGTTTATATCCGTCTATTTTGGTAAAACATATCAAACAATTTATATTTCAACAAAATTTGACAAGCCGACAAATTCGTGTAATATACAATAATGTTTTTGAATTGATTTATATAGTGTAAGTATGTTTGTATTAATACGATTGCAACTTTCTGCATGGTTACCTTTCTCTAGACATCTATTGCTGCTGCTGCTATCGCTATATATTTTTAATTTATCTCTCATTACATATCATATCATCCATCGTATGCCAATGCCCCGACGAAATTTACTACGATGCTTTTTCCGGCGCGTGGGGGCAATGTGCCAACGTTTTGTGTTGGTTTTCTAACATATGTATATGTATATCTGTATCTCATATAAATATTTTAGTGTACATATATGTGTATGACTATTGTTGTTTAACATGTGTGTTTTCTTTCAGCTAATAATTTAGTGTTGCTTTTATGCATTTGCTTGCTAACGTCTTTTCATATAATGTATGTGTATGTATGTACTATATGTATGCTTGTGTATAAATACGAGGCCGAATTCAAACGATCTTCAAAACAGCTTCTCATCAGTTATATACATTATCATGTAGTACCTTCTTATGTGCTAGTGCCAATACAATATCATCCCCTATCATTCCTTCTACGTTATGTTATCGTAAAAAGTATATATGCTACAATACATATCTACATTAATGCTCCATTTGCCTGGGCTGTGGTATTATATGTTACTCGTATCGTATTATAATTATTATCATCTATGCCGCTTCATCATGCACTTTAGGTACCATAATTGTTTAGCTTTAGGATCTAGATTATACATATGTAGATGGCTAGCTTGGGGGCGTATCGACTGTGTGGTATATACAGGAATGTACTCTGAGGGTCCGGGGCGGGGGCGTGGGCGGCAACTAAGTAGAAGTCTGTTGGAATGAGGTTGAAGTTCCGATTAGCTGCTCAGCTGGAAGTTATATTTCTGTACTAGCATCCGTTTATAAAACTATAAAATAGCGATCTGCTCTGCTCTCGATCTTCTGCCTTCTGCCTGCTGCCAGCGGGGGAGATCTCAACTTAAGTATAAAAAACTAGCTGCCTTATAAAATATGCACTATGCAAGACTTTTGACTAATTGCACGGGTTTGTATTGGTTTAGAGTCGTCTCATCTGCAATGCGCATAGCTACAGAATCTACAGAACCTAGGTATAAAAACAGATTAACATACACATATGTAAAAGTACGCGAGCGACTCGTCTCGTCTCGTACTCGTACTCGTATTTGATTGATTGTTGTATTGGTTGTAGGATTTTGGATTCCACTTGGAGTACGCGCGGCTACGTTCAAAATGGCAACTACATTTGTCGACTCTTATTTTTGGGCTCGAGATTCAATTCGATTCGATTTAGGCGGTAAGATTAATAGCTACCAAGTCCTTTGTTCAAATATGTATCGATTTCCAGTGGTCCGTCCGCTCCACTCTACTCCACGACGCTACAAAACGACGGTGCCACAAAACAACAAGTTGATGATTGACTGCCTTGATTAGTTCGAGCAAGAACCTGATGCACAATATGTGAGTGTTGTTGGGTAGATGTATACATATGCATATACATATACATAACTAAGTATAGACATATGTGGTATGTACGTGTTGATATATAAATTACTGATAATTAAACGTGTAACAGTCTTTTTTAGTTCACATCTTCCACGTTGAAATCAAAACTCATCTAAAGACCGACACCGATACAAATCGTAATTGCAAACATATCCTGGGATGGAGGGGGGGGGGGGGGCAGCTGGGATCGGATGGTGCGCTTATCAACTAAAACATATCCACGTACAGATTTAAGATGTAACTATAAGTATAAGTATAGTGTAAGTATGTGTGTGTGTGTGTGGGGGGGCAGTAGCTGGCTATAATACTTGAGAGTTATGATATCCGGTGTATATCGTAAATGCGTATTATGCGTAGAGTTCGAAATAAATATATGCAACGAACAACGAACAATGATGAACGAACAACAAACACAAAGTTGACAAGGTTTTTGCTCCTGCTGCGCCTGCTACGCCTGCTGCTCCTCTTATACCTCCTATCCCAACTCGATATGCCCCCGCCAATCCTATCCATTTGCATAGTTGTCGAATGAGCCCAAATACTCCAAAGCAGCGCGATAGCAGAAATGATATTGATCCTGGACGAAACAGAATATGAAATAATATTAGCATGACGTCAAGGGTAAAGGGTTTTAGCTATATCTCTTTACTCACCTCGGTCTGCACCATCGCCGGTCGCTGGGAGCGCAGGATGCGCACCGTCTGGAAGACATCCAGCACTCCCTCGTACTGCATACGCTCCAGCACAATGCTGAGGGTAATGAAGACACCGGTGCGACCCACACCCGCCGAACAGTGCACGGTTATGGGTCCATCCTGGCCGAACTGCTCCTTGGTCTTGTGCACCTGGCCAATGAAATCGATGAAGCCATCACCGGACTTGGGCACACCCTGCTCTGGCCAGTCGATAAACTGGAACTGGCGGACAGTGCGCGATGAACCATCCCGAGCATCCGTGACCTGAAAAGGATACACATACACACATTTAGGTATAATCTACCGGATGGCTTTGGATCCCTGTCACTCACCTTGAATTCGCGCAGCTTGTACTGCGGCATATTGTACTCGGCAATGGGATCCACAACATAATACTGATATCTCACTGATCGCTCGTGCGGCCAATACTGGAAGCATTTCTCCTGCACAAATATATAACACACATATAGCATTAGAACGAGGCTAACTGGGGTGGCAGGTCGCTGGATCTGTAGAGTCGCTTACCCTTCCCATTTCCTTGAGCTTCGTCAGCATGACCACAATCGTGGAGTTGTGCTCCCAGAGCATGCGCCAAAAGTCTTCCGCTGTGTCCTGGACTGGTCCCTGGGCCGCAATGTACGCGGAACGATAGCGATAGCCGTCGATGAAGCTGGCATTCACATAGTCACTGCCCTCGATGCCGTGGATGGGTGTCAAGTAAACGCGACTCGATTCGTACGGCAGGATGTGCACCAGACGGTTCTTGTGCTTGTTGCTGGGCAAGTTGGCGGTAACGAATTTGGATGAGTCCATCTTCACGTTGGACAGCTTCTTGAACTCCACCTCCATGCCGGAGATGCTCTCGCCGGGCTCCGTGATCAGCAGCTTCTGCAGATGGGTGTGCAGATTGCGGGCCGGCACCTCCGTCAGACCGCAGATGATGGCCTCAATGATCGCGTCGTGGATGAAGATGTACTGGTCCTCCGTCTGCACCATGTAGTTGCGCTGGGCCCGCAGACACGTCACATGTCCATAGATGTCGATGATCTTCTCGTGCTTCATCCGCTCCAGCATCGAATCGATCACAATGTAGCAGCCAGTGCGTCCCACTCCCGCCGAGCAGTGAACGACCACGGGCCCCGATTCCGGTGGCGTCAGGGCGCGACAGCGTCGCAGGAACTGCAGGAAGGGGGCCGGATGATCGGGTACGCCGTGATCGGGCCAGGCCGTGAACTGCAGCTGCTTGATCTCCCGTCGATCGTTGAAGCCCTGGCGGCACAGCTGGAACGTCCGGATGCTGTAGGTGGCCAGCTCCTGGGTCTCCGTGATGGTCACAAAGATCTGTCCGTAGGTCTCGGTGCCGCGCGTCGGCCAGTACTGGTCGCACTTGATGCGCGTGCGCTCCTCCAGTCGCGTCATCATCACAATGGTCGCCGTCTTCAGCTCCCAGCACATGCGCCAGAAGTCAACGAAGGTCTCCTGCAGCGGTCCCTGGGTGGCCACGTAGGCGTTGTGCTTCCGATACCCGTCGCAGTAGTTGGCATTGATGTAGTCCGAGCCGGGTGTGCCCTCCGTCGGCGGCAGCTGCACCCGCGAGTGGTCGTAGGCGGTCACATTGGCGTACCGATTCTTCGACTTGTTGTGCTCCAAATTCGAGTTGTCCCACGTGAACTGCTGGCCGGGCTCGATGCTCTCGTACTCCTGCGAGAACTTCTGATTGTCGTTGGACTTGAGGCGCTCAATGTGGTTGGCAAACTCCGAGATCGGAATGGGCGGATGCGAGATCATGCCGGGCGTCTGGAAGTTCAGTCGGCGCATGTCCACCGGATCGCTGGGCGTGGGTCCGGCGCCCAGGTCGGCGGCCATCAGGGGTCGCGTCACGGCCGCCTGGTCCGGGGTCTTGCACGGCTGGCGGCGACGCTTCACCACGCAGAGCACAATCAGGGCGGTGGACACCAGGAAGGTGGACACCATCAGCGGCAGAACCACCCACAGGATTTCCGGCTCGTCCTTGTTGCGATTCACCGACACCTCCGGCTCCGAGGGCCAATTGGGATCGGGTCGGTGCGGCCGCTCGCCAGGCGGCGCCTCTCGCATGTCCAGCGACAGGAACTCGGAGAAGGGACTGGACGTATACAGATGCTTCTGCGGCGTGTCCACCACGGCCCGCACAAAGATCCGATAGCGCTTCTCGCGCTCCAGCTTGCGGTTCGTGAAGTTGTGGTAGTCATCGCCCGATCCCAGATGGAACGTGAAGGGTATCGATCGCTGCGGGAACTTGGCCGCAATATACGGGGCATTGGGGCGCTCCGGCTTGTTGCGTCCCGGCAGCAGGTCGTCGGTGAGGAACTGATCGGGTATCTTGTGCAGATTGGACTTGTCCTCCGGCACCACCACCAGATAGTAGTGCGAGATGGGCCCGTACTCTTCCGAGGCCTGCGGCAGTATCACCAGTATCTCCTCGCCATTCACGACGCCGTAGAAGTCCGGCTTGACCATCGGCTGGGGAGCGGCCATCTGTGTGGTGACGGTGATCTTGGTGGGCGGCCGATACGAGTAGTCCGAGGGAATGGCGCTCACGTTCACGTTGTAGGTGGTGAACGGACTCAGCTCGTTGATGGTGTGCGTCTTCACGTAGTGCTTGAGTATGATCTCGCGCTTCTGGACGATCTGCGTCTGGGAGAAGCCCTGCGAGTCCACGAACACCTTCATGGCATCGAAGCTGATCTTGTAGTTGACGGGCGTGAGGCGAATGGGCGGCGACCAGCTGAGGGTCATCGAGTGGGTGCTGACATCGTGGGCGCGCAGATTCAAGGGCACATCCTCGGGCTTGATGCGCACCGTCACCTTCTCGCTGAGGCGTCCCAGGCCGTTCTTGAACCGCGCCGCAATGGCCACCGCGTACTGGGCGAACTTTTCGAGATTCACCAGATCTGCGGACTCCGTCAGGCCCACCGTTTTCGTTTGCCAATCGTCCAGGTCCTCGACAGCGGTCATCGTGTAGAAGATCTTGTAGCCCAGCAGCTTGCCGCGACTCGGCACTGGCTCCCACCAGATCTCCGCCGTCTGTTCGGAGGTGGCCTCCGCCTGCACGGACATGGGCGCCCTGCCCATGTCCCGCTCCGTCTCCACAATCAGTTTGTCGCTGAAGGGGCCCGCTCCCTGCTTGGTGTACGCCCGCACACGGAAGATGTACTCCGTGTTCTCCTCGAGGTTCGTGTACACAGCCTTGCGCAGCGTCATGTTCCGCTCGGAGCCGAGGCCGTGGTCGATCTTCTTGTGGAACTGCACGTCGTAGCGGGTGATCAGGCCATTGCGATGCTCCCGCGTGGGCGGATCCCACGTGACGCACACCACATCGGGCGTCTGGAAGCGGATCGTGATGTTCGCGGGCGGCCCGGCGGGTGTGCCCTCGGGCGTCTGGAATATCTTCACCGTCTCCTGGCCAATGCCGATGTGATTGCTGCCCGCCACCCGGAACTCGTACTCCACACCCCGTTCCAGATCGTTGAAGCGCTTCTTCGTCATCTGCGGTCCGGACAGCATCTCCTCCTTCAGCGCCTGATCCTTGACGCCCCAGCGCAATCGATAGCCACGCAGCTCGCCGTACGTCTGCGCCGGACGCTCCCACTCCAGCTCAATGGACACAATGGGATCCCGCTCCATGATCTTCAGACTCACCGTGGGACGGACGGGCACGCCGCCGGGTGTCTTCACCACAATCGCCGCACTGCGATCGCCGTCGCCCTTGCGCGTGAGGGCGGCCACTTGGATGGAGTACTTGGTGTCCGGCTGCAGGCCAGTCACATTGAACTCCAGCATGTCGGCGACATCGAATTTGAAGGGCTCATTGAGGAAGCCTTTGCCCTGCGGAGCGACGACGATGAAGAGAGGTTAAGTGCTGCCTGGGCGCTGGGCAATGCCATCCGACATCCGACTCCGACTACGACTCCGACTTACCTCATCTCTCAGTTCCTGGGCATGGATGTGATAGCCGCGGATGATGCCATTGCGATCCTTCTCGAGTGGCGGCTTCCAGCTCACATGCACCGACGTGGAGTTCAAGGGCGTGGCCTTCACGTCCTGCGGATCTCCAGGCACTAGATACGACGACGAACAATCAAGAGATTAGCTCAGGGGAGTCATAAGTTCGGGTTAAGAAAGTGTTCGCGGCAAATCAAGGTAAAGTTAGCTTAACTTATGCCCAAGTCAAGGGCAAAGTGACTTAAGATTAGCCTACTTACAGCCTACTACCATATATCATATAGGTTCGTATGTGTAATGATTTATTTAAAGAGAGAACTATGCAGAGCTAACACTAAGTATTTAGATCCTAGGAAATACTATAAATATAGTAATTAATGTGTAGTATCTCCCAGAACGAACTTGGCGCTCGAACATCAACGTCTCTCTCTCATCACCACATCACAGACAAAGAGAGAATAACAGACAGGTGGGATGGTGAAAGGAGGAAATCATAATGGAACCAAATGTGCTGCTTAAGTGCTATATATTTTGGGTGGGTTATATGGTACGGGGGGGGGGAGGGGGAGGGGGGTGCTCCAAAAAAAGTGAATTAGAAGTGCAGTTTATACCTTGCTATAGCATATTTTATAGTATAGATATAGACCATTACTTATCGGTATGCCACAAAAAAATGTACACAAAAATTGGGCAAGTGGAATTCGGTTTGTCGGTTAGTCGGTTTGTCGGTTTCCCCGCTCCGATATTCACTTGGCAAAAACAAACATGTAAGCATTCAAAAAGGTTTCTTTATACTTCGTACTGTGTGTGCAAAAAACAAACATATATATTAGGAAAATCAAACGGGAAAAAAACACTCGATATATGGTATATATGGAGGTATGATATATGTTCGCTATATGTATGCATTAATATCCATTGCCGGGTATCTTTTTTCGGCTTCGGCTTCGGCTTCGATTTCATGTTTTCATGTGTTCAAAAAATTCGTGTTCGGAAATAGAGAAACATATCAAAAAACAAAAAGAGATTTTTGGGATTCCTTTAGTTTGTAGGTCAACATTTCTGGACCAAATTTCAAAAATATATATATATATATATTTTGATATATGTATGTATGTACGATAAATAGAGATAGTATATAGATATAGATATAGATATGGTATATCAGTTGCTATGGGTTTGGGCATTCTTAAACATTATACATAGTCAACCATTAAAAATACTCACTCTTTTTCTCTAAATAGTTTTAAAAATTGTTTTTGTATTTGTATTTAATTATTATAAACCACCATCCATTTAAGGGTTGCGTTCAAAAATCAAATTATCGCAATAATTTCGTATTCACATCAAAAAAGTTTCAAAAAGATTTATAGATGTGTGTTTTTTGTTTCCATTTTGATTTGCATTCAAAAAAAGGTGCACGAAACAGAGGCAAGTGGAGTAGTGCAAGGTGCGAGTGGCCAAGCAAAGTTATTGTTATTTTTTTGGTTTTGTTTTTTTATGAAAAAAGATATAAAATATTTGCTTTTTAGTTTACAGTATACAGTTTCAAAAAGGTTTTTACTTGGTGCAAAAATTACAGAAGAATCCACAGATACGGAAACGGAAAGGTGAACAACTGAAGACGGGGAAGGGGGGGGACAGAACACATGGCAAAAACATGATACAAAATCTACATATTTGTTGGCACACCCGGCTTTGATACTGTACAGCATTTAGTTATATTATATTATATTTAACATTGAATATTGTTCTTTTGTGGAAAATTATGTTTTATGGAACTGGAACGCCTAAAGGGCATTGCTTAGGGAATAACTTAGGGCTTATGCTATAGCAGATAACTTACCATATTTCAATATTTTTCGTTTATTTGTATAATGCTCTTAAATCGAACTTGAAAAATACCTACTATTTCGTTTATATACTTAGTATTTATTTTTACCCTGAAGGTAGAGGTATTTAAAAAGGTGGTTTTAAATATAATATGGTGTTATTTTTAAGGAGTTCTGCTCCTAAAAACCATATTTAGCTATATAGAGTTTCGAAATTTTTCTCTTAATAATATAAGATATTTATTTTCATTTTTTAGTCAAATTTAAATTCAATTAAACCCTATTTTTATTTCTATGTACAAGGAGATCTCGTGTCAGTCGTCAGTTCCTTGCCCTGAATCATGGCTTTTGGGTTTGGGTTCATTAAAAATGTTAAATAAATGCATAATACATAATACAAAGTTATTCAAACTGCAACTGACGGCCACGCGAATGTTAAATTATGCTTCATTAGTGTTCTGGCTGCTCATCTGCTCCTAGACAGATGGGTTTTTGGAAGGAAGAGGAGGACAGAGGACGGGTCACACTGCACACAGTGCTTCACTGTACTTTTGTCGCCATTCACACCATGACACTGCCGCCCCCATATAGATAGAGATACAGACCCAGCGCATTCCTGCACATACAGAAACACACACACACACACACACACACACTAAAAATGTAAAATAATTAAAATGCTACCGTTACAGTTAGAAGTGTTCTCTCTATTTTGTATATCTCTCTTTTTTGCATGTATTTTATATTTTATTTTAGTGCTGAATGGAACAAACGAAGCAACGGGAGCGCGCGTGCTAAGCTCCCAATGCTGGAGGTGGTGCTCATTTGTGTACACTTTCCAAGGAGGAGCACTATGCTGTGATGTTTTTCGGCTGGGTGGATGGATAATCAACAGATAGAACGATATGGCAGCTGCTAAGATCGGATCACTGTACCCTGTAGCTGCCAGGGGAAAGATCCTTAGAAGTTTAAGTTTGATACACAAACTAAGGCGGAGATTTCTGTAAGGGCATTCAAATCTTCGGTTTCTCCCAAATGCTTTTCCCTCTTTTCTTGTTTTGTATTTTTCTTTTTCAACTTTTTTGGTGTACTTTACGGGAGCAGGACATGTGTGTGTGTGTGTGTGTGTGTGTGTCTATGAGAGACTGTGTCTGGGAGCACAAAGCTGAATCTGCTTTGCTTTACGAATTTCGCATAGAGAGTCAGAATCAGAGCCAGAGACAGAGCCAGAGCTAGAGATATACTAGAGGAGGGGTTAAAATACCTGGAGATGGGCGAATGAAAGGCAAGTGCCCAGCTTTAGACAGGTGGAATGCATTTGCATTTGAATTTGCATTTGTGCTGTGGCAGCTAACAAGCGCATCACATCATAACGATATACGCTCCAAACATACGAAACAGACACACGAAAAAAATTAGTAGAAAAAGGACAAGCAGCAAAGGATAGATTCGGTGTATAGACCAAAGGATACCCAGCCAAAGAGATAAGTATTTAGGGCAGACAGCGTGATCCGAATGTAAGAATTTTCGCGAAAATTCTGAGGGATACAAAGTAAAAATGTGGATGTCACAGGATTTTCAGGTGTTGTTCTGCTCTAACTTAATAGAAATTTGTACAAATTAGAGATCCTGGTGCTTACAAAGTCTTCTATGGATCCTAATCAAGAATATATTATAGCTCTTTCTTCACCCTGTAACATACCTCTATACAAACCCAATGTACCTTCGTACTCTCTAAAAGTACTGGTCATAAAAACAGAAAATACGAGTATAAAATAGTCCTGCATACTTATGTCCGCACTGACCCTCTAATGCTACTATAGCTGATGCTATGCCATGCTGCTGCTGCTTGTGAGCCGCTGGCTATACGTATGATGGAGGTTCTTGCATGGGGAATTGGTTGGTTATGCTTTTGGTTTTTGTTGGGGGTTTGGGGTGGGGCTTTCGGGGCGAGTGAGTTATGTGGCATCTAGCCTTTGGTTGTGCTAAATTGAGTACAATTAAAATGAAAATCCAGTCAGTCACAGAATCACTCAATGGTACGAGACGTGAGGTGTGCGTTGGTGCTTTCTTTTGAAATGCTTACTGCTAGTGCTTTGGTGCTTTAGTCGTTTGTTTTTTAGTGATTTTCTTGCTTATTATTATTAGTACATTGCTCAGTGATTTTTAGTTATTTTTTCTTGCTTTGTTTGTGATTTTTACTTGCTATTTTGGTTGTGCTTTGCTTCCTTTTTTAGTGCTATTCTTACGTTTCGGTGCTTAGTTCTAAGAGTTCAGAATATCCCCTAGAATATGCAGCTTATTCAGAATAAATTTACTCTCATTTACGTTTCATTCCCATTCGCATTGTACAGTATGTGCCGGTGCATGAGCATGAGAATGTGTGTACAGAGTGCTTATCAGTGCATCAACGTGAGCTTAATGCTTAGCTTATTATAACTATAGTAACTAAAGAGCCCGAGGCAGAGAGCCTCGGTGAGCGAGAGAGCGATAGGATAAAAGTTAGTTTGCGAGAGCGAGTGAGACGTACACTAAGGTGCTTAACAATAAGTACATTTAATTTACGGTGCTTAGCCAAAACAAAATGAAGTGAAACCCACTTCCAGTTGGTGTTCAAGTAGTTCTTAAAACACAAAAATAGAATTGGTACTTTATAAAGAAAATTGTTTTGTTTTGTTTCGTTCGTTGAACAAGCAGTTTAACAGCTAAACAAGCAGTTTAATGGAAGGTTTAAACGTTGTCTGTGCGTGTGTGCGAGTGTGGTGGTATGCTGCTCAAGGGCTAATGAAGATTTAATAAAAAGTTAATCGTAATTGATGGTGGAGTGTTGAGTGTAAAATAAAGAATGCATTTAATTTAATTATTTCATTATTTTTAGGTTAGGGCTTTGGTTGGGTGTGGGAGAATTTGAAAAGTTTTTTATTGAAATTGAACTGGAAAACGTATGAAATCCATCAGTCCATAATTTGTATATATTTCTATGGGATATCTAATATATCTTTAAAGATAGTTCGATTTAATGAACAAATACCCCATCCAAGATAAGTAACACACGAAATTTCAAGAAATTTAAAAAAATTTTTTATCTAGAATTTTTTCTTAAGGTTTTCTAGAAGACCACATAACATTAAGGCTGTTATAAAATAAGGAACTGGAAATCAATGCTGCTCCATAAAATTCCCAGAAAAATGCACTGGTCAACTGGTATCAAATACCAAGCACCTTTTATCTAAAATATTAATTTGTGAAAAACTTTCTCAAAAAAGTTAAATTTTTTCACCATTTGTAATACAGCAAAGAACTGCCAGGAAGACTATGGACAATGGAAATATGCTTCGATAGCACAGCAGGACACTGTATGGTCTCGGGACCTCCGAAGCTGTGCTACCACTTTCAAGCAGGCAAACACTCCAAATTGGAGGGGCAGTAGTATCGGATCGGTAGTGCAGGAAATGGGAAAAATAAAGCCAAATGCAAATAGTATGGAAATGTGTTAACTGTGCAAACATGCAGGTGATGGCAAATAAAACTTAATAAAATCGGTCAACAACATAAAATATACATACATATATAAAAATTATATATGCGAAGGTAAAAATCGGTTAATTTTGTGCAGAAATCAATTTAAGGATTTGTTGTCGTTGCCACCGCTTGCTGCTGTGCATCGGTGTATTTGCATAGCAATAAAAAAACCAAAAAAAAAAACACACAAAAATCCATTAAAAAACGTGCTTCATGGACTTTGGGGAGGCCTTTGCTTTTGAGGGAGAAGCAACAGCAGCCGCAGCAGCAGCAGTTGCATCACCTGGCGACAAAAGTGCAAAAATTGTATGCCAAAAACCAAATAGTAGATAGGGGGCTTCAAAAATGATATAGCACACAGACACACACACACCCCCATCGTGCTTTTGTAAACGTTATTAAATATGTACATATGCATAAATATTACACATGTGGATGTGGATGTGGATGTAGATGCGGATGTGAATGGTACGTACGTGTTCGAAAAAAAAAAATCATAAATAAATAGAGCGAAAACATTTTGCTCTATTTGTTGAAGGCAAATACTCGTATAATGAAATGATGAAAATTTTAAGCGAATTTTTAGCACCCTCGAGGGTTATAATTATATGATTATACACAGCTCCTGTTTAGGCCCGAGTTTACTTTTATAATTGCATAAATTAATGAAATATTGAATGCAAATAGACTAAAATCAAATTTGTGTGGTATTTGTTTTGAGTGCTGTGATGTGAGGTGCTTACAAAAACTCAAATTAAAATGCCAAAAATACAACAAAATAATGTAAATTACATACGAGTTCATGGCGTTGTTTTTTTTGTTTTGTTTTGTTTTTTTTTTGGTGCTATACAAATTACCACAAACAGTTTGATGCATTCCATTATATTCAAAAATAATTATTTATAAAGGTTTTGTATTTTGTTTTTGTGTGTTATTCAAAGATTTTTGCTTGCAATTTTTGCTTGCATTTCTCGAGACGATTGCCAGTCAAGAATTAAATATAACAAAAATAGTTCGATCTTTGCTTGCATATATAGTACACAATATATATATATAGGAGTTCTTCTAAAAAGTTTGGTTTGCTTTATAGAGAGATATATAGTGAGAGAGAGTAAGTGCAAAAAAGTAGTCAAAAATTGCGCCAAAAAATATGCAATTTCATTTGTGCCAATGATTATTAAATTTTGTATACGTTTTTCATTTCCTTTTTTTTTTGGGTTTGTTCAACAAAATCAAGTAACGAGAAATAAAAACGTAAGACAAGTTAAAAAAACTAAAAAAATAAATGTTTGGTGGTAAGTTAAAAAAAACAATTGGTTCTCTAGACATTCAAAAATTCATCATCAATGGATCGGATCCCTAGCGATCCGAAAAGTAGAAAGTGGAGATTTATGAAGTATGCTATGAACATTTTCTAGGATTCTCTTTGAAACAAAATGCTGCTAGTATTAACAGAAAGTAAAGAGATGAATCTTTGAGTCTGAATATAATTCAAATTAAATTCACTGAAGAATCCTTCATTAGAAGGTTCTAAATCATTAAAATTAATAAACTACAAATTAAAAATCTTAAAACAAAATAAAACTAAAAAACTTTTAGCTGCTTTCAAAAATTGATCAACAGCTAAATGGATTATATGGTTTGAAAAACACAAGAACAACAAAAAACTGTTAATTTTGGTAGACAAAAAATATATAGTATATATATATATAGATATATCGCTATATATATCGGTTAACGATCTCCATAGTGCTTAGCTGCTCCTGTGGTGGAATGCTCTCGATATCAAAATTCAAAAATTGTACAAAATTCGATTAGTTTTGAGGTTGAATATTGATTATGGTATGTATGGTATGATCCGGGGAACGATAGAAACCAGAATTGAAATTAAAAACTAAACTTAAGAGTGGACAAAAATATAAATTGTAAAATAATCTTAAGAAAAACCAACAACGAACGAATAAATGGAAAACGTAAAATCGTTAAAAACATAAATCGATTTAGGTAAGACTTACGCCATAGGTAAGATTGTCATGGGCATACATACCATCCTCTTGGGTTCGCAATATGATCGGATGGGAGCGCGGACCGTCGCCGACGGAGGTGCCGGCCAGCACCCAGATTTTGTACTCGGTCCAGCGTTTCAGTTCGTCGAGTACGATGCTGGTCATATTGAGGGTCAGTGTGGTGGCCTCGTCGTCTTCGCGGCCCACCTCCACGAAGAACACCTTATAGTAAATGATCCGACCGTTCGAACGCTCAACGGGCGGCGGCAGCCAGCTAAGGGCGATCGTCGTCGAGCTGCTGGCTAGGGCGGTGATATTACGGGGCGGTGCACCTGGTACTAATTACATAGATGGGAGGAACGGAACGTATTTTGTGTGTGCATTTTGATTTGGATTTCATTTGGATTGATGTGGATGTTGCATGTGGCATGTTGGATGTTGCATGTTTGTTCATTGTTCATTGTTGATTTTTGTTGCATAGCCAAAGAACACACACATTTTTGGTTATGAGCATTTAGTTCAGCAATTAGCAGTAAGAAAAACAAAATGGACAAAATGTCAAAACCAAAAATCGAATCGGGGTTGTAACATGAAACGAAAAGGCCATAAAAGCAAATCAATAATATAATCAAAATCAATAATATGGTTTAGAGATAGGCATTGAATATATTATAAATATATCATAAAATCAAAATCAAATATCAAGACATATAGTACGTATATCCAATGGTTTATGCAAATAAATGTTGACTCCTTTCTTTTTTTTTTATGTTGTTTTGTTCCTTTTGTGCATATTTTTTGGTAACGACTTTTTTTGAGCTGAAAATTTTTTGTTTGAAACTACGAGAGATAGAAAAGCGGGAACCCATAGTCATGCTTAGCTTATAAAAAAAAGGGAATATAAATTGGTTTAAAAAAGGTCTACACTACACACAACATTCACATACACTATATAGAGGGTAGGGCAGAAACATTAATTTGCATAAACCATGTGGGCTGGTGGGGTGGGGGGACAGGGACATCAAATCAAAAGTTTCAACATCTAAGAGTACGGAGTACATTCGAAAGTTTTCAAGCATAAAATAGTATAACTAATTGAAACCACAATAACAACAACAACAACTATCTTGAGTGTGCTAACAATAAAAAGTCATTAGGAAACTATCAAAATTCTAGCACATTCCAAAACTTAAACTCTAACTCAAACTAAAACCGAAATTAACTTGAAGACTTGTTTGTGCATTCGCTTGGGATTAGAACCAATTTATGTTTCAATTATGCGGAAAATGCAAGACGTGCAAATATGAAAACCAAAAGTGTTATTTATGCCACACTGCCACAAGGAAATATTCGTCCTGCGGCAGACATACAAGACAGACAGACAGTTGTCTTCGCTTCATCGCTCTATTAAAATATCATTCAAAATCAATTTTCTAGACACAGATACAGAGACAGACAGTGATACAGAGAGTTTCAGTAGAGGAATTCCTGGTTTTGGTTTCTGTGGTCTACTATCCAAAGGCTTCTGTAGAGGGTGCAGAGTGCAGTGTGCGGAGTGCAGTGTGCATTAGGAATTTTGCCACTTAAATAGTGGTCTAAAGTTGGAAAATTGTTTTGGCATAATTTACATGATTTAACACTCAAAGGCAGAGCTATGATAAATGGGGATCATAATCGAGCCATGCTAAATAACACACACAAATCCAAATATGCATTCCATAATTGTTTGGTTTTCCATTCCATTCAGTTCAGTTCAGTTCAAATTTTTGTTTTGTTTCGTATTTGGCATTACATTTTCATGCAATTTGCTTTGGATTTGTAAATGAAAAGGTGTTTGGTATAGGTATATCGTTGTGGCTGTTGTTTATGGGGAAAATCTGTTGTGGCTTTTCTATCCTGTGCTGTGGTGTGGTGTGAACTGGTGTGATGTTGGCTTTTGTTAAATGAGTTTTTGGTTTTCTAATTGGATTAGTCGAACAGATCGCAGTGTAATAAGTAAGACATTTTATAGACCAACAGAATCAATTAATTAATCTTTGGTTTTAACTGGAATAATTCAAGGAAATATTAACTTGTACTTTTGAAGGTTCTCATTGGCATTCAACAGTTTTAATAAAAATCTCTCTTTGATTTCTAGCAATTTAATGAAGAGTTAAATAGAGTTCAAAGAGTTAAATGGACTTTATAAACTAGTTTTAAGAGTACTTTATTAATTTAAAAAAACGCTTCAGCCTGTTAAAGTAGGTACGTTTAATGTACAAATTATTTATACTCAATAAAAAAAAGATGATTAAGTGAAGTTCCTTCTTCTTTTTTCTTTAAGAATCCGATGTACATTCTATACTTCCCATGAGTCCTTGTTCTCTATATAAAATCTACCAAAACTACCGGCGATCTGTCGATGATTCCATCTGGGGTTTCATTTAAGATGTACTTAGTATTTTTCCTCACTTACTTTTTCTTTGGTGGTGTGTAATGCTAATGTATGTAATATCTTAAATATGTATGTATTTCTGCGTATATTTATGTGCTAATTATGTATAGTATATATAGTCTGTGTAGGGGTTTTAACAGTCCATGTCTTGTGGATTGTGTATAAGTTGAACGCTAGAAAACACTAATACACAACTAAAACTTAATACTAACTTGCAATGGAACAATCAGAACAATCACAAATCCTACAATATATATGGTTATATTTATAGATATTTGCATATACGATTATATAGTAAATATTTGTAAGTGGGCAAGTGCATAGCTCACTTCACACTCAACCCGAATCATTCATATACGCAATCATTCATACGGAGTTTACCTTTTTCCACGTAAGCAGAAGAATACTCAAGAATATATATTCGGATTCACACACTCAAACAGACACAGAGGGGAGGCTGAGTTGGGTTGGGTATTTTTGTGGGGAATTTGGGTAGCTGAACTACATTTAGTATAAGGTATAAGGCATATGTTTATGTATATAGTAGGTATATATCATATAGGTAGTATATGTGGTAATTATGGAAATATGTTTTGCGCAAATCAAACATCAGTTTTCATGTGGTACTTAAACCTATAGAAAAAATTGTACGACTACGACAGTTTATTGTTTTCTGTTTTCTGTTTTTGTCTGTCGACACCTAACTTATGGAAATACAATATGGGTAAATCGGACGATCGGTGAAGGTACACTTACCATATTGCTTGGTGCGTACTGGTATGGGCGGTGTGGTGGCCCCTTCGCCCCGTTGCGATCGTGCCGCCAGCCAGATATAGTACAGGGTATCAGGATACAGACCATCCAGCGTATACGATTCAGAGTTTGAGATGCGCCTAAAAGCAGGGGAACGATTCAATCGAATGTTCCTCAGATTCCCCAGAACAAATATATATTCAAACGAGATACTCACTTGTGATGTGCCTGATTGGCGTATGTGTCATTCCAGTAGAGCTCGTAGTGTACAATATTCTCGCTGGAATGCGTAGGCTTTGACCATTGCAGTGTGACTGCGGTCTCGCCGATATCGGTGGCCCGGAAATTGCTCGGTTGCGATGGCACACCTTTTGCCGGCAGACACACAACACAACATCAATGGGGCATTTTGGTTTTTGCAGATTTTTGGTAATAATGAAACGGAAATTACGGAAATTAAATAAAATACAAACACAAACACAAGCAAATCAATATGCGGCAATGTGATATTTGTATGCTGATGATGCGACACGCTGATTTCAGGCCACACAGATTGATGGAATGACAGCTCGGTATACGGTACTCGGTACTCGATGGCTGTCTGGCTGCTGCAGCATTTTGTTTGGGTTTTGCATTGGAAATTTATTGAGAGATGTGGCCCCCCCCCCTGGCACACACCATTCCTCTTTAATGATTATCAATTTCCAAAATTATTTATCCACCCACAGTGGCGAGGGGCAGGGCGGGCACCTATACTTGATGGAATCAATTTAAAGCCATAAAAACATTGTACATTTAAATGTATTTGTTATTTGCTTAGATTCCCCTGAGAGATGTCTGACCCAAATGGCATCAGACATTTGCCCTGCCAAGAAAACAGTTCAAAGTTGGGGGAAAAGCCTCTCAAGCTGTTTGGCCACTGGCCGAAAGTTAACAAGGCCACAGACACCCAGACAGGAGCAGGACGTCATCCAGAGACAGTAAGTCAGTCGCTGCCACTGCAGACCACGCCCCAGATTAAGCCTGTGCTTGCTTACATGCAGATTTATGCCCAGAGAGCAGACAAAATGCAATTGCCTTCAAGTTAATGAATATTCCCGTAGATCGTAATCAAATGTGGTGTGTGTGTGTGTGTGTGCGTACAGAGAGAGAGAGTTAAATATTTCATTGAATGGACACACGTTTGTGCTTGACATTTTGCATTATAATTAAATAATTGGTGTGATCTATGGGGGGTTGGGGGGGAGGGGGCTCCGATTGAGTTGCAGCAATTAAATTGCGAAATGTGTGTCGTTGCATTCAAAATGCATTTGCCACCCATCATCAATGCTCCATGCTCCATGCTCTATGCTCTCCTCGTGCTATGTCATGTGCCTAATTGAAGCTGATTGCCCAATCAATTTGGCTTAACTTGGGGGGGGGGGCTCTACGCTACCCTTCTATGCCCTTCGCTTACCTTGCTGGGCCTTCACCTGTACGGGTGTGGACATGGGACCGGCACCCATTGAGGTATAGGCCTGCACACGAACCGTATAGATGGCATGGGGTGTCAGCTCCGATACTGTTGTCAGCTCGCTATTGTCGACCATTTGTGAGTTCCATGAGGCTTCCGGCTGGTTCGAATTCGTTGTGTAGTATACCTTATAGCCCTGTTAAATAAGAGACCAAAAGAGAGTTTGGGTTTAGAGAGCTGCTTGCTGTGTAAAATGTAAATTCATTTGCACAAAATTCAAATTCAAATTCAAATCCGAAATTCACCTTTCATTAACTGATAAACCAGAAAATGATATATGGCCGAGTTGGTCATAGATTTGTGAACTTTATAATAGCTACTGCCTGCATTCAGCAGCCAGCCACAGACCACAACAATTGCCGTCGTCTCGGGCCGTGCTGCGTGGAAAGGTGATTCGGATTCGCATTCAAGAATTGTCGATGGAGGGAGCGAGGGCAGCCTGTGGAGAGGTGATACGGTTGGAGAGAATTGCTTCGGTTTATGCGGTGGAAAGGTGCTTCGGATTTTCGGGTGGAAAGGTGGGGGGGGGGGCTTGGGACGGCGCTCTTCTCTCCCCACGCCAGAACATGGCCAACGGCATTTTGCCAATTTCCCTTTGGCTAGCCCTCCCCTCTCCATCTGCATCCCGCCCATCAGACGACTCTGACGTGACAAAGTGCGTCGCTTGGCCCCAGGACCCCACAGCTACAGCTACAGCTACAGGACACAGAGGACACACAGGACACAGGTTCCAGCAGGATTCAGGCCCCGCACTCGCAGTCGCAGTCTGCTGGATCTTATCGTTTAATATGCGCACTTGATGCCTGGTACTTACGGTCACTTGTCCATTGGGCGTCTCCGGGGGTTCCCAGGTAATAACCATCGTGGACGAGCTCAGCGTCCGCACTTGAACATTACGTGGTGCACTTTCCATTTCTGAAAATGCATAGAGAGAATATGGCAGAATATTAGCATGGCAATGACAAAAGAATGGGCCCGGCCAAACCACTTTAGCCATTTGACTTTGGTAAGCGAAAATTCAAACGGCGAAATTTGTGGCGCCATTTATTTCGAGTCTAATGAAAATTTATTTAAAACAGTGGAGAGAGCACTGTCTGGCAAGCCTGGTAGGGGCTAACTCTCCCGGAGAGTACCCTTAAGGCAGGATATTAAAAAAGGTTAAGCACCTTAGGGCTTTCAAGTGATTTCTATGACTATTTTAATTGATTACACTACTCGACAAAATCGAACTTTTTTTTTCCTCAAGGATCCAAACCGACTTTTTCTGATAGATATGGGGCTTTAAAATTTTTTAAACAATTATGGTTTTTTTCTATGGTAGAAATTTTTTTTGAAGAAAAATGATGATTTTTGCATTTCAATGCTTTATATTTCCCAGACGGTAAGCTGTAATCACAAAGTGTTTAGGCTTAACTTCTAGCTGTTTTAATTATCTTTTCAAAATAGCAAAGTTCTTTACAACCAGACGTACGATACTACAGTTATATGAAAAAAACAAGCGCTACCTCTGAAAAAAGCTTTACAAAAAAATACCAGATTTAAAAAAATCTTCAAAAAAAAGTTCTGCCTAGAACAAAAAAAAAATATCATCAAACCATTTCTAAGCCCCAAATCTTTAAGAAAAAGTTGGTTTTGTTCCTTTAGGAAAAATCGTGTCGGGTAGTGTTATTTATGGGGTTTGGGTTCTTTGAATCAACACAAATGACTTCTTGCACAGATATTAAATATATATTTCTTTGGCACTATATCTTAAATGTGCATTAGGCTATCAAATGTTTGATTTCAAAACCATTTCCCTGGTCGACCTCTAAAGATTTCCACCGCAATACGTATTTAATCCATTGAAAATGGCTTTCCGCTCAGTCTTTAACCTTCTTCCGCAATCAAAGCGTTTGTTTAGCCATAATTTCATCTCAATATCCGATGTTAAATATGTTTTAAATATGGTTTTATGCTGACCATAATTTCGCTTTGCTGCTAATTCATAAATATGCAATTTTGTTAAATGATTTTAAGCGTTTTCTGGGGCAAATCGAACACACACACACATATACATCGCCGCACGTAGACCATTATCAAACACAATGCTGAAACTAGGAGGAAATAAGTGGAACAGAAGCGGCTGTGGGTTGGCATTTGGACAGGAGACTGAGCGCTGGGGGGGGGTTCAGAAATGTTTCGTGCAGTGCAAACAACAATCCCCCATCCATCACAATTTGTTGTTCCGTTTCGTATTGCAATTTGAAATTGGAAGAAGAAACAACGTTTGAATTCTGCGGGTGCGAAACATACATTTTTGGCCCCCTACAAATATTGCGGGAATTGTTATGGCGCGTCGAAGCCTGGCGGCCATTATAGTGCGAATTTTGCATTTATAAACTGATTTTTGTTGCCTGCCACACAACAATGATTTATCCAGCCGCTCCCCCGCCTTCCCGCCTCTAGCAACCCCTTGCAGCGCTCTCTCTCTCTATAATTTTGTGCAATGCATTTGCACGGGCATCAAATTTGCCGGACAACTGCATTCCCAGCCAGAGTCCGCAATCAGAAACCTCGACCAAATGGCCAGAAGCTGCCTGCTGCCTGCTGCTTTTGCTTCTGTTTTCCCCCTACCCACCGCCACACATGAATGCTAATTAGTGGAACGTATCTATCACCCAATTCTACAATCAACTGGCCGATCAGCAATGTACACTGGAAATAAATAAAAATAGATAGGAATGATATGAGCTACTTCTATTTGGAGTGTGGCAATGGGCATTGGATATTCCTTGGCAGTGCTTTTAAAGGAGTGCAAATGCTGTCCAGAACATCAGTAAAAGTTATTCCAGTTACGCGATAGTGTAAAGTAAGTAATAAATATAGCTTCCCAGCTAGCCAATCCCTTCCTTCTGGTGCATGTAAATCTTCTTTTTAGCTTCCATTTTCAATCACATTTATAGCCATACCTATTTATGATTAAAACTGCATTCTGGAATATGATTTGGCTGCAGTGTGCAGTGCATGTGCATCATCAGTGTGTCTATATGTACATACATATATAGGTATATATTTTTATAGTGCATATATTCGTATATGCGTTTCCCTCAATTGGTTAATGGGCAATCAATAAATTCCAATTTCTCACAATTTCTGCTGCAATATCTACAAGCGCTGCAGCAGTTTTATCCACAATTTATATCGCAGTCATCTCATCTGTTACACAAGTGCTACTACGCCAGGATGTGCCAGTGCCTGTGCCAGTGCCTCTTGCCTCCTTGCCTCCTTGCCTCATGTGGAGTGTTCGTGTGTGTGTGTGTGTGTGTGTGTGTGTGTATGTGTCCATTGCCTGGTTATATCCAAGATTTGCATGCAGCTCAGATACACAAATGTACGTACGGCAGTACGTATCCGTAGGATACCAGCACACACACACACACACATTGAGGCTAACAATTTTTGCTTGCTTGGGCTTCCCTCTTAGCCTACGTTTGTATACAAGTTGAAGGCGAGCGGGGAAGTGGAAGGAGAGTGGGCCAGAGAGTGGAGAGTGGAGAGAGCATCACGTAAGCTGCATTTAAGGGCATATACATTACATACGGATACGCTCCATTAATATGTATCCCTTGCATGCCTGCGCACACGCCTACTCCTTATACAAGTAGAAGTACATGGCACTAAATTCTTGCCCCCTCCCCCTAGCATTCACCTCCCCCCTATAGAGAATCATAGATGCGATGCGAGTCTGGAGGAGCATGTGCAGCCCATATAACCGATTACATGACGAAAGGATCTGTTAAAGGCTTGCCCTAGGTCGACCTACCGCTACCTCCTGCTGCTGCTCCTGCTCCTGCTCCTACCCTCCCTCCTTCGACACTTTAAAGGTAAATTTTGATTACGGCGCTCAAGTGCTGCTCTGCAGCTGTCTTGAAATACGAATATTTGTCCTTCCCTCCATCCATCCATCCATCCATCCATCCATCCGTCCGTTCAGGGAGTGGGAAGGCGATGTCCTTACGATGAGTGGAGCAGTGTAAGGTGTTGCCCTGGATAATTGTTAGGTTTCCAGAGTGCAGGCCTGCTCCTACTCCTCCTCCTCTCAGTCTCATATCTCCATATATGTATTCCGGGGCTGAACAAATATTGTGATTCAGGGCAAGACTTTTGTCTTTTACATTTGATTATTTCGTATGGATAACGAAGCTACAATTTAGTCCTCGAACTGAGCAAAAGGGTGTGAGTGGAGGAAATCTTTTGCAAAGAAATTGCTTAAATGTCTATAAATATTTGCTACATTTTGGTATCTATTTTTGTATGTAAATCGAATAAAGAACTCTACAATTGGATTGCCTTTCAATTAGTTGCTGGTTGCAAGAGAACATTTTAATTGAAATATATTAGAAAAAGGTTCTACAGGCAGATACACAGAGTGCCTCGCCTCCAAGCAACTGAGGGGCATTGCCGCATGACGCGTGAGACATTTAAGCGAATATTTTATATATTTAACAATAGATCAGACTTTCAGAGAGAGTTTTCCATGTGGAAATAATTCTCTGTAATGGTTTTCCTAGTTGCCATTTATAGGAAACATTCGCGTATTTTTTTGGGAGTGATTTTAGAGCTAGATAATATATTTTAGTTCACTCTGAGACTGTAGCAAAGTAGTAGTGTAGTTTCTGGGCTGTTATATATTTATGCGTATCTGTAGTAGTTTATAGGCATGCGGATAAAATACTAAATCAAACACTTCGGTTTGCAGCAATCATTAAAATCCTCCACGCGTGTCCTAATATTCTATTGCATGATTAATTTTATGAATATTCTCTTACTAAAAAGTAGCAAAATGTAAAAGAACAAACAACACTTAAAAACCAATCTTCATCCTTCTGCTATTGCAGAGTCCTTCCCTGTGAGTCTCAGGTGCTTCGTTCGTATCATCAGCTGCTGGCCCTAGCAATACTTCTCCATTCCGCTAATGTGCTTTTCCACTTTGGTAGTGTACGGTTACAAGGCCATAAACAAAGCTGCAGGATTATCCACCACCCAACGTGGCTCTTGGCTCTTGTCTCTTGTCTCTTCGCTCAGCTGCTACCTAAACCAAATGACACGTGTTAAGCATTGCTTCTGACCTGCGGATGATGCCACACTCCTTCGAATCCGAATCCGAGTCCGACGACTGTCTGCCTGTAGCCTGTAGCCTCTATCCTGTAGCCTCTATCCTGTAGCCCTGTGCATTTGCCCATAAACGTTGCTATCGAAATATTATTTCGAAACGATATTGGGCAAGCGATAAGCATAATTGCGGCAATAAAAGTTTTCAACTTTTATACGACATGCTGCTGCCGCTGCTGCTGTTGCAGCAGCAAAAAAAAAATAAACCTCGTCCGTGCAGGGAGTATCAGGCGGAAGGAAAGGCATGTCAGACAAGCGTACGCTTACGCGCAATTGGCAGCACTAGAGGAGCAGAACGTTGCCTGAACGGCACGAAGAGGGGGTCGTACACGCATACAGGAGCACCACCCAACCATCGTAGCCCCCCACCCACACACAAAGACTCCAAAGCGCATTCATACGAACGCATAACAATGCAAACTTTATGCGTTGTTTGCGGGGCCAGACGAAAAGGGAGCACACACAAGAAAGAACGAATAGTTTCGTGGCAACGGGTGGGTGCATACCCTGGAATGTGCCTGTTTTCTATGAGCCCTGGCAGAGCAATATTTTCTATGAAAGATATATGCTAGAGTGTTAAAACATATCAAACTATAGCTCTTGGAGTTGGGTTTTTCAGTATTTTCAGTATCATTGAATTGTTTCATACAAAAATCCTATCTTTGGGAGCTATATAATTAATATATGGATACGATTTCAGTCGCTTGTGGCTGGGTTTATATTTCCAAGATTTATAGCATAGAGTGATTCGATTAGAGACTGAATTCTTTCAGCCAAAAGCCATTCATTCTAAACTACTTATATACATAACATCGTATTTTAGATCTTTACGATCTATATGCTTTACATATATAGAAAAATAAGAGATCTGTTCAGTGTTTCATTGAATTAACTTCAGGGGAAATAATTGGCATGGAAAGAAGTAGAGTGAGAGCCAGAAAACATGACCAATGCTGATCTGAAATAAAAAATTATTTAACCCATTTCTAGGGCATAGAAAATTGCGACTGGCAGCTGCCTTCTTAAAGGGTATGCAAAAAAAACGTGCAGAAAAGGCACCGACTGGCAGCTGCCTGTCTACACGGCCACTATCCCCTCCCGCACACTGCACACCGCACACACCACATCGCATCACATACATCAGAGAGCATCAGACTTTACCCGCAGCTGCGTATGCAACGATTTCCAGAGCATTGCATTTACCTTTGATTCTATCTAGCTACTTGTTATTCCGCTTTCTTTCTCCCTGCTTTTTAGTTTCTTTTTATGCCCGTTACTTCCTTTACTTTCCCCCTCGCCAACCATTTCAGGTCTCCGGGTATTGAGCATTTTCCGCTGCTCAACAATTGTTATTGAAATTGTTTTGGCCATTTTTTGGCCAGCCATAAAATTTTGTTTGCCATGAGGATGGATACTTACTTGTGCCACCAAATGAGAAGTCGCCTAAAGCAGTTGGAAAGCACACAAAATCGCAGAGAGAGAGAGGAAAAAGAAAGAGAGAGAGAGAACATATTCGAAAAGGGTTTAGTACCATTCCGCACAAAGAAAATAAAAATTGCATCCAGAGCAAAAAGAAAAAATTGTCTAGAAATTCAAAATGAAATTGCTTGAAAATCCTTTTTTGTGGCAGCAGCAGCATAGAGAGAAAGACAAAGACAAAGACAGTCGGCAGTTAGTTAAATGATTATTTTTAGGGGGAATGGGTATAATCTGTATGTGTATGTGTGTGTGTGTGTTTGTCTTGATACTCACTTGTCTCACCGGTGGTACAGGTCGCTGGGGCCGAGGGCGGACCCCGTCCAATATTATTGACGGCTATCACATAGAACTCGTACTCCGTATAGGGACTGAGGGCACGCACCACATAGTACATGGTGATGATGCCACTGATCTCACTGAAGGCCTGATTCGCATTTTTCGGCTTGTACTGGATCACGTAGTAGTGCAGATCCTCGGGACCCTTGTATGACCACTCCAGACGCACCGAAGTGGCGGTCACCTCAGAGATTTGCACATCGGAGGGCGCAGTGGGAAGAGCTGTTAGATGCACGAAATATAAGCAATATATCTTACCAAAATATACTTCTACTTACATTGCACTTTAACCACCGAAACAGAGTCGATATTCCCCAGAGTGGAGGCCGCAATGCATGTGTAATTGGCGCTCTCTTGAATGTTGATCAGCTGCAGCACATTCCGACCAATGGGCATCTCATTCTCGGGCGTTAGATCCAGTGCACCTGAAGGATATACGATTAGAGATTGCAATTTCCAGTAAGAAAATGGTTTGGCACTTACCCTTCATCCACTTGACATGCGGCATTGGGGAACCAACAGCAATGCAGGATAGATTCAGATTTGCTCCCAGCATCACCTCACTGATGGCCTCTGGCGGGCGCGAGAATGTGGGCGGCACACGACGTACTTTCACATACAAATTGGTGGCCTTCGAGTGCTCGGTGCCCACAGAATTCTCGGCGACACATTCGTATTTGCCCTGGTCCTCTTCGCGACTGTTTTCGATTTGCAAGAAACCTGCAAGCAAATAAATAAGAAGATAAGTAGTTAGTTGAGAGTTTATGGAGCCATAGAGAGATTATCTGGTTGTAAATTGATATATTGGTATAAGCCCGGGCATAAGAAAAGTTACCTGCTGACATTCGGGTGGGATAAGCCTCCACCAATTGGTTTCCCAAAGGGAAATCCTTTGCGCTATTTTCCTACCTGATGCAGAGAATATTCCTACCTAACCCCCTTTAAAAGTGCTCGGCTCTTCCGTCACAGAACTCACTCTCCGCCGTACACTCTGCGAGTAGACATCATGTTCATTTTATTTCTTGTAATAAGCGTCGCAAGCTGCGTGAAGAGCACCACCTACATAGACATCAATCCTCACATAGAGACGCCCATCTATGACACTCGTCCTCTGAGCGAACAAATGGAGATGATCGATCTACTGGACTTGGGCGATCGTCCGCGGCGTCAGGCACAACCGAATCTGCACAATTCTGCCTCGAAATTCCTGCTGGAAGTCTACAATGAAATCAACGAGGGCCAAGAGCCCGAAGAGGTGCTCCATCAGCGGCACAAGCGATCCCTGGATGATGACATACTGATATCCAATGGGGATCGCCAGGAGATTGCCAGCTGCAACAGCATTCTAACATTTTCGAGTCGTGTCAAGCCAGGGGATCATGCGAATGACTTGGATCTGCAAATAACCTTCAATACGAATGATGTGCCCGTGGATTTGGCACTCGTTCAGGCCATGTTGCGGGTCTACAAACAGGAGAGTCTGGTGGACAGGAGGGACAACTTGACGGTGTCTGTTTACAGGAGACTCGACAATCGTCAGGATTTCTCCTACCAGATCCTGGGCTCCGTCAACACCACAACCAGCCATAGAGGATGGTTGGAGTTCAATCTGACGCCCACCCTGCGCGCCTGGCTGCAGCAGGGAAGGAGTCCCCAGCAGCGTCACGAGCTTCGCTTCTCCATTGGCGACTCTCACCTGAGCACCTTTGCTGCCGGCTTGGTGCCCCCCGCGGCCAGTCGCTCCAGCCAGGAGCCCTTCATCGTGGGCTACTTCAATGGACCCGAACTCCTGGTGAAAGTACAGAAGCTTCGCTTCAAGCGGGATCTACAGAAGCGCAGGGCCAACAGTCCGCCGCCAAAACGGCCGCCGCCACCACCCATGGACCTGTACAAGCCCCCACAGTCCTGTGAGCGTCTGAACTTTACGGTGGACTTCAAGGAGCTGCAGATGCACAACTGGGTTATTGCCCCCAAGAAATTCGAGGCATACTTCTGCGGCGGTGGCTGCAACTTTCCGCTGGGCACCAAAATGAATGCCACAAATCATGCCATCGTCCAGACCCTGATGCACCTGAAGCAGCCGCATCTGCCGAAGCCCTGCTGTGTGCCCACTGTTTTGGGCTCCATTACCATACTGAGATATTTGAGTGAGGATATAATCGATCTGACCAAATACCAGAAATCGGTGGCCAAAGAGTGTGGCTGTCACTAGGATTTAATTCGAGTTATTTTACTTTCAGTTAAGATAAGTTTAAGTTGTATGTTTTCAATGTAAATAAATCTCGAAATTGGTTAAAGAATTAATTGGAATTTGCCATAGAATCGGAGTGAATTTCTGCTACAGTCCCCCTTACACCCTGTTACATTTTATGCAACGTTTTCATTAGCCAAAGTTCCGCATTTACATTTTTGCTGTGTACCTTTTGTGTGCATCCCCTTGCAGGTTACGACCTTTGGGGTCGTACGACGCATAGGTTTAAGGGTTTTGTGTGTGGGGTGGGGGTAGAGTCATAAGATCTTAGATTTATCAATAAATTTGAAAGTCAAATGATGTTTGTTTATCTCCACACATCACTTTAATGGTCAAAGCCCCCCGCACATTATCCTCATTGCCTCGTAAAAATTCTACCCGATTCACCTTGCTTTTCCATTTGGCATCCACAATGCACTCCCCGGCAGCTACGCCCTTGAGTGGTGGGGAGCGAAGCAACACATGGAAAATTAACACTTTTTATATGATTTTAAAGACCGTATAAATTTTACGACACTCTCCCACACACACAAACAAAAAAAAAAAAAACCATTGCAATCTCTCGCGGATAAGTAAGACACCAGACAGGCAGGCAGGCAGGATACAAGGCTGGCAGGCATACGCATCTATTAAATATTGGGGATATTCGCTTTTCCGCTTTCCGGCGTATTACGCTAATGCGAATGACACACACACACACACACACACACATGTTAGAAGCAGGGCCAGGAGAGAAGAGTAGCCCCTCGACTGTCGGGGGAGAGATACAGAGAGAGAGAGCCATAAACTGCCTTCGCTTTTGCATTATATTTACATGACTAATAAACAATGATATACGGCAGCAGGAGGCATTCACATCAAATTTACGTAAACACAATCAACAATCAACAATCCACTCTCCAGCAGTTAATCTATTCAGAAGCTTTTAAATCAACATTTATGCATACAATTTTTCGTAGCACACAATTTGTTTAATAGCCCCGCTGGCATTTTGGGGCTGATTTTTTCTGCGTGTGTATGGGTCAAAAGCCATAAAGCTATGTCATTTGATTGCGCTTTCTAATTAGTCTTTGACTATTACTTCAAATGTGTAATGCATTGGAAATTACGAAATTAAGGGAAACCATACAAGAAGGGGTCTTTCGGCGGGTTCAGGTTTAGGTACCCTTGGCATATACATTTTTATAAAATACAAAATTAGATTCTCTTTTCTTTCTCTTACAGTGCGTCTTAGCAGAGGAGAGCGCATTTCACATATTTTCTCTGCAAAACTTCTTCTCATAATAACCCACTTCATAGAGTATCCAAAGTATTTGATTTACTTGACTTTCATTTAATACCATAATTTATTTAGCAAAATTTCTTCCAGCCCACCATATGAGGCCAGAATTTTGAATGCAAAAAAAGTGAATTTTCCACATTTTCAACGCTCTCTCTCTCCATGTGTGTGTGTGTTGAAAATTAATCTTGTTGAGTTGGATATTCAATTTTCTCTCTCATACAATTAATCAGGAACCTCAATTTCATATTCACATGCAAATATTTATGAATATTGGAGAGTATATGTATACGGATATGTGGAGGGTATGTGCAAATTTAAAATCTGCATGAAATATGACAATTAATTTGTGGAAAAAAATGTAAAACATATACATATGTATATGTACACATTATTATCGTTTAATTATTTATTGGACACATTTTGTATGCCTGCAGGCCAGGAAAATTGATCTGGCTTAAGTGCAGAGCTTAAATTGTAGAACTTTGTTTGGGTTTCACCTTAATTGTGGATAGTTTCCCATGTTTGAAGAAAGGAGGTTGAATGGGAATGCGCTTAGAATGGGCGCTGGTAAACAAATTAAAATAAATTTATCTCAAAAGCCGCCTAATACCCTTCCCAAAGTTTCCCGTTCTTTAGCCTACAAATTATTATAATAATTCAAATATATTCGTAATATTATTAATCTGCATTCATGCGTAAATTGTCTCTAATTTTGAAACCCTGCCTGTTCAAATTCAGACAATTCAAATCATCATAAACGAGTAAATGCCTAATAAAATATTCATGAAATTTGTAACCTTTCTCCCCAATAATATTGTATTATTGGAATGGGAAATAGCTAATAATACATATGTATAAAAGTGTCAAGTAAATATATCTCTATAAAATGTTGCATACATATGTATGCATGTATGTGTATGCAGATGTATAAATAAGCCATGACAATAACCAGATACAACAATAGACCCTGGCTACAGTTGAGTGCATCATTTTAATGACTCGTGTTCTTGCGGAGCCAATAACCAGTGGCTTCTGCCACAAGAGGGTTTGCAGAGCACACAGAATGTGGGTGAGGCCCTAAAGGAGTACGAGTTTTCATTTAGAAAGAGATTTCCAATGCAAAGAAAATCTTTCTTAAATAAATTTCACTTCAGAACTTTTGTATCTTGTATTTTTTGATTGAATATGAATTTCCACATTTAATAAACTCATTTTGGCAAAACTTTCATAGATGAAAAAAATAATATAAAAACAGTTATACAATTTTTAAAGCTTCTGTAACTAAATTAAAACCATATAATAGGAAGTATCAGTATCTTGAGAATGGGATTAATGTCAGAAAAATCTGTTCTTTAATTAAAGAATTTCTTAATTCCAACTTTTTAACAGCTTGCTCATACTTTTAGTTTCTGTGTCAAAACATTGAAGCTAATTTTCCCTGGTCTCCTATAGAAAATCACGGACCTACGTCCATGCCTATGGACAAATCAATCGCAAAAAAAGCCAACCTGTGTGCTAAATGTTGCAAAATCGCTTTGTCACACACCGAGAGCCATGTTTTATTACGAGTATGTTTATTTTTATTTACCTTTCCCTTTTTATTAAAAAACGGGGCGTGTCACTATACCCGTACCAACACAAATAACAAACACCCCCACCACCCGCCTCCCCCTCCCCGCTGGGTTGCCGCGCACGAACGTGCGGCGGGGAGGTTGTGTTGTCCCCGGGGGGGGGGCACCATCTGGCTAAATATGTCCGCGTCGTGCAACTGGTGATGGGCCCTGCAGACGTCAAGGCCCCCTTCGTCCTTGTGGGGCGGGGGGGCGGGGCCACCTGCGGTGTCCTAGGGAAACCAAGGCCTAGCCTATAGCGTCCAGGCGCTCACAGACGGACAGACGGACGACGACGACGGACGGCGCGCGCTGGCTTCGCTCGTTGTGCTGTAGTTTTCTTGGGTGGAAACCCCCCACACTACCACACCCTATTTTGAGTAGGGTAAAAAGGAGAAAATAAAACGAGAAAAGGGCCCGCTGACAATGATACCCTTTGCAGATCGATCGCTTTTATGGGATCTATGGGCACATGAATGCAGGAATGTGGAAGAAAAGTTACCAGTGGCTCAGTTTTTCTCCTCTCCCAGTACGACTTGGGTTCTAAGTAAGAGAATGAACCCAATATACTCTCCCTACACCACTTGCGCTCTCTCTCTCTCTCTCTCTCTCTCTGTAATATGGGATCAAAAAAGCTTCCTTTTCTGCTCGGCAAACATCTCTTCGCATAATCATAGTACCCCCTGGCAGGGTACACAGCAACAAAATGACTACGAAAAATGATGTATGCTGTATGTAGATTGCTGCGCGGTTTTTTAGTGCATGGCCGTTTGGCTGGCTGGCTGGCTGGCTGGCTGGGAGTCTGGCTGGATGTCGTGTTTTGTTGTGTGGTGTAAAAGGAAGCGGTTGGTGGACGGGGGGTTTACACTTTTATTTCAGCATTTTTTTCTGTTGCTGTGCTGCCGTTGCAGTAGCCCACCTCCGACATGCATCAAAGTTGATTGTTGTGAAATTTATTGCATGCTATTCGTGGCTATATGACTGAACATTTATTACGCTTGTTGCACTTCCTGTTCCGCCATGTTCCACCATCCTATTTTTTTGTTTTTTGTTTTTTTTTGTTGTTTAGAAATCGCTGAACCATTCAAAAAACTATTAAATGTTGCAGATATTTTTGAACTTTAGCTGAAACCTTTTGTCATTAAAAAATATGAATGAAATGACTGGGAAAGGCAGTCACAAAAAAATAGCCAAAGAGTAGAGGGAGTCAAAATGTTGATTAAAATTTATGAAGGTAAGTTTCATTAAAACTCTTGTGCTGCCTTCTGGCAGGAACATTAACATAAGCACACACACACACACACACACACACACGCACACACACAGACACTGAACAGAGAGAGAGAGTGAGTGGGGGAGGAGTCGAAGGAATCCCTGTGAAGCACTTGCGTGTGGCCTCACTGTAGCAATAAAAAATTAAGCATAGCATACATCTGAGGGCACGTCGTCGTCTGTCCTCCTCCTCCTCCGCCATCCTGTAAGTGATTCTACGTGTGAGTGTGTGGGTGTGTTTGTCTCTGGCTCTGTGTGCGTGTTCCTACTCTTATGAAAATTAAAAATTCTTTCAAGCATCATAAAAAAGCATAGAAGCAGCAGCAGCAGCATAAACAAATGGACAACAGGGGACTGACAGGTGCACATTTGTTTTTGTTTTTTTTTGGGAAACGGTTGAATACTGTAGAGAAATGTGGCATTGAAATGGGTATCCGTCTCTCTGGAGGGCACATCATCATAATTTTATATTTAAATATGGCATTTGAAACGGAAACTCGGGCAAAGACAAGTTTTAATAGGTTTAAATATCACTTAGGAGTCATTAAAGAGACATTTTACGAACCGAAAGATGTGCAAGTATTTATAAATATATTGAAATTATTGCCAACCTGTTTAAGTTATATTTATTCAAAATTTGTTTGCCTGTGGAAGTTGTGCTATCCACAATAATGAAGCTATACTACTGACCCTTTTTAATCTTACAAAATAATTCTTTTGTTGCATAAAAATCATCCAAATCGCGGTAGTTTGTACCGCCAGAAAAAGCAAAACTACTGGCCATGAAAAGTGTGCTT